CCTCCTTCTTCTTTTTTTTTTTGGAGACCGCTCTGAAAGTTTTCCTGACCAAATCAGATCGCCATACTGGCTTATCGCGCATGGAAGACATGAAAAGGCAAGGGCAAATCTCGTCAAGCTTCACAACGCGGAGTATAACATTGACGGCCACATGGCGGAGATTCATGATTCACTGGCAAGACTCAACCAGGAGAACGAAAGCCAGGGAAGCATGGCAGAATGCTTTGACAAGAAAAACTGGAAACGAACCTTGGTGGCCACCAGCACGTTCTTTATCCAAAATGCGTGCGGCAATTCATGGGTGATTGGATATATGAGTTGTAAGGATGTTCATTCACTTAGCTCCTGACTGTCGAAGGAGCGATATAACACAACAAGCAATGGCTAACGGGTAACTTGCAGACTTTATGCAGCTTGGAGGAATGAGCGCAGCCAAATCCTTTGATACCACTGTCGGTCTCTCTGGGCTCATGGTTGTTGGTAACATGTGCGGTTGGATCTTCGTAGAAACGTTTGGCCGACGTGCCACTGCCTTGTGGGGGACCATAAGCCTGAGCGTTGTTCTGTTCCTGATCGGTATCCTGGCATCGATATCGGTAGGCGGTGCCATTTGGGGACAGGTAGCGTGTATGGCCCTCTGGTCCTTTGTGTATCAAGGCACAATCGGTTCCGTGGCCTGGCCAATTACTGCCGAGAACGCGACCTCCCGTCTTCGAGGTCCAACGCAGTCACTGGCCACGATGATGAACGGCTTGTCCTCGTGCATCTGGAGCTTTGCCTTGCCGTACGCCATCAACCCGGATCAGGGCAATATGGGTGGCAAAATTGCGTTCGTCTTTGGCGCTATTTTGGTCTTGGCCTCTGTGTTCATCTATTACATGTACCCAGAGACCAAGAACCGTACATATATCGAGATTGACGAGCTTTGGAACAGAAGCATTCCTCCACGCCATTTTGCCAGAACAGAGCTGATAACGATCTCGACTGAGGAAACCAAAGGCTTGTAATGTAGCGAATCTGTAGCATGTTAGATTAGGTATACAGCTTCAGTAAGCACCCAAATCATGGAAAGTTCAAGAGATTAAAGTTATATGCAAAAGAATCTGGCTACAAAGCGGATGACGCATAAGGAATGATGTGATATGTCGAAGGCAAAGCGCCCACTGTGGATGGGCCTACATTAAGGTACATAAGTAGCATTTATATTTGTACGGAGCACCAGAGCCAAACTGTTGAAAATCCCCATTAAACCCCGACGTGTTTATAGCTTTCGAAACAGCGGTTTTGCATAGCGCTTAACTCAAGCCAGCTCAAGGCAATAAAAGAAATATATTATTATAAATATATATTTTCTTTCTTTTTTTTTTTCTAATAATCTTTTTAAAATTTCTTTTTATTTTCTTTTAAATTTTATTATTAAAAACTACGTTTTTATTATAATTGCTTTTTTAATAAATTACGCATAAATAAGGTAATTTTAGTGACGTTATCTTAATAAGTAGGTTGCCCTTTGGCAATCGTGAACTTACCCCAACCTAACCCCAAGTTGGGGCACGGGTGGTATTAATTTCCCGGTCATCGGCGCCTCGTTGTGTGATTCTTTTCCGACGACAGCCGCGCAGCAGCTCTACCTACGTATCTTAAAGGTACCTACAATCCCAGTCTTTTGAATGGGAAAACCCTGATATCCGGCAATACTTGATGTCGAGTCACTCAAGAAGGGGACGGAGAATTTCTCGCAGAGCCTGCGATTTGTGCCGAGATCGCAAGGTTCAGTGCCTCTTCGACGCTCGCAATGTGCAGAGCTGCCAGAAATGTTCTCAGAGCGAGGTGCCATGCACATTTCTAACGGAGCGGCGGCCGCGAGGTCCACCCAATCGGTATGCAATCCATCACACTCACAGTCTGATTGTGCATCTTCTGACACAACCCATCTCTGGGAGGTTGTTAACGATGGAGAGTGCCTAGTCGGGTCTTGGAGGCACAACGCCAAGCCCTCCTTTCTCCTGCTTTGCCCTCGCAGGGCCCGACGACCACTCATGACAGAGACAAGGGCCCCTCCGGCCTGCTGCCTTTACCAATTGGCAGTTTGACGGTTGAACACCTGGTACCCAGGCATACATTCAAAGCCCTCATTGCCGAGTTCTTGACACGCGTATACCCCCTTCTACCCTTGGTCCATGTGCCCGACTTTACGTTCCGGTTTGAAGCCGGTGACTATGATCGGGATCCCCGGTTCTTCCGTCTGTGCATTGCTATTTGTGCAGTGACTATGGCCTCCATTCCGCGACAGGTTGAGACCTATGCCTGCCATCTATATCAGAATGCCGGTGAGTTGGTCGAAAGAGCAGCACACGTCGTCCTTACTTGTAGGCTTTCATCGGATATGTCTTGGCAACAAAAGCCGACCGTCAATGACATGCTCGTGTCTGTGATGCTTTCCATGGCGGCCCATTATGCCGAATGGGCGCATATAGGGTGGGCATATGCGAGTGAGGCGACACATGCCTTTCGCGGCCTAGAGCTGTACAGGCGTGAGGCTTACACTGATATGACCATGGTTGAGTCCGAGTTGTGCAAACGCGCCTTTTGGCTCATGTATATTATGCAAATGTAAGTCTTGACGTCGCCATCCTGACGCATCACTGGGTGGCTATCAGACATAACCATCTGTTTAGACATGATCGCCTCTCTCACATCACTCCTCATACCAGCCCATGTTACGAGCCAATGCGTACAGACTGGGATTTTATGCTTCCCATCGAGATATCTGACTCGGATCTTGAACCTAGCCGGGGCTCCAATTCAGACGCTGACATATATCATGATTGTCGGCCGGCCATATCCGGATTTATTGCGCTCATCAAGGTCTTTCTGTGCGTTGCAGAAGTATCGTGCCAACAAGTTCCGGGGCCAAAGACTGCCAATGCACTAAGCACAAACGTAAATGGTCCTCACACTTCATCGGCCCTCCAATCAGAAGTCCGATCTTCTATCCGGCGGCGCGAGACACTGCTCAATGTTGTTACAAGGCTACAAAAAGTCTTGGAGGAATTGCCAGACGAGTTGAGCCTACCCTCAAATCATCCTTCTTCAGATTCGGCTGGTACCGAGGAGGAAGACAAGTCTGTTATTGGCCATCAATACGCTGTCATGCGGGTCAACATTCACGTCACAAGCCTCTACCTTCAGTCAACTCTGCTCGATATATGCCTAGGCTCAGCCGCTGAGCCACTGGAGCACGGAAACACAGCCTCCGTGACCGACAAAACATTTCCAGGCTCGCCAAACGACCCAAGACCGTCTACGACCGGTAGCCACGGGACACTCTGGGACCTGAGAGAAAATATCGTCAGTGAGCTTCTACATGTACTTGAGCACTCGACAACAAAAGCACTAGAGTCTAATGGGCTATCCATCGTAAGTTATGCATTGCCACTGGGTTATATCGATTTCTAATGAAGGCCAGATTGTGAAAATAAGGGAGATAGCAGCATCGCTGCTTGTGGAAGATGACAATTACAACACCACTAACAATGTTGAAGACAAGAGTCAATACTATATCTCGCAATTTGCGGATATTTTGGCGAGACTTGATTATCTCTCCAGAACAAAGCAAGAATCGAGTGTAATGAACAGAGATTCCGCACAGGCTGGCCGAGATATCTTAAGGTAGTATGCGAAAGAATCGCAATAGCAATGTATGGTACCTGTTGATTCCGCAAAACCTTCCATGTAGGAAAACTGATCAAGGGGCTGTTGTCCTGCGAGAATTTACCTATGTTGCCTAATCGTGCTGGTTTCCACATATTGCCGAGGCAAACCTTTACGACTCACCCAATGTGCTGGATATGCACTGTTCAAGCCTTTGTCAAATCACATGGAAAGCGCGGCGCTTGAAGTGAGTAATTCGGGTTCTGATCGATTGATACAAGTCTGAGGCTGTAGATGTAACATGATCACGCACATCGAATATTGACCATCAAGGCAGCCTGGCTTTGGACAGGCTTCTGCTTAGGGCGTCAAAGTGGGCGGTCTGTTAAGCTCCTTGTTATGTACATACATGCGTGGGTAGACGCAAGATGTTGTATGTTTCCCGGTCTCTTGTTTACCAAGCATAGCCCAATCAGGAAATCCGAAGAGGCTGCTGTTAGTATCGAAAACCACGAAGAAGACCCTCCCCCCCCCACGTTCGTTCTCCTGACCTCTAGATTTGCCCGAACAGTCTGGATCATATATTTGCGGTTGTAATGCGGAGTGTAACCGACGAGCTTTGGCCGAAAGGATCGAATCATGGCCGAATGGAGACATGCTTCCGTTATTTCGGGTAACTCAACCCAAGATTCAACCCGGACTCAATTGTTCCGCAGTTCAGTACTATTGGCCGCCAAGACCTTCGTGCATGATCATTAGTGATTTCTGGACCTCCCTCGTGCTCGGTATCTACAGGTATAAATGATGCTCATTGCAACCGAGGGTCGAGGCGAAGATCTCAGGGTATGCCCTTTGCAAGAATTCGTCGCGATGGTGTTTCTCAGTCGTACACTCCTCGCAGCCTTTGGGTTTGCTACAGCAGTTCTAGGTCACGGGTACGTGACCACGTTCACCACTGACGGGAAATCGAACCAAGGCTTTCTCTGTATGAACACACCCTAATGATGTTCGATGCCCAGCTCGCAATGATGATGCTTACACTGCTTTGAAGTGGACTACTATTACCAAAAGGTGAATACCGGATCTTTTCCGGACATCGCAGCATGGTAAGTCTGTTTCTTTGATCCATCCGATGCCCATAATCCATACCCGTCCAACCTCATTGCATGAGCTGATAAAATTCCTTAGGTATGCGGAGAACTTGGATAGCGGCTTCGTAGCACCCGATGCATACGGTACATCCGATATCAATTGCCACAAGAATTCGTCTCCAGGGGTCCTTACGACTACGGTCAGCGCAGGCGGTAGCATTACTTTTCAGTGGCCCTCCACATGGCCGCATCCCTACGGTCCCATTCTGACCTATATCGCTGCATGCAATGGCGATTGTAGCAAAGTGGACAAATCAACTCTTAGCTGGGTCAAGATCGATGCATCTGGGATTGACTATACCACCCAGACTTGGGCCTCTCAGGTCTTGATCAATCAAGCCGGCAAATGGACCACCAAGGTCCCGTCGTCTCTCAAGGCTGGAAACTATGTCTTTAGACATGAGATTATTGCGTAAGATGACCCTGCTCTCGTTATAATCATCATATATCTATTGTCGTCACAATGCGGCCATACAACGATGTATTGTCTTTCTGAAAAATTGAGGGAAAAGAATGCTTCTAACGGTCAAAAACCACCTAGACTGCACGGAGCTGGAACGCTCAACGGTGCGCAGAACTACCCGCAGTGCTTCAACATCGCCGTCACCGGCTCTGGGAGCACCTCTCTTCCCACGGGGACCCTGGGCGTCAATCTCTACAAGAATACGGACCCTGGCATCTACTTTAACCCTTATGTGACTATCACTAGTTACACCATGCCAGGACCAAGTCTGTGGACTGGCTAGTTACAATTTGATGGCACTGTAATTGAGTCAAGTAACGCATGTGCTGTTGAATACTAGCAGTACATCTAATCTCTGGTTGCAGTCTTGAATTCTTGATAATATTGGTTCAAGCTCTTTACGAGACTAACGGTTCTGTGTTCAATGGGATTGACTAGGTATTCATTGAATTGAAGTGAAAATTGTCCCTGTATTAAAATTGCAGAGGTTCAATAGCAAACAGTACCGCTTTGCTGCAATTCCCTTAGGTGCCTCTGTGTAAATGCTGCTCACTTTAATGTGTGGGGTGGAGGTTTCGCAATTGTTGGTGAATAGCGGCATGAATAGTCAGTCATATTATATATTACAGAGTCAGGTCATCTATTATATTCTCGGATGCTACTTTAGATGCAGACCTCCACAACACAAGCGTTGACAAACTGTTGTGGATCAAGCGGTACATCACATGGTCCATAAGCATTCGTGTCCACCCATATTCAAGTACTATTGACATCGTGCATCGAAGGTGGTGTGGAAACATTAGTCTGTTTGTATCTAGAAGCCGTTTCCAGATAGTGGTAACTTCGACGGCTCTACATAACATCTATTACCGGCTTCATCTGCATGTGCAGGTTCTTGGCACGCCCAGCCTGCCCAGGCTTGTAACATGGAGATATGGAATGGCAGTAGGACGGTCTAATATCGCAAGAATCGAAGAGTTGGGGATGCTGGCATTATACTAGCCATCGGTGTCTTGGAATGGGGTTTAGAACTCGTAGGATGGTTTTCCACAGTGATGAGGTTGTCGAAGTGCTCTATTCTGGCTTCTTGATGCTGACTTGGAACTTCTGCACCCAGTCTGTGAACTCATCCCTTTCTCCATCCCAAGGCTTGACCAGCATCTCGGAAGCAGCGAACGCATCAAAGAAGCATGCATCCATGCTCTGGTCGATGGCATCCGGCTCCAAGTCATAAAAGGCACATGCCACCTCGTTGAAGCGGTCCGTCAGGCGCTTTAGAATAGCCAGTACCTCATCTAACCTCCTAGGCACTGGCGATGACTCGCTTGCTGGGAGTAGCGGCAACACTTTGAGGCGCCTTTTCACGATAGCAGCGTACAGCAGCGTTGTGAGCCTCAGTCGCTTCAGGCAGGCTTCCAGGCGCTCGCCGATCTTGTCGGAATCATTACGTGGAATATGCCGGGTATTCATGAGATCGTCGACCATGTCTTGGGCCGAGAGGTGCGTTGTATCCAGCTGGTTCGTGACGTACTCGACCTCATCCTCGGGCTCTTCGCCATCCTCGTCATCGTCATCGCCCCGTTGCTCGCCCTCCTCCTTCCACTCCTTGAGCTCGTCAAGTACATCCTGGAGGGTATCCCGGTACTGTTGCACCTTTTTTATCAAAAGATTTGCGACTCCAAATTTCTGGAGCTGGATCACGTCGTCGCAAGCAGCCCAGATGACTCCGGTAACGGTAAGGCTTCCCTTGTCCCCCTTGACGCCATCCCTCTTCTCTGGTGACAGAATATTACCATCCAGGGGAATCACCTCGATCAGCCCCCGTAATTCTTTCAGAACGCGATGGCATCGCCAGGCCAAATCTTCTCGCACAGTTGACGTGTATCTGTCGGCAGCGCAGAGCTGAACGGCGGACGCAAGACCGGGAATGGGTCCAGCAACGAGCTCCTGCAGGACCTTGACCACAGCGGAAGGGGTGAAGGGTTTGTTTATTATGAGGAGCGAGAGCTTGGTGCTGTGAGCGCGAATCAGACTGGCAGAGTCGTGGGCGAGGGACAAAGCATCGATGGACTGCGACTGTGGCGGGGTGTCGCTGGTCGGCGATGGCGGGGTCGTCGTCAACTGGCCTCGGGCAGCTTGGTTCAAAACCTCTTCAAATTGCTTGATGAGGCTGATGGACGTCTGGACGAGGGTTTCGAGGCCTTTTAAAGTGCCCGGCACGGGCTGTGTACCAGCCATTGCAACGAATATTCACTTTGGTGTTGGCTTTCTTTTCCTTGCCTTTTCGTCCTTTTGGTCCTTGGGTCGCCTATGGTCGTCACCGAAATGCTTTAAAGAATTTGGCGCTGCTTTTTTTTTTTTGGCCCCCCTCCGCTGCGCATTCCCTCGTACGTAATACAGACACAGGTTAGGTACATGCATACCTAGTAGGTACCCACTACTACTGCAGGCACCTGGGGTTTTTGAGGGTCGCGCATAGCAGATACCTACTACTTTTGACCTGCATGTAATACAGAGATCATGTACTAGTAATATTCGTTGTGTTATGTCTCGATACGAAAGTGAATATCTCGGTGTTATCGAATTTACTTGTACCGCAATAGCTAAGTAATGATTGAGTCTCTTTTCGAGTCATGCAAAGATTTCTCTACTCCCAACTATGCAAAATGGCAAGGATTCTTAGTATAATTTCTGCATGCATCTTCAAGTGACCAAAAAATTCATCCGTCTTTCACTTACCTACCTACAAGACGATCTAGATTGTGTTACAGTAAAGTCGATTACGTGTGGAATCAAGATTAATCACAACACAGTGCTTCCAATAAGACGAAGAAAAAGCAGATTATTTCAGTATCCATGGTATTCGTGACAAAATGTTTATGTAACAAGAGCTGGTTTGCTGCAAGATGTGCGATGAAGCAGAAGTAGAAAACAACACTGTTTTCACAATGTTCACCCTGACTAGTTCAAGTGAATTCTCATGATAGGGAGTCCCATCATCACGCCTTGGATTGTGCTGGCGGTGGTGCGCCGGGAGGCAGCGTGGCTGCTGCTGCGGCTATGGTATTCTGGACAACGGCCGGCGACGCGGTGGGAGCGGGTGGCTGCGAAGTCCCATTCTGTTTCGCACTGTTGCCCTCCTCCGTTAGCAGTCGACTCAGCAGTTTGAGATCCTCCCTGGCTCGAGGATCTCGCTCAATACATCGCTTGACCGCATTCCACTCGCCTTCCTTCATGCGAGCAGCGTGGGGGAGTAGGAATGTGACAGTCGGACTGGTGAAAAGGGGGCCGAGCACTTGACGCGCCTTCTGCTCTCCTTCAATCTGGGCTTGACGAAGAGCATTCGGGTCTTGTGGCAATGCTTGTGCTGGAGCTGAGACAACTGGCGCTTGCCGTTGTTGTGGTGTTGGCTGCGGTGGCTGTCCAGGTATGACTGGCGGAGGAATTGGCGTGTGGCTTTGGTGGTGGTGAGCTTGAGGCGGGAGGCCGGGAGTAGGAAAGCCGCCTTGCGGAGTAGCAGGTGACCACGCGGGGGCAGGGATTGATGGCTTGCGATCCGGAACAGGTGTGGGAGTGGCCTGAACTGAAGGCGTCGGCGTTGCCTGCTGCGCGCTGGCTTGTTGCGGCGCCTGTTCAGAGTGTAGCTTATCGTCCCTCACCACAAACACCATCAACAGGATTGGCTGCGGTCGGGAAAGAGGAACTATATGTCCATCGATATTCTCCAGGATCTCAGGCAAAGGCCCATCACCTGCAGGGAGTGGTATGAGATAAGTATCTCTGACGCCGCCAAGTTGCCTCTCGCCAACTACTCCGTACCGTTGCTTGGACTGAAAATAGTTAATCACGGCCAAGTATTGGTTCTTGGCACTCGGATCCGATGGATCTGCTGGAGCGAGGCTGGTGATGACTAGATCAACCTGGTTGTTATACCTTAGACCACACAGATATGGCACTGCCTTGTCCTCGGGGATTCGCCCAGCGACCGTAACGAGGGGCGGGATCAAGTCTTTCCACTCTATGCCTCTGACCTGTTGCAAGTTGGCACCCCCGGCGAATTTGGCAACGATATTGCAATCCGCTAGGTTAGTCATCTTAAGATGCCCCTGCCAGACCACGTCCGGGTCGATGTTTTCGGTTGGTGAGTATGGTGGCGAGTCGCCGTCTTCTTGCAGCATACGATCGACGTCTGGATCTACTCCAGGGCCAGCCGAGGGTGCAGGAGCCGAAGGTCGACGTTGGACCGGGCCCGAGGGAGATTTGACGGTGGAGAAAACCTTTTCGAGATCAAAATTGCCTTGCCTAGGTGATTGCTGCTTTCCAGTTGTGTCTACTCGAAGAGGCCCAGCAGTCACATTGGCAGGGAGCTCTACAGAGTTCTCTTCCTGGTCTGCTGGTTTGGCCGCACCCGCGCCCGTTCCCGTAGATTCCCTGATACTCTGCCTACGGATGCTTGAGGGCACCTCTTCGGTCGTCATGAAGCTGTCATTTTCCACGATTTCTTCCCCTTTGTGAGTACGTCTCACTCGAGGACCATCGTCGGTGATTAGTACAGATTGCTTGTCTGCAAGCTCTTTCATCTGCGCCGTTTTGCGTTGCAACTCCTCAGTTTGCATATCATCGCTTGTCATGCCAGCCAAAGCAGGGGCAGTGAGAGTGCGATTCAAGACGCGCGCAGCTAGCTCAACATTCTTCTTTAGATTGAAAACAAGTGTGCGTGTTTGATTGGCATTCGCAGTTGCGTTGGGATGAGTATCATGCACCGCGCGTTCAATCTCAATGGCATGACGCTCAGCAATGGCGATCTTGGCCGTGTCCTTGGGAATCTTGAAGAGCTTGTTCTTGACAGCTTGATCAATAGCAACTTCGAGAGACTTGCGAAGCCCATCGGCACGACTCTTCCTTGTACCCTCCAATTTATCGATGCTTTCTGCCAGGTCGGCCGGCGGCGTATACTTGGGCAGTGCTGGTACTGTGCGTGTCTCAGCAACCTTGCGCACCTTATTCGCAGGACCTTGAGAATGATCTCGCGACTTGCGTTTTGCTTTGGTGGACTCGTCCTCCTTTTTGACTTCCGGGGCAGGAGAGGCTTTGGACTTGGTGGTGGAGGCGGCTGGAGAGGATCGGTCCTTGTCCTTGGTGTCGCTTGCTCGTTTCTTTCCCTTCTTGCCGCCCGATTTCTTCTTCTTGGACTCCTCTTCATGCTTTTGTCGGCGTGTAATCCATAATTGCTCTCCTTTAGCTGTTGCGGCAAGCAGCTCCTTGTGGTCCTCGGGCCGACATTGTTCGCAGAAATACTCCTTAGGTAGATCCTCGTCGAAAACACTCATGCCCATACACACATTGTGCTGCCAAGCGCCACACTGCTCGCAAGCAATCCAGGGTTCGTTAGGGTCGTCATCTTCTTGAGTGGTCGCGCCACATGCACAACGGATGATCTCCTCGTCCTCAACTTCCTCTTCCTTTTCTTCCTTTTCGACCTTTTTACTCTTCTTGGACGAGGCGGCGGCGGCGGCGGCGGCAGCCTTCTTCTTAGGAGCCTGGGGGTTCTCGAGTTGATCGAAGGCCTTGGTGTGCTGACCCTTGGTGGCGCGGGAGGAGCGACGGGCTTCTTGTTCGCCTATTGTAGACGCGTGGTTTGTTAGATCCTCTGCGTGTTTTGCGTTGTTCCGAGTCTGCCTCTGCGACACCATAGTCGATTGACTGTTGCCGGCGATTGGTTCTCCATCATGTTCGTTCGACTCATGGGATGAGGCCGTCGATGATGGTGGAGGTACTTGGGGCTCAACGGCCAGTTGGGATTTGCGGGTTGCGCGCTTACCAGACATGATCGAAACGTGTGGCTACAGGTCCAAAGCTTCCGAGGGAAGGGATATACGGGATTTTTGCTGTAGATGTTGCTGCCTCAAAAGCAATATTTGCGGGAGACTTGACGGCACCTGTAGGTTTACTTATTTGGGGCTAGGAAAAGACCAGAGGAGAAGTTGGCAGTTATCAGACAATCATGAATATCTACGCAGGATGCATGAACACTATGATTCTCTGAGGAGAACGATGGTGCTTGATGACAAGGGATTGTAACGTGAGTATTTTCCCCCCAAGAACTTCAATGCCGATCGCGCCTCTGATGCGCTTGACTGATCCCCGGGCTCGCGTGCGATGCGACTTTCCAAAGCGCAGGACTTGATGACTGGAACGATGTGGAAGGTAAGAGGCGACGGCTTGGTCAGCAGATGACGGTCGCGCCGTACGTATGTATGCTGGATGAATTATTGAGGTTTTGCGCGTACACAGCTGAATATCCACGCCGGTCGCAGTCGGCCGAGGATATGATCAAGTCGACAACGTTGGTGACGCGCGACTCCTGCTCAGGATTTGCGACAGTCGCGACCGCGTGTTTATGAATGGGTCCAAGGCCGGGTATCGGTGGCGCGGATGGGGTTGAGCTTGAGCAGGAGCTACTACGGTACACTTTGATTTAGGTAGGCAAGGTAGGTAGCTGCTGTCAAGGAGCTGGAGGTAATGTATGTAAGGCGCACGTGCCGATGGTGCAAGCTTTAGCGCGAAGAGGACTTGGGCTGTACAAAAGCCAGGTTTGTGGGATGATGGGGCTTTGTAGAGTGTTGATTCGATTCGTTATTTTCTTGAATGATTTCCTCGCATAGGCGACCGTAAATCTCGCTCAGGATGGAAGGGGAAAGGTGTGATGGTGGAGTTGGCGAGAAGAGTGTGATGCCAGCCCGGCATCCGGCAAATCCAGCCCAGAGAGAGAGCCAAAAGGTTGGTCTTTCAGTGGACGGATGAATTGTACCAATGCTATGAGAGCCGCCGCGCACGGTAGTTTGAGCAGGTAGTAGGTACGGATATTGACGTTAAGTAGACTTTTGCGGCGGGGATCTTGGGGCCGTTGCTTGCTGTCATTGGTCCGACCTCTCTCGTCTAGGCACATAAGGTGTGGGCAAGTGGGGATGGTTTTGAGGAAACATTGAAGCTTCAAGCTGTTGATTGTTCTGAGAGCTCCAGTGCAGGCCGTCAATAACGAACCTACGACCGTGTGGCGCTAGCTCTGGGCACGAACTCCATCGCTGTGGCTGATGTTGTCAATCGAAGCCTGGCGCATGCACCAGATTGAGGCTGGCCCGTGCTTGCTCTAGGTAGGTAATCGTCAGTCCTTTGTCCCGCCGCCTCGCAGCTAAACTGCCCTCAAACTACGCGTATGGGTTCGTGCCTAGCTCCAGGAAACAGCTACGATACTCTCTGGGCCTGTTCTCAGCCTTCCCAGACATCAATCCAACCAAGAAGCCAACTCTTTACTTTTCTCCTCCCAAACCTCAAATCACATTCACATCTACCATAACACGTTCATCTTCCAGGCAACAATTTCGCATTGAACGACAAGAACGAATCCCACAGCGCCCATACATCGTCATGTCTCGTCGCTACGATTCCAGAGTAAGCTCTCCAGTGCCGGAAGACCGATCCGCTTTCAGAGGCTTGCCCCAGCTCTCGGTGCATCGCTGATTTGAAATCTGTAGACCACCATCTTCTCACCCGAAGGTCGGCTTTACCAAGTCGAATATGCCCTAGAAGCCATCTCCCATGCTGGCACAGCCATTGGCATTTTGGCAAAAGATGGAATTGTCCTGGCCGCCGAGCGGAAGGTGACTTCCAAGCTTTTGGAGCAAGACACATCGGCCGAGAAGCTGTACATTCTGAACGAGTATGTCAGCACTGTGCATTTCGGACCTACCAATGACAATAATGGTTGCTGACAAGTCATGATGGCAGCAACATGATCTGCGCAGTCGCAGGTATGACAGCCGATGCCAACATTCTCATCAACTACGCCCGACAAGCCGCCCAGCGCTACCTCTTGACCTACAATGAAGACATCCCATGCGAGCAGCTCGTGCGCAGACTATGCGACCTGAAGCAAGGCTACACTCAACACGGTGGTTTGCGGCCGTTTGGTGTATCTTTCATCTATGCCGGATGGGATCCCCAAAGACAGTTCCAGCTGTACCTCAGCAATCCATCGGGCAACTACGGCGGATGGAAGGCAACAAGTGCCGGTGCCAACAATGCGAGCGCTTCGAGTTTATTGAAGCAAGACTACAAGGAAGATTGCACACTGAAGGAGGCTTGTGGCATGGCTGTCAAGGTGCTCAGCAAGACGATGGACTCGACCAAGCTCAGTAGCGAGAAGAGTGAGTTTCTCCCGTGCCGTGGGCCCTGCGGACTCTAAAAGACTACAACTACTAACATTTCTCAAGTCGAGTTCGCCACAGTCGGACAAACGGAGGATGGCAAGATCTACCACAGACTTTGGAGCGCAGATGAGATCACGACACTCCTAAAGGAGCACGACCTGGCCAAGGATGAGAACGTTGATGACAAATAAGTGACAAAATTGAGACATGAAATGGAGTCTTGGGTTGCATCATAGAGCGAGCCGCTGTACTAATACCACTCTGAATCATGATGATCTGGCAGTTTCTTTCTGGGAAAGTTTCGAGGCGTGCAATATTTGTTGAGGCCCAATGGTAGACGATCATAATCCCATGTGGTTGAATTGGTGATGTGAAACAGACAACTTGCTTCTAGCAAGCGATTGTCGCCTTGTCAGCCATTGCTATTCTTCCCAGCCCGTTGTCATTCCACGAAGGAATCTAGCTGGTTATCCAGATCAAGCATGAATGACAACCTACGTTGAACAGCTAGGTGAAGCATCCAGAGTTGGTGTTTTTGAAATGCACGAGAAAAACCAGCCAACCAACCAAATCAGCATAATAAGTAGCGGCAGTTATTGACTGACCTCCAGCCATGCAGACAACATTCTGATGTATCTAGCGTGAATTTTTGGAGAGATGTTGCGCTAACAGGACTGCCCTATATGGCTGTGGCTTCTATGGAGATCCCCGTAAATCAACTCCCAAATTCGAGCTCGGGGGACCTAAAGGAAATCATAATCCCCACCCAGGCCCGTACCTGGCTCAAAGTTTTAGGTAACCTAGGTCCTTTCAAGTCACAGCCATCCAGTCCAGAACATTGAAATCCAGGGCCTCTAGGTGTCTGGTGTGAAGGTTAGGTACCAGTCGAGGTCGGTGAGCAGATGCCCCCCCTCCCCCCTGAGCTCAATCAATCACCAGACTGGACCCCTGCGACACCTCCAGGGCTGTACGTACTATCCTTACCTGCGTGAAGGTGGTACTACCGTGAACCTTCAATAATTCCAGGTGACACGGGTCGCTCTATTTTTCTTTGGTTGTTGTCCTCGACCTTGAGACTCTTACGGCTTCACCATCCGTCTCTTTTCCTTTCCAGCGTTATACCCTCTCCAGAAAGGCAATCTGCGACCATGAGTCTCCAGATCCCCCACCGCGAAAAGACCAATGGCACCGGCAAGGACACCAAGGCCGTTATCCTTGTGAGTATCACTACGACATAGCATACCAACGGATTTGTTACTGCTTGCTGGCTCTTGCCCCAGATCACTGCTCAGCTTCATCCCACCACTCGACCCCACCAAGGGCGTCCTGCAAGATGCTTTTGCATTTAAGCATTTTGAGCTGCCTGCCCGTTTACATGTGCTAATCGCAAACCGTGAACCTAGGTCGGAGGCCCTTCCAGAGGTACTCGATTCCGACCTCTGTCGCTTGATGTGCCCAAGGTGAGTGAATGTGCTGTTCCTGCTGTTCTTGTTCCAGCTCTGACCCTATGCCATCAATAGCCCCTCTTCGATGTTGCCGGCCACCCCATCATCTGGCACTGCCTCACGGCCGTTGCCAAGGTGCCCTCGATCCAGGAGGTCGTCATGATCGGTTACTACGACGAGGCCGTATTCAAGGACTTCATCAAGGACGCATCCAACGCCTTCCCCAACCTGCCCATCAAGTACCTCCGCGAATACGAGGCCCTGGGCACCGCCGGCGGTCTGTACCACTTCCGAGATGCTATTCTGAAGGGTCGACCAGAGCGCATCTTTGTCCTCAACTCTGATGTCTGCTGCTCTTTCCCACTCAACGAAATGGCCAAGCTCTTCGACGACAAGGATGCTGAGGCCGTCATTCTGGGTACCCGGGTCAGCCAGGATGCCGCCACCAATTTTGGTTGTATCGTCAGTGATGCCCACTCACGACGAGTACTCCACTATGTCGAGAAGCCCGAGGGCCATATTTCCAACCTGATCAACTGTGGTGTCTATCTATTTAGTGTCGATGCCATTTTCCCCTCGATTAGGTCCGCCATCAAGCGTCGAACTGACCGCCCTCGTCTCGTCTCGTACCCCTCTTCGGAGAACCTTGAGTCTAGCTTCATGGCCGATGATGACGAGGAGAAGAGCAAGGAGGTTTTGCGTCTGGAGCAGGACATTCTCTCAGACCTTGCCGACAGCAAGCAGTTCTTCGTATACGAGACCAAGGACTTCTGGCGCCAGATCAAGACTGCGGGCTCAGCTGTACCCGCTAACGCTCTGTACCTCCAGCAGGCTTTGCAGAGTGGCTCGCAGGAGCTTGCCAAGGCTGTGCCAAACCATATCATTCCGCCTGTCTTCATCCACCCCTCTGCAACAGTCGACCCCACGGCTAAACTGGGTCCTAATGTTTCCATCGGCCCCCGTGTCACTGTTGGAGCTGGCGCTCGCATCAAGGAGACAATTGTCCTCGAGGACAGCGAGATCAAGCACGATGCCTGTGTGCTCTACTCAATTATTGGCTGGAATAGCCGCGTCGGCGCCTGGGCGCGTGTTGAAGGCACCCCTACTCCTGTCACTAGTCATACCACGAGTATTGTCAAGAACGGCGTCAAGGTGCAAAGCATTACCATTCTAGGTAAAGAATGCGGTGTTGGCGATGAGGTCAGAGTGCAGAACTGCGTATGTCTGCCTTTCAAGACTTTGAAGAGGGTAAGTTGTTCATGTCGTTGCCTGCTACATTTCAAGGCCATCTACTAACACCTCGCAGGATGTCTCCAATGAGGTGATTATGTAAGGGAAGACCATACTAATCCACCATCGCGGTATAAGGGTCACTTCTTCGTTCTCTACAGTCCTGATGTTGCCTGAAGGAGTTCTTGCAAAATTTAGAGGGACAGATAGAACGTCACAAAAAGCATAGCCATTCACGGTCAATACAAGGGTTTCTAGTCCACACTTCTTGACTTCTTTGCTTCTGTCTGTAATTGAACGGTTCGGGACCGGTGTGGGTTATTGACAAGAATTTGTCTACAAGACCATATTGCGATCTGACCACTGATACAAAATCCAGGGCAGAGATGTGCAGACAAGTATGGCATATGATGACAACCTACAAAGACGGACTGTCAAGTAGGTTCAATCCCCGAGCCAACGAGTAAGTGGGGACTGTGGGATGCTTCCTTAGACACAGGACTGCAATAATAATTGTGCTACGAGAAAGTTGACTGCTCTATAAGAGCGTCTAGCAGTGGAGCAGCCAACGGTGCGGTCAACTGAGTACAACTTCATATGCCACGTCCTATACTGCTTGTCCCCAGAGATACATCCTGCGTACTTATGAAAATATCAGATTTACTCATATGTCAAGCCCTGCACAGGACACTCGGATTAGCTCTTCATGGTGATAACGATCTTGTAGTCTGAGATATACAAATCGCCAAGAAGCGGAGGAATCAAGTTGTTCAGTTGTCTTGTTCTAATGAAGCAGTGATTCGAAAAGAGACTTGGTCTACACCGATTCCAATTTGAGTTTTCTGTTGTACAACCATGGGTAAGATGTACAAGCTTGACATACCCAGATGTGGCTTATATTCCCTTTTAATCTGTTGGATTAGCTGGGTTCTACCAGAACAATGTGGGCATCTAGTTTGCAGGGTGCCGAGCGCTCTCCCTCACGGTGACCCTGGCTTGATCGGTGAGAGAGATTACCAGGCTGTTATTGAAATAGTATTCGATGCCTTCTCGGGCAGTGTTGGAGACCCGAAAGTGGAACGGGCATGTGAGGTCCAACATTTCGTACCTCCATAGACACGTCTTTTACTATGGTTGCTTTCCTTGCTTTCCAAGTTGCTCATTTGTCTCCTAGTTGCCATTCATATGTCTCAAGTCCCATTTGACCAATTTTCATGCTTGCATTTGGCTGCAATAATCTATCTCCCAAAACAGTCACCTGCCCTCCTCTCATTCTTGTCACTTTGTGATCTGACTTTAATTGCACAGTTACCTACATGATATCATGATATACAGAACCTATTTAAGTGACACAAGGCCTGGTGCAATTCTCAAAGTGTCATTTAAATCCTAATGGAAAGCATGCGATCATGGCTGTTCGCGTGAGATAGAACTGATAGTCTAACCTCCATGATTCTGATATTCTGATATTCTGATTGCCAGTTCTACCTGATTGGGAAAGGTCTCACTTTGCCAGCCAAGTAATCATCTCGGCGAGCCGTAATATTCACACATTTCTACCAGGTAAACAGGTACTTTTGTGAAGCGTTCAAAGAGCCTCTGATAATGGTCAAGTGCCTGTTTTTACCATGTGGCTGCGTATCCGTGTTCAGCTCCCGGCAAAAATCGTTGGGCGAAGCGGTGATTATGATATCGCTAGTGTTGAGCTTACTCGACCCTTTGATCTGATATAATCTGTATCCGTGTTCGTAGCCAAGAACTATACCCTGCAAATAAGCCAACATCACTCCATTGATCGCAAACCTCTACTAAGGCCTCGTAGCGTTCTATCATATATGCATGCTTCTTATCTTCCGTGCGGGCTTGCAACTCGGAAGATCTGCATCAACAGTTAGCGATTACAACCAGAGACGAGCATTAATCAACGCCCTGTCAGGGTTTATAGTATGTCCCTTGGGCTTGCTGCAAGTCACACGAGGAGATTCGGAATATGAAGTGGGTTTTCGTGCCGGTATTCAAAATGTATGCAAAATGCAGGAAGTTTCTTACATTGCGTGTGTGATCTTGCTTAGGCAAACGGGGCACAGATAGGGCGGTTGTCGCACATCTTCGGCCATGCTAGCCGTGCTTTGCATCATGCAAGCGTAGTAGTTGCAATGACCCATCCCCAGACAGTGTCCGAGCTCGTGGGCTACAGTACGTGCCAGGCGCGAGAACCATAGACCATGCAGATGACCGACAATGGGCCCGACACCTGTGGCAGCATGAATAGCGGCACGCATTGGCGAGGTAGTTGGTATTCTTGAATTGGATACCTCCGTGCACATGGTCATCGCGTCTCCTCGTTCGCAAAGTTGTTCAATATAAGTGGTGCAATGAGAATTCGGCCACATGTGTTCGGGATCAATGTCCGCATCCTCATCAAGCACAGGTTGGTACCTTGCTGATGACACAACACAAACACGACTGCCGCCATAGGCTCTCCCGCAACAGAAGTCGTCTTCTTCGTCCTCATAAAGATCATGATCGGTCAGGAGGACTAGAGCATATGCGTCTCTGGGGAGCATTGCGATGGCTGCGTCAAGAATATCCTCTAGGTTCAATTGTCCGGCAAAGATACCATCAGGAGAAGGACGAGCCCGGATACGAGTGCAATTGTTGGAAAGCGCGATGCCAACATATTTTTCATTGCTTGCTTGCTTTTCCAACCACGGCACGAACCGGAGGCGTTCTGGGAAGCTTTTGACAGTCAAGCCAGGATAAAATGCTGCCAGATACTCTATGACATCCTTGCTGAGCAGTGGTTGTATCTTGTCAAATGGCTCAGCGATGGTCTTGGCCTTCTTGCCTTTCGGCAGCTTGGGTTTAGACCAAGTTTTCATATGCCTCATCGGTGCGGTGATCTCGGGTGTGGATGCCACATAGAGCGTCCGTCGTTCCTTTGTTGGCTTGTTCCGCTCGCTCTCCAAGAGCCATGACCGGAAACTTTGGGGTGGATCTTTCGGATCTATATCCAAATGATCATTCGGCAAGACCAGAGGGCCTGGAAAGGATGCTGCGATATCTGCTGCTGATTTGGATGTTAGTTCCCCCAGAGCCTTTTCGCCAATGCCCCCAACTGCCAAAGGATTCCGACCAGATTTCGTTGTTGCGGCAAGCCGACGATCAGCATTTGGTCGTTTGAAACCCGCCCCGGCGGCATGTGGTGATGTATCGTATTGCAACTCTGCATGATCACATTGTTGCCGCCTAGACATCATTGCGCGAGCGGGATGTGCTGGATTTGAGTCAGATGCCTTCCAGTCGTGGGATTAACTTTTTGCATGTCCGAGAGAATGGTGTCTAGAGATACTACCTAGCCTCTCAGGTCTGGCTCTGACATGTTTGTAAGACTTTGTTATTGTTTCTCGGATTTAGGCAGACATCTGGGTTGCGTTATGCGTGCGGCTCTCAGTGCTGAGTAGGCGCGACTAGTGCAAATTGGTGCACAGGATACTCCTATCTAGTGTAAGTACTGTATACCTAACCTAGGTAGGTTAAGATATATAATGAGTGAGGCATCAATAACATGCTTCCTACTCACACAGAAGTTTCTGTGCACGGTTGCGGACTTTAATGAACTTTGCTATAGTCATTAGACAAAGACTTGTCCATTTTGGGGTTCCATGTGTTTTATATACTTATAAAAGTTGGACAGTTCAAATTTACTGCCAGATCGCTTGGCATCTGTCGGAAAGTAGCATCATTTCATCTCCTGGTTCTCAGGTTATCCTGCTTCAGAGTTGATGCGATGGGTACTATGTACTACACAGCACGGATCAACCATTACGACAAGCAGTGGCGCTGCCGGAAGTAAACCACCAGCCACGGTGCAGCGACGGATAAATCCCGAACAACTAGGTATGATGAACGAATTGATTGAACCGTAAATGAAATCGTTTCCGACGATCGCGGAATCGGAAACCAGTGGATTCGCGGGGGCTTCCCAGCGGCGGGGCGGATAGCACCGGCAGAGGCCCCGCGTTTCTGTCTTGCGGGCGGGCAAGACATGTCCATTGACTGTATGTATCTCTAGGTAGGTAGGCGAATAGGTAATATAAAATGAACAATATTAGGGACGACTTTTACAAGTGATGAAGTAAAAATTTGCTCCCTCTCCCAATTTTCCCCCATTCAACCCGAGAACTTCTTGATCGAGCTTCTCTATTTCTCACGAAGAAAAAGAGTGACTTCTCTTCGTACCTCACCCGTAAGCTGTATACCGTTCCCAATACCAGTTCCACACAGTCAGTCAACATGGCGACGACTTGGGTTCCCGACGTGTCGCCGGCTAGTCCCTTCTCACTGGCCAATATCCCTTTCGGCATCATCACCACCCAAGACGATCCCACGCCTCGTGCTGCCACTGCAATTGGCTCTCATGTGCTGGACCTCAAGGCTTTGTCACAGTCCAGAAGTCTCATTGATGGCGGCGACCAAGATCACGTCTTTAGTCAGCCAACTTTGAACGATTTTGCTGCCCTCGGCAGACCAGTTCACCGCCAGGTTCGGCAACTGCTGCAAGACATCCTGGCCGTCGACACCAAGTATGCCGATGTTTTGAAAGACAATGAGTCCCTGCGGCAAAAGGCCTTGATCCCACAAAGCAAGGTCAAGTTGCACTTGCCCATGCGTGTTGGTGACTATACAGACTTCTATGCCGGCTACAACCACGCATACAATGTTGGAGTCCTTTTCCGAGGGCCCGCCAACGCCTTGCAGCCCAACTATACACACCTACCTGTGGGCTATCATGGCCGTGCCTCGAGTATTGTTGTCTCTGGCACACCCGTCCCCAGACCCTGGGGTCAGATCTTGCTCGACCCAACTGCCGAACCCAAGCAACCAACCACGGCTCCCTGCCGAAGACTGGACTTCGAGCTCGAGCTGGGCTGTTTTATCAGCAAGTCAAACTCTCTCGGAGACCCCATCAAGGTCGACAATGCCGAGGAGCACATTTTCGGTTATGTCCTTCTCAACGACTGGAGTGCCCGAGACATTCAAGCATGGGAATATGTGCCACTGGGACCCTTCAACTCAAAAAACTTTGCTTCAACCATTAGCCCGTGGGTTGTTTTGGCCGATGCTCTCGAGCCATTCAGAACGACGGGTATTGAGAACAAGGCGCCCCGTCAGGACTACCTGAGCGAGAGTCAGACAGAGACAGCGTTTGATATCAAGCTGGAGATTGATTTGACCAGTAAGTTGTGGGAACCTCTAATCCATGCATATCTGCCGTGCTAACCATCAATAGCCCCCGAGGGAGACACAACTACGATCAGCAAGACAAGCTCAAAGAACCTCATGTGGTCCTTCCCGCAAATGATTGCTCACCACACGCTGGGAGGCTGCAATCTAAACACTGGTGATCTTTTGGGTTCTGGTACCATTAGTGGTCTTGAGCCGTCTGAAAGAGGCAGCCTATTGGAGATGAATGAAGGCGGAAAGAAAGACATCATGATTGCCGGCATGAATGTTCGCAAGTTTCTGAAAGATGGCGATACCATTACGATGCGTGGCGTGTGTGGCAACGATGGCGCAAAGGTTGGGTTTGGCGACTGCAGAGGAACAATCCTTACTGCTATCCAAAGGTAAGCGCTGGCGCAAATCCAACCAGAGCGGACTTCCCTTCCTGTACTTGCTACCTGATAGTCGAGAATCGAGACTGTACCGACAGACGCGGTAGGGTTTAGATAGAACAAAAGATTCACGACCGTACGCCTGAGCCTTGGTGAACTTGTAAGCTTTGGAGATGTGAGTATGAAATCCGACAGGTACACAATGTGAGCAGTAAGCAAATGTGTACGCACGAGTGCTATCTTGCTTTGGAAGACATGTTTTTTTCCCCGTTGCGAAGAGGGGGGGAAAAGACCAATTTTTACCCAGGTAAAGAAAATAATCATTGCTCTTAATTACACTCCTTTTTCTTTGTCTTTTCCTAATTTCTTCTAACATATATTTGTAAATTTAAATCAATCCAGGCCGTTGTGCGCAGACTTCCGCTAGGTTAGTGTACCTACCTGGGTATATACGGACTCCTGCAGGATTAATTATATTGCTGCACCGGAGCGTAAACGACGCAAGAGGATTTATTTATTGCTTTTATATTTAAGTCGCAGACACTAAGATACTTATTATGCATTTAGGTACGAAGTATTGTAGCACTATGGATCGTGGAATTCACAAGGTAGGTACTCATCAAGATTTCTCTTATGCCTCGACCGTCAGCGTTCGATAATCTCTTGATCAGCGTCGGACCTTTTCACCAAAGACCATCCTAGTATGCCTAGATGACGAATCGGAAGCATTGCTTTGCTATACAAGGCGACTGGCAAGCCTGGGTTCAGGGATTCAGCAGCAACGGCCCCCATATCTCCCAGAGAGCTAAAGGACAGCTGAAATGTCAAAGATGGGTAAATGTAACATAGCACCCCATCAGCCTGACAACAGTGCGCTGTGACTCGCAGTGGTGCATCCTTCAGGCAAGATTGGCAGCAGAAACCTGCCGGCGAGTCAGGAAGTCAGCCGCCGGCCTCTAAGGGGGAGGCGACGCTTTTGTGATAGATCGTCTTTCCAAGTATACTAATACAAGAGTAAAGGCCATGGCCTGCAAGACGGCAGCCTTCTTGTGTTTTCTCTGATTTCATTTCATTCTACCTCACAGCCTGCCTGGCCACCTAAGAAAGAACAAAACAAGCGGCTGTACACGCATTACGTACCAAGGTCAAGTCTTGAGCTGCTTACCCGCCCAGGAAGATACGTTCTCCGCCAAAAGAGGCACCAGAGACAAGCATAGGATGGTGATCTGCTCGTCGATCTAAACCCCCCCGAACCACCCCCAGCGCAGCTTGCCAACCTCGGAAGTGCCCCAGATGGCGAGTCCCGACTGGGTAAGAGCCAATAAACTCTACGATGCATCACGTGACGCGCTGGAGGCCCCCTGGCAGCCAGCGGGGACTGGGGCGGGCCCCTCCCCTTGGGCGTTGCCTTGGCCGCTGGAAGAGGGACCTGTGACTGCTAGCGGAATTCGCGGAGTTCACTCAAAATCTCAGATCAGTGAATGGCCAGGGAACTTTGCATCCGTCGAGTCGCGCGAAGACGTGCGACGAGGCATTGTAGCGACGGCCGCTGGGCAAACAAAAACCGAATGCGACAGAGGGATGGATCTCCTCGAGAACCAGGTCAATGACCTCAAATACCTGAGCCAGAATGCCATCACCCCCCTGCCCGACTCGACAGGCTTCACGCCGCAAAGTGCAGCTTCTCCCGTTTCCGCGGTCGGCCATAATTCCGCGCAACATCACCACGGAGCCTCGAGTTCGACTACCACTTCCGACAATCACAATGCTACCTCTGGCGTCGTTGCCGCTGGATCCAAGAGGAAGGATCTAGATGATGGCTCGCAGAATGGAAGCAGCAAGCAGCAGCGAAGCAAGCGGAACCGCTACATCTCCATCGCCTGGTAAGTTGTCAGCATCATCACCATCACGATCCTCTTTGCCATCATCATAGTCATCACCACCATCCCTAGCGCGGCTCTCGTTGTTTGGACGGGTGCCTTGTTCCCTTTGCCGTCTGTATGACCTCTTACCTGTGCAGAACTTACTCCATCCATCTAATGCCCCTCGTTTGGTGTGAGACATGTCCTTCCAAGCCACCAACTTTCTTCTATCTTCCTTTTTGCCACTTTTTGTGCTAATGATTTCTCCTTTGTTGCAGTAATGAGTGCAAGCGTCGCAAGATTAAGTGCAATGGCGAGACACCATGCCAACGATGTGGCAATCTCAACCTTCAATGTCTCTACGCGCCCAATTGCTGCACCAACAACTTCAAGGACTCGGAAGAGTTTAAGCAGATGAACAGCACCGTTTCGCGCCTCCAGGAACAAGTTGAGACCCTCTTCAATAACATCAGCAGCCTGCGGTCCGAGACGTTACGGCTCGCTCCTCTTCAACCTCAGGATAGGGTTCTGCCTTTACCAGCCCCCGCGAGCACAGGCACTCCTTCATCTTCAGCTTCAGGCGCGCCTCATCATCGACCCGACGTGAGCCATCCACGCCAGCCAGGCTTCCGAGGCCCGACCAGCACTCACTTTAGCCTTGATGTCGCCAAAAATACCCTGCACAAGATGGGCTACAGTAACATGGGCGAAGAGGCACCCGATGATGGTGCTATCCCACCAGAGGAGACGCCGGGAACATCGCCAATGCTCGCATCAGCCGCCCCTGACTCGCAGCGCCCTTTCCCGGACCCTCTTTGGGAATTTGACAAGGACGAGATGATTCGCCTCTGCCGAGTCTACGAGGAGGAGGTCGGTATCATGTACCCCGTCATCCGAGTCGAAACTGTTGTAAACCACACCAAGATCCTTGCCTCGTGGATGGATGCAGTCAAAAAGCACTTCCAGAAGCGTCCCGTGAGCCAAGAGGCCGGTATCTCGGACCACAAGACTGTCATTCTCAAGCTGGTCATGGCCACAGCTCTGATAGTTGAAGAGCACGGTGACAGCAGCAAGGCGGTTAGAATTCTGGACAGTATACAGCCCATTCTCAACAGAATGCTCATGAGCGATCCGAGTGACGTTGCCAACCTGCCGCTGCTTTGTCTGCTTGGTGTCTACCACTTCCTCGCCAACGATGAAATTCTCGCATGGAGGGTGGTTGGCCAGGCTTTGCGGCACTGCATTGAGTTGGGATTGCATCGACGCGAGGCGATCCTGCGGATACCGGATGAGGAGGATCGCCGTAACGCCATCCACACCTTTTGGAGCTCGTATGTTTTGGACCGACGGTGGAGTTTTGGTACTGGGCTTCCTTATGTTGTCTCAGACGACGAGATTGATCCAAATCTCCCTCTACCGGTGAGTAGCAAATTATGGATGCCTGAGAAATCTACCACTGACAGCAAGCCCAGGACCAACATCCATATCTGGTAGCTATGGTGTCATACTCACAGCTTAGTGCTAAAGTATGGCGTCTAGTGAGGCACTTTGAACCCAATATGGCTCTGGATCTTCGCCAGAATGACATTGAGGAACTTGACCGCCAAATCAAGCAATGGTACACGGAAGTTCCTGCAGAAGTCCAACTCGAACTTGAGGATTGGGAGTCCATGCCACCGGAGATCAGCTCGGCTATGCATACCCAAAAGGACTACAATCTCCAACGTCTACAGATCTGGACCTATCTGCGCCTGAATCAGATACGAACATGGCTGCATATGCCGATTTTGCACACTCACAGTAGCATCATGGAAAACCTCCGGGGCGCAGAACAAGCCGTCAAGCTTGCCAAGAATACCATCAAGTACCTGACTCATCTCAACAGTACGACGAACATTTACCGCAAGATTCAGGTGTTCTACCACCAATTCCTGACCTCAGCAATTGCCGTACTCTTTCTAGCTTCTTGCCATGCGCCCGTCAACTTCAGTGCCGCCTGTCGCGATGAATTCTACATGGCGCTTGAACTTGTTCGAGACCTGAGCACCAAGTCGTGGGTGTCACAACGTCTTTGGCGGACCATCAAGTCCCTCAAAGAAGTGGCACCGCGACTGGGACTTGCCGAGGTGGATGATCCTCACTCAAGCGCAGCATTAGCCATGGCAGGCTTGGCCACGGGGCATATGGGGCCGGCCACGACACCGCCAGCCGGTTCTACGGCGGCATTCACCCGACCTGTGCCGCCCACTAGTGCACCTCCAAATGGTGTACCGGCCGTCGATGGTGCCCAAAACGGATGGCAGATTTCGCATGAGATGTCAAGAATTTTTGAAGGATACATGGGCATGAATGGCTTCCCACCCCCGCCTCTTGACCCTCTTGGTGCTTCTGCAGACCCAAGCCGCGCAGGTAGCGAACTTACCCAGCCTGTCCCCGTGGACGACGGCGTGCCCATCGGGCCATTTGGCGTTTCTGTGTCAGGAGCTGCCGTCCCAAGCGTTTACAGTCATTTTAGGGACATGTTTTAAGCTTTAGATTCTGCTGCATCGGCTAGCCATGTATTGATATATCCTGTACCTATATTTTTGTTTTAAACCTGCATCGACTTGGTATTCGAATGATGAAGCAACAAAGTGATCGAGCCAGCCCTGCTTTTCAACGTGTATTTTACATATACCAAGCCCATACTGACCAAAGTCCCTGCGAGGTGGTCCTCCTGCTGTTACAGCATGATTTTATCTCCCCCAAGTATGAGACTGGACATTATAAGGCCTTGTAACATTGAAGGCCTAGTGTGCATGCGGCTGGAGGCAAGTGGCAGCCGCAGCTTGTCGCACAATCATACGTATGTTGGGGCCTTGCTCTGTCTCTACACCAGGAACGCAGCTGTACATCGTATGGTATGGGTACCATGACCAAATTGTACTTCGCGTTGGCCAAATCTTTCGTCATGTGAACGTGCTCAAAGTTTCTGCAGGAATCGAAAAGATGACAGGACTTTGATACAGGCCTCAAGAGATTGTCACGCATTTTTATCTCAATATCAAGGCAGATCTATCAGTCTGCAGCTCTTTTGTACTGGAGCCGTAATCAATCCAGTGTTCCCTGCCTTGTTTGCACGTCTAGGTACCGATAGTGAGCCTGTTGAAAACAAATCTTTGCTTCGCCAATTACACTTTGAGGCTCCCATGGTCATCTTATTGAGTTGTGTGATTGCCCAAAAAAAAAAAAAAAAAAAAAAAAAGGGAAGGCGGTCGCTTCAATTATTGACTTCATTTACCATATGACAAGATGAGACTCAAAGCAGCACCAGGAACTCAAAACCCACCTCTAATGTGCCCTAATCGTCACATTCATGCATATGTACCCCAGACGAAGGAGCGTCGGCTGTGCCACAAAGAGACATATACGCCGTCTTACTGCTCCGTCTTACTGCATGTGCATCAGACGACTCTCGGTCATTGCGAACTCCACATAGTCTTGGGATGATATAAAACTCATTGCAGCTGAATAATTCCAACCGCCTCGTCCCCCCCTTCCAAGCCCCCCTTCACCAAAAATCGAATTTTTGACCTGATTCTAAGAACTGTCCATCGGGATGCCAGGTTTCATCCTCAAGTTGACGGCCATCTTGGTCGTGGGGCTGGGCGCTTTGCTTTACCAAGCACAACTGCCACGCATGATCAGTCTCGCCCTGGGCCTCGGCCAGACTAGTGCTCCCCTCAGCGCCTACCCGTACACGTGCCGCAGGCTTCACCACGAGCGCCTCAAAGCCTGTGAGGACATGTGGCTCTCAGAGGCGACGCGGCAACTGTTTCTAGCATGCTCGGATCCTTTAGCCAGGTCAGCGTGGGCACCGAGGTGAGTGGAATCAATTGATGTGGACGATCATAATGGCGCGTGACAGTAGCTGATAGATGGGCCTCGTGTGGTAGCCAGGGCAGCCTTGATGTATCAGGACGGAGTTTGAATGACGCAATCATCGTAATCGATGTAGATGACCTTCCCGCAGGTCCCGATGTCACCAGATTGCGCGTCTTGTCCATGCCCGGGTTCGCAGGTACCAATGGAGATGGCCTTCTCAATGTTGCTGGATTCGGGGCAACCGACGACGACGAAGTGGACAGTATCCGCCTCTGGATTGTTAATGAGAGGCCATCTCTTAATCTCACCAATGGAGAGATCTCGGAGCAATCCAAGTATGGGGCCAACACCACGATCGAGCTGTTTCGAGCTGGACCGAGGGCCAACCATATGGAGCATCTCAAGACATTCTCGCATGAGCAGATTGTCAGCCCGAACAGGATTGCCCCGGTTGGTGGGAGAACGGATGCATTCTACTTTACAAATGATCATGGTACTGCGGCCAAAGTCGGCTGGGTAGGTTTGTTCCACGCTCAAGACTGCGCATGGTGAATAAATACTGAGGAATTGCTCTAGAGACACCAGCTTTCGCCAATTCTCGGAACAGGCGATGTTTCTTTCTGTGATGGCGATGCCTGCCGCCAGGTCGTGCCTGGACAAAAGTTCCCCAACGGTTTGATACGAGGTCGTGATGGGCTGATATATGTCCCTAGCTCACTACTCGGCACCATTGATGTATACCAACCGCAGCCTGGTGGTGATCTCGTTAAACTACACACAATCGAGACTGGATATGCGATCGATAACCTTAGCCCGGATCGCGATGGCCAAATATTCGCTGCGGCCATCACGAACGCGATCAAGTTTTTTGCAGCTATAAATGATCCTTACAACAAAGATACGCCTACTGCTGGGCTTAGAATCACGAAGGATGCCAACGGAGGATACAAGGTTACAAAGGTTGTGGAAGACGGTCTGGGTGAGGTCCTGCCCGGATCTACCACAGTTGTCCACGATGCGACGACGGGGCGTATTTTCTTTTCAGGTGAGTTTGCTGCAACTACGATGGCTAGTGTTAGAACCATCATACTGAAAACACATGTTCAGGAGTCGTCTCTCCGTATATTGCTGTCTGTGATCGGATATAGGACTCTTTGACCCATCAAAAGCCCTTCACTTAGAGCACGCGAAAGAGAACAGTCGCATTGTACACTTGTATCATGTTTGATTTTCTCTACCAATGCGACGATTGGGGGGTACTGGCAAATATCTTTGGGGGAATATGGCGAATTGCTGGAAATGCGATTCCTGATCGGCTCCAGAACGCCCACGCTGCTCGCTGTCTAACATCATCATGGTCATGGCTTCTTTTCCTTCCTTTTTTCCGTCCTCCTGAGTCCCGCCTGGTTTCGTTTCCACTTCCGGGTCCCTCCATCGTTATGTTCGAGCAACCACGACCCCGTTACCGGATGTTCCCCGACCTATATGTTTGCCATGTCTGGTGGGGGCTTCTGCTTCAATATTGCTCCACAACCCCATTTAGGAAGTGGGAGAAAAATCCAATCAAACTGTCCCCTGTGTTGAAACAGACCTGGTCGTACGAGCACTCGAAGATATGGAGGAGCCCTCCCTAGGTTTCTGGCACCACACAGTCATGCTTTATCCCCAGCAAATGCCGCGTTAGCAAATCTTCAATTGCTTTGTGAGCATAAAACTTTCTTACAGTGTCAAGTATCCATGGACATCGGTATCCGCAACCTCTTTCTTCAGAGCAGAGAGTAACTCCTGCACCTGTTCGTGCGTCCAGCCCAGGGCTCCCGTGAAGATTGGCATGGTGGCACCTTCGAGGAAAGTCTGAACATTCTCTGCCATCATCTTGCCCTGCTTCTGCAACCGCTTACCAGGTGCCCACGGGTTGAGAGGCACGGGATGTCTCCTCTCCGTCACATGGAGGCAGCCCTTATCCTGCATGATGGACTTCCACCCAAGTGCCCAGTACGGAGAGCTCCCGAATTTCCGCAAGCCTCGCTTGAAGTTTTTGTTCCAAATGTTGAACATATTCAGAGAACGGTTGCCAGACTGAAACTTGACTAGCCATTCGGTGATCTCAATCCACCCACCGGGCATGAGGTGCTCGTACATGGTCTCGAACAGCTTGTTCTTCCCATTGGGCAATTCACCTACCACTAACCAGAGCAATACCGGAGTCAGTCAGCCTTTCCGACAAGATATACGTTACGAGTGCCCGGGTCCCGGTCCCTTTTTTTCTTCTTTGGGCTGCCGCATCAATACACTCAGCAGGGTACCGCATACGCCTGCAGAAGAGCCTCGAATAGGGGGACAAGACGGGGGAAACAACAACAGGACTGCTTACTGCGCATGTGGATAAAATCAAAATTTTGATCAAAAGACCAGGGCTGTGATGCATCAACTAGATCAAAGCGGCAGTTTGGCAGCATGTACGGCGGTTTTACGGGGTCAACATCTATGCCTAGAATCTGGGCGTCTGGAAATTTCTGGGCTGAACACTGGCTGTTAGTACTACATCTCGGTCATTTGAGGGGGGGAAAGTAAATGATCTTGCTTGCCCATTTGCTGCATCACGCCGTCAGTATCTCCAGGTAGGTATGAAATGCAAGTTGGCAAGAGGACTCACAAGTGGCCAGAGACCCGGGCCCGTCCCAATGTCGAGAACCCTCCTGGGCCGGGCAGGGCAAAGGAATAGCTTTCCATCGAGCACCTCTAGAAACAGCTGGTGCTGCAGTACTGTGAAGGGTAAGTAAATCTGACGTGTATAGAGCTAGATGAATTGATAACGGCTTACTGTTTCTCTCCCTCTCGATCTACATGGAGCCAAACCGGATTAGTCTCGACGTTATCTGCATGGCATGATGTGGAGGTATAGTAGAGGAAGGGATAACCGGCTTACCTGATCGTTCGGCAGAAACGCCTTTCCCCGAAAGCCAGCCTTCTTGTTGAAGGTCCTTCCAAGTTTTCTGGAAAGATACCGCACGAGCCGGTTGGAGCTCTGGTGCGTTACCGTCGAGGTCCTGCGTGAATGCGGCTTGTTGTTAGTCTTGGCCAGTTTTCCACGGATTTGTTGGCAGACCGACAGAATCAGAGACAAACAAACAGACAGACAGGGCTTATCCACAGGCAAGACAATATCCACCCATAGGCGGCCAAAAAGAGAGTGAGAAGAGGGTGGAGGGGGGGGGGATCGACCTTACCGCTTCAGGGTTTTGACCGTCTCTGGTCCCGAGCCGTCGGACGAGTCCTCCGCGGGAAAGTACTCCACACTGTCAGGATCGGCGGATGCCGCGCTTGAGATGGAGACTCGGCGGCTCTCGTCATCTTGAGACTGTTCGGCAATTGGCAGTGGTCAGTTGAAAATAGCCATATTTTTTGTTTCCCCCCTCGTGGCTGGCTCGATCTCTTGCAGCATGAGCCCGGGTGGCGACGGAAGATATGGGTTAGAGTGGTGGTACCTTGGATGATGCATATGCATGCGTGGAAGAGGAGCCTCTGGGTTGTATCTGATGGAGGGAGGACGGTGTACTTGGTGCTGTCGAGGAGGCGGTGAGAGAGTCGGTACTAGCCTTGTTGATGGAAGGCCGAGAGGCCTGGAGGGATGAGGAGTCGTGGGACCAAGTTGAAGATCCTGTTGATGTCTCATGTGAAGGTTGGCTGCGCAATTGGGAGCCGGTTTGATTTCGTTTGTCCATCCATGAAAGAGGTCACCTCGGACCGTGCCGAGGGGTGGCGGCGTGCTGATGTTACCAGAGGGGATGGGGGGGAAGAAAAAATACAAAATAAAAGGTAGGTAAGGTCACCCAGAGAAGGATCAATAAGCAGCAGCAGCAACCCAGCAGCCAAGCAGCCAAGCGAGCAGACAGGCAAGCAGGGAGGCAAGCAAGCAGGCAGGCAGGTTACTTGCAGTAGCAGCAGCAGCAGCAGCAGCAAAAGCGTGTCAAGCTGGATGGGACGTATGGACGTATGCAAAGCAGCGGCACACACACGTGGCACACTAGACCTGGGGACCGGCCGAGGCCTCGGGGCGGTGGAGAGAGGCCGGGCAAAAGACTGTCGTCTGTCGGGTGTATGCTTCGGTCTCTTTTTCTCCCTCTCACTACTACTGAATCGGTGTCTGGCTGGTTGGATTCCAGGCGGGTAACGAGACGAGATCCAGTGCAATGGTTACAGAGTGGACTTTGCCGACCTGGCTCGCGTGTGTCTTGGGGTTTGGGTTTGAAATAGGACGAGGTCTACTGACTGCCTACTGCCGGATCCTAGGTAGGAGAGAGGAGACAGGGCGGGGTGAGAGACAGGAGACTGGATCAGAGACAAGAGAAACAATTGGTATTCAAGGCAAGCAAGCAGAGCCGATCGTTTGGGCTCTATGAACTCTTTTTCTATCAGGGCCCGAACGCCGACCACTAGGCCCTCCCCCTTCACACCCCTGGCGCTCATGTGCAGCTTTCTCCATTTGTTTTTTTTTTTCTTTCTGGTGGATTTTTATGATTTACGAAGCAAGGAGGTTTTCTTCTTATGTTCATATTGTGATTGTGGCACTGGCAGCTTCTCTGTTTCTGGTTATCAATAGTCGGTGCTGGCGCGTCGCAGCCTATGCCCGCTTGAGGCTTAGACTTTGAGCCTACCACTATGGATTCCGTTCCGATTGGCGACCGCCGCGTGGCCCGAGACGGGCTCTTAGGTCTGCTTCTTTGCTCAGTACTCTTTGTTGTAAGCCCTAACAGCCGTTGTATTGCGTTCTTTTTTTTCCGGGCTCGCGTTGTTGTTGGCAAAATTCACAAGGGTCTCAGTTGTTTGCTACAATATAACATGCATACTGCAGGTAGCAGACTTCTACCTGGACATCTTTCCCGGTCATTATGTTTGCTTCCTTCGGGTCCGGGGACTGCCGGGGGAGGGGGGGGATGGGAGGGGGCCGGCCAAGGGGGAAATGGCTCGTATTGCCGTCATTTATCATGTACGTATAGGCAGGCAGGCATGTATGCATGCTCGGTACTGACACACACTTGCATTGTCCGTTCAATTCGCGAAACCCTGACTGAACAGGGCGTTTGACTTACTAATTCACCCTCTGCTGAAGTCATTAGGGGCCTTTATTCGACAGGGGCGTTGGCAAACTTTGACCGCATGCGGCATCTTGGCACCGCACCCGTGACTGGACCGGGGACAAGTTTTTTCTCTCTTCTCAACTGAAACTATCTCTCGTTCGATGAAGTTTGGGCTGGGTTGAACAAATGGGACGAAATCTGATCATTGATAAGGTAGGCAGGTATCTACGGTATTCATCACCACTATCGACATGCCAAGGATCCAGCTCAATCACTTAGGACCAACATTGATGAGCAGTGAGCGACCCAACTTTAGCTAAAGGAAAGTTCCAAAGGCCCCAACCAGCGACGGATGTGTCCCGAACCAAGATGACGGCTACCATGGAATTATGGACCGCACCAAAACATAGCCCGGAGAAGCTCCGTCAGCGTATACTCACGTCAAAGTGGCTCGCAAGATCCCCGAATGGTGCCTATGTATATCACACGTGTACAATGTGACGATGAAACGTACGCGAGATATTAGGTAGCACTGAGCAAGTCGGCACTTAGATGGGCGCGAGGTAAGTAGGTAGGTAGGTAGGTAGGTAGGTCGACGTTGGGTGGTAGGCGACCAGACTGCAGCTGCTCATTGTTCGTCTCCCTGCTCAAGTGTTGTGATGTGATCCCGCTATGATGGCACGATCAGTCTGACTCAACGCTAACGAAAAACTATCAATGAACGGATGACGATCAACCGTAGCAAAAATGTGGATTTGCCTCGGGCCCCGGGTATCGCCAGCAGAGTAAACAGCAGCTCATCTACCACAGTTGGGCAGGTAATCAAACTAATTGCGACGGTACGACGGGTAGAAATCAACCTTTTTTTTTTTTTTCGTTTTTTGGCGCTATCATCTTGATGTTTACGATAGTTGATGTATCGTTGCGCACAGATTGTGGCGCGTCCCGAGCCGTTAGACTTTGATGAAGAAGATGTAGAAAAAGCAACCAATTGATTAATCTATATAACAAAAAGCAAAGAACCGCTCTTTCTTCCCCAACAATCGCGTCTAGTGAGTGACATACGCCCCGCTCCTGCGAGATCGAATCCTCTTATATCCATCCTGATCGATCGACCTTTTTCCGCATGCATCAACCATACAAACATCATCGTGACAGCGTATATACGTGCGCCTGCGCTTTGACAGCAAGACCCCCGAGGGAATCTCCGGGATGAAAAAAAAAAAAAAAACGAGTGATCATCTAGACCATCTTGCCGGACCTACGCGGCTTCGACGCCTTGAACAACAGGATCATCCCGACGACCTCTGTCACGACGTCCTCGAACTCCTCCTCGAGCGCCTTCTCAATTGCTTCGCGCTCGTCGTCCCAGTTATTGAAAAGGTCGATCTTGTTGTAATACTTCATATACATTTTGCTGACGAAATTTCTGGCGTGCTTGTGACCTAGGACGGTACACCCCGCCAACACTCCATCGTCCGACAGCAGCTCCTTGTACGTTGAGAAAGCCTTGAGCTTCTCTGGACCACCCGGAACGCAGTGGAACAAGTTGAACATGGTGATGGACTTGTAGGTACCGACCCCGCTCTGTAGAGAGTCGGGCAGCGGCGCCGTGATGTCGGCCTGCGCAACGTTTACCACCGTGTCAGGAGCTGTTGCCAGGACTCGAGCCTTGGTCGCATTGAGCGACGTCTCGTTGAAGTCCACGAGCGTCAGCTGGTGCTTTTCGTGGTTGCGAATCGGACGGCTCAGTACTGCGGCTGGAAACCACCCAGTGGCGACGCCAATGTCCATATGTTGTTGTGTGAAGTTGTCTGAGAAGAAGGGAAGCAGAACCTTTTTGGTGCTGCAGCCCCAGATATAATTCATGTTGAAACCCAGGACATAGTGGTCATAGACGCGCGACAGGAAGGATCGTGAGTACACGCCCTTGTAGCGACGATCCTTGGATTGCTTTTGGTCTGCCATTTTCCCTTCAGAGGAGGCCGAAGATGGTGCTGTTGCTGCTGCCATTGAGACTGGGAGCTGGGCTGCTATCTGATGCTATGTGCTTCAAAGAGACTAGGGGAAGTGTAGTGCAGGGCAGAGCAGAACAGGGCAAGACAAGACAAGATGGACAATCAACCAACTTCCAACGACTTCGGCATGCCGACGAGTAGAAGTACTCGTTGGCCCTCGGGGCGGTGATGGAAAATACGGGAACGCCCTCGTCCAGGAGGTCATCCGCCCGAGCAGCGGTGCGAGCCGGTGGATGCCAACAAAGACATTCTCCTGCGCATATCCTCCTGCGTGCTTGCTCGCCGATGGACTGACCTGCAGGTTGCGGGGCCAAATAGTGCATCGCGACCCTTGGCTCCGCGAGGGCCAGGAGGGCCAGCAGGGCCCAACAGCAAGGTAGGCATGTATGTACGAAGTATGTACCTACACAGTAGTAGTAGATGCATACGTCAAATTCAATACGATGATATACCATCGACGATAAGCAGGGTCCATGTGCGGAGTTTTGCGATCCCGTTATGCTCTCTTTTTTTTTCTCCCCCTCAATCTTGCGGTGTCTTCGGGTCTTCTCCAGTCATGGGGACAATTGGCGGCCGAGCCCAATAGGAGGGAAAAAAAAACCAAAAAAAACCGGTGCGTATAATCATAGATATCAGGCCCGATGCCTAGTACTACTACGGCTACGGTATGTAATCATTTGGGACCAGCTGTGGCATTTGTCGTACACTGATTGGCCCAAAGCGTGTAAAGGTATAAGATCATATGAATGCGTCATAAAAGCAGGGCCACCGCCGCGTACGTACATACATGTGATGATCTTCTTGACTGCGACTTTGTACTACCGTATCTCCATAGCAGAGCGAGCGCCTATGCTTGGCTTCCTAGCAGGCGGTATTTTTTTTTTCGTTTTCGTTCCAACCTCCCTTGCAGCAGAAATGCACTCGCTCGACTGGTTTTCGGAGGCTACTATACCATTTTGGACCACGTACGGGACTTCGCCTAGGTATGTGTGTGGTCTTCGCGTTAAGGCGAGCGGGGGGGGGGGGGGGGGGGGTCGCCCGTCATCGCCACTTTCTCATGCAGCTCTGTCGAGTCTCAATTGGGACATTGGCATCTTCTGCGGAGGGAGTATACCCACAAATGCTTTCCCATGACACATTTGTATGGGGGACAAGTCGCCTTGCATCCGCGACGGGGACCCTAGCTACAGAAAGGGATTATTGCGGTTAATTCACGATGCTTTTTTGACCAATCAGAGTAGCATGTACTTGCGTGAGGGTCCAGTGGATATCATATCATACACACATGCAGCAGTGCAACTAGCGCTACGATACAAACTTAGCTTTCCTATACATCATGATCATGCTCACGATGCTTAACCATAGTTCGTACCACTTATACAGAAGACTAAAAAGTGGAAGACAATGTGAGCAGATAACGTATGCTTGGAAACCACGGCAATGTGCCCAAGTGGTGCCCCAGTCCTGGGTTAATCGCTGCACATGCAGCTGGCCGCCTCATCATGTCGTGCTGGCGACCGAGGCCCAGGCCGGGATTGGACAGGACATGACGGGACTGGATAGGAAAAGAAGTCATGGCTACTTATTGTCTCAAGTAGTTGTAGTACGTATCTAGTGGGAGTACGTATAAGAATTAACCGCCTTAGCCACCAGCTTCAAATCCAACCCATTTTCTCAAGTAGCTCAAAATGGAGCAACCAAAGACTATTCCCATTGCCATCACTGGCTTGGCCTGCCGTTTTCCAGGTGGCGCCGATACTCCCGAGAAGTTATGGGAGGTATGCGCTGCTGCTCGTAACACATGGTCTGCCTGGCCACAGGACAGACTGAACGAAAAAGCCTTTTCTCATCCTCAAGCAGAGCATCTTGGCACCGTGAGCCTCCACGAACCCTCTTCATCTGCTTTGGCTTGCTCATTTTGTCTAGTTTCATAGCCATGGTGGTCACTTTCTCAACGAGGACGTTTCTCTCTGGGATGCCTCCTTTTTCAATTTCACGGCCGACATGGCCAAGGCCATGGACCCCCAAGTCCGGCTCTTACTCGAAACTGCCTTTGAAGCCTTTCAAACAGGTGAGTCAATACAACAGAGAGGAGGAGGTAGAGAGTGACGGCAGCTAATAATACATGGATGATAGCTGGACTGCCCCTAGAGAAAATCGCCGGGACTCAGACAGCCGTCTTCGCTGGGTCCATGTTTCGGGACTACCACGATCTACTTATGAAGGATGCTGAGAGCTTGCCTCGGTATCATGTTACTGGAAACGCTGCAGCCTTTACCGCTAATCGATTATCTCATTTCTTTGATCTCCGGGGACCTAGTGTCAGTGTTGATACTGCTTGTTCGACAGCCTTGGCAGCTTTGCATCTCGCGTGTCAGAGTATCCGCACGGGCGAGGCCAACATGGCCGTTGTTGGAGGATCAAACCTCATACTACATCCTGGATCGTCCATGAGTTTATCAAATCTTGGGTATGTCAAGCTACCCTTCACACAAAACATAAAAATTGGTAATACAAGAAATCGCTAATGATTACATGTGAGCTTACAGACTCACTGGCCCTGGCGGAAAATCGTTTAGTTTTGACGAGAAGGCTCAGGGCTATGGTCGTGGCGAAGGCGTCGCCTGCATAGTCCTGAAGCCGCTCGAAGACGCTCTCCGGGATGGCGACCCAATAAGGGCTGTCATCCGAGAGACTGGCATGAACCAGGATGGACGTACACAAACAATCACCACGCCATCACCCGAAGCTCAGCAGCAACTCATCACCAGCTGTTACGAGCGAGCTGGTCTCAATCCTCGGGACACCACATATGTTGAGGCTCACGGAACTGGCACCATAGCCGGTGATAAGATTGAGCTCGGCGCCCTCGGCGCCACTATTGGCAAAGGAAGGACAGTTGAAGATTCAGTCTACGTTGGTTCCGTCAAAGCCAACTTCGGGCACACAGAGTCCACCAGCGGCCTAGCTGCCGTCATAAAAGTTGCCATGATGTTGGAACATGGAAAGATACCTCCACAGGCGCTATTCAAGAAACACAATCCTCGAATAGATTTTGAAGCACTGAATATCAAGGTAATGCTTTCCGGGCATTACTCTGGCCGCCTCTCCTGTCTCTAAGTAATCGAAGCTAACCAGCCATAGATACCGACTGAGTTGATAGAATGGCCGGAATGTGCTGTGCGTAGAGCCTCAATCAGTAACTTTGGTGCCGGAGGCGCAAACACACATGTCATCCTAGAAGAACCAAGTCATCTCGCACGCCAATATCGCCGCAAGAATGGTAACATCACACCAGTCAGCATTATGAGCAATGACGAATTTCAAATTTTTGAACAGCCGGTTCTGGAAGAGGCACTGCCAAGTGGCAACAGTGAAGATTACAACAGACCATTCGAGGCCACAGATGGAACTCCCCCGCAGACACCGCCGCGAACACCACCTCAGGACCGAGGCTCGAAAAGTGAAATCACCCAAATTCAGACAAGGCTGCAAGAAATCAATGAAACTTCCACCGAGTCGTATCAAACATACGTCCTGTCATTGAGTGCTCGGGATGAAAACAGCTTGCGAACGGCTGCTTCCAAACTCGCAGACACCTTGGCTTTGCCACCTTCGACGTGGACTCTGCCAAACCTTGCTTACACACTGAATGAGGGTCGTACGCATTTCCCATGGCGCCTCGCTGTACAAAGCTCGTCGCTCTCGGCGCTTCGTGAGACGCTCATCAACGAACTACCGAAACCAATCAACTGCCCCCAACGACCAAAGATTGGTTTCGTCTTCACTGGACAAGGCGCTCAGTGGTATGCAATGGGCCGCGAACTTGTCCATGTTTACCCGGCATTCTGTGAGGCTCTGAGTGAGGGAGGCGCGTATATGCGCTCCTTGGGCGCCGACTGGGATCCTATAGGTACGGCTTCTCAGTCCTCTTCTACGTCGCTCATTTGCTAACATACCAGGACAGAGGAGCTCGGAAGATCGGCATCAGACACCAAGCTCAACCACCCATATCTCAGTTTCCCCATGTCTGTACTCCTTCAGCTTGCACTGGTGAGGCTCCTGAAGACCTGGGGCATTGTGCCGACGGCTACCACGGGTCATTCGAGCGGTGAGATTGCCGCCGCCTATGCTTCTGGAGGACTCTCGTTTAAGGAAGCCGTGGCCGTGGCATATATCCGTGGCAGATTGACCTCTGATTTTGTCGAAGCAGGCCGAGCTCGGGGTGGCATGACGGCTGTTGCTACGAGCAAAGAAAACGCACGAGATCTTTTCAAAGCTGCACAAGTAGGAGACACTGCAGTGATTGCTTGTGTCAACAGTCCCAATAGTGTAACAATCTCGGGCAATATCGCTTCCCTTGAAAAAGTGGAAGAACTCGCGGGCAAGGATAACCTCATGTACAGGCGTCTCAAGGTCCCGGCGGCGTACCATTCTTCGGAAATGGAGGCTCTAGCAGAAGAGTACACCGCCGCGCTGGAATCTCACTTCGAACCTAAGCACCCGCAAGATTTTGCAGCGGCATTCTCGTCACCCGTCACCGGGGGCATTGTTGAGAGCCCGTCGGTAATTCACAACCCAAGCCACTGGGTACGGAATATGGTACAGCCAGTCTTGTTCGACGACAGCTTGAAAGCCATGGTGCAAGGTTCACAAGCCACAAAGGGTAGAGCGACCGCCAGCCACGTCGATGTGATCATCGAGGTCGGGCCCCATGGTACCCTTCAAGGGCCGATCCGGCAAATCATTGACGGCATGGGGCTGCAGTCAATGAAAAACAACTTGGGCACTTGCCTGAAGCGAGGGGAAGACGCAGTCAAGACCATGAAGGACATGGCCATCATGCTATACTGCAGAGGATACCCCGTGGATCTTGCAAAGGTCAACTGCCTGGAACAGTCGCAGCCTGGTCAGGTAGTGTCCGATTTACCCACCTACGCATGGAACCATTCCAGCAGTTACTGGGATGTGCCCAAGGTGGCGATTGATTACATGCAGCGCAAGCACCCACGCCACGATCTTCTTGGCGTTCGTGTCGAAGGTCTCAATCCAGAGCAAGCCATCTGGCGCAACACGATCCGCATCTCGGATCTCCCATGGCTTCAGCATCATGTAGTTCAGTCTGAGATTCTTTATCCAGCAGCGGGTCTGCTGGTCATGGTGACAGAGGCTATGCGGCAACTCGACGACGAAACAGGCGAGTCTAGCGGTGGCTATGCCATGAGCGACGTGGATCTTTCCACGGCTGTCATCATTTCTGGTTCTGGAGAGCCATTGGAAATACAACTTGTCATCAAGGAGCCATCTCCATCAGGCGATGGCGACTTTGCACACAGGGAGTTCGTGTTTTACAGCAGAAGTCGAAGCGGAAGCTGGGTCAAGCATTGTCGAGGCAAAGTTGCCGCATCTCACCACCTTACCCAGAGTACTCTGGCAGGCGGACTTGATCTCGTGCCCATGGATGTCGGGCACTTTTACAAGTTTGTCGAGAGGTGTGGGCCTACACTTGGTCCAGCTTTCCGTAATGCGACGCGGCTTTCAGGCGGAGATCTTTCGGCTGAGGCGACCATTATGATACCCGACATTGTTGCAATGTCCCCGTCTTCGTTTGCGTCAAGTTGCCTCGTCCACCCAACTGTATTGGACGCATGCTTCCATCCCGCTTGGGCTGCTTTGCCCAATGAGCTTTTGGGGAAAATCGGTCTTTCGGTTCCCCGGACTATAACGAACCTTTTTATTGACGCCAATATTCCAGATACCCCTGGGACAGAGCTTGGGCTCAGAGTGTCAATGGCGAATGCAAGCCCTGAAACTTTTACAGTTTCCATCACTGTTTACAGTCTCTTGGACAAAGACCGAAGACCTTTGATCAAGATAGATGGCCTGACAATGGTCTCCATCGCTGAGAGTGCTAGCCCTCCTCCTTCTGACGAACTCTTGCTTCTGCACACGGACTGGAAGCCGAACCTCAGCTTCCTCTCTGCCGATGACCTACAAGCGCGCATTGTCGAGGTACCTGATGCAGCCGAGGCTGTCTTCTTTGATGATCTTCAGAGAGCCACCGTCAATGTCATACATGATGCACTTGAAGAACTAACTCCAGAGGTGGAAGAGCATCTCGAATGGTACCACAAGAAATACGTTCATTGGATGCGTGAACAGAACGATGAGTTCTACAGGTCAATGGCAGTCAAGGACCAGACTGAGAAGCTCCAGCTCTATGAGAGAATGGCTGCATCATCTTGCGTTAATGGACGCATGCTAGACCTGGTGGCGAGAAATCTTTCTGGCTTCTTGACCAGACAGGCCGATCCTCTGGAAGTCATGGCCAAGGATGGGTTCCTCTCCGAGTACTACGCAAATATGATCAAGCTCACGCGATGTCTCAAACACATAGAGAAATACATGGAACTGTTCGCTCATGAGAACCCAGGCGCTCGTATCTTGGAGATCGGCGCCGGCACCGGCTCTTGTACCGAGCCTGCTCTCATGGGTCTCTCGCAAGGTGGCCGAGTGCCTTTGATGGCAGAAAAATACGTTTTCACCGATGTATCTGCAGGCTTCTTCGAGGCTGCAGGTAAGCGATTTGAGAACTTTGCGAGCAAGATGCACTTTCAAAAATTAGACATTGAGCGTGAGCCCTCTGAGCAGGGGTTTGTCGAAGGCGAGTATGATTTGATCATCTCGTGCAACTGTCTCCATGCCACGAGCGATCTCAAGCACACCCTGAGGAATGCCAGGAAGCTGTTGAGGCCCGGCGGCAAGCTTGTCTTGCTTGAAACAACAACACCACACCTCGACCAAAGCTTGACTTTTGGACTCTTCTCTGGCTGGTGGCTGAGCAAGGAGGATGAGAGGAAGAACTCGCCGCTTCTGAGTGCTCCGGACTGGGTCAGATATCTCTCGGAGTCTGGTTTCGGCGGACTGGATGTTGCTCTCGGCGATGCTGGAAGTGCCGATAATTCCAACTATTCTGCCATGGTTGCGACAGCAGAGGAAGTCACGATGACCAGTATTGCTGTGCAGCCCAAACCTATTATCCTTGCCCCGTTCCCACTGCGCAAGCTACTCTCGCAAGAGTGGATGGACCAGCTTAAAGACACAGTAGCTGCCACAACAAACGCTCCTGTGGTAATTGCCCACGACGTTGAAGATTTGAAAAGTGAGGCGGCTTTTGTGTGCCTGTTGGCGGCTGATCACGAGTCTCTCGTGTCCATGGCGCCGTCCGATTTTGACACGCTGAAGAACATGACACTCAAACACGAACGGATTTTGTGGATCTCGCAAGGTGCAGCTATCGAAGCACCACACGCTGCTGCAGCTCTACATGCGGGCTTGCTGCGTACATTACGCCTGGAGCAAGGCGGCGACAAATATGTGTCTCTTGACTTGGACCCATCAAGGCCTTATTGCTCACAAGAAAATGTCGAAGTTATTCGCAGGATTCTCGAATCCACTTATCATGCTCAAGAAATTCAGGAGTGTGAGCTGGCAGAAAGGCACAGAAACATTCTCGTGCCACGATTACTCAAGGCTCAATTGTCATCCCAAGAAGCCGGAAATCCCTTGAAGCATGGTACAGAGCAATTGGTAGTAAGTCGACAACCCGAACTCCTAAGACACTAATATGACATTGAAAGCCTCCCGCGCTAACCCTTGATATCTACTGTGTAATATATGCTAACAGTCACTTGCAGAAGCAGACCGAGGAGCCTGCTCTTCAACTAGACCCGAATGCAGGCTACATTGTCATAGGAGGCTTGACAGGTGTCGGTCGGGAAGTTGTGCGCTGGCTGGCGCGTCTAGGTGCGAAGAATCTGATCGTTGTATCACGCAACACAAACTTGCGGAGCGCCAGAGAACTGGGAGATGAACTTGCGGAGGCGGGTGCAAAGCTGATTCCCTTCGGCTGCGATATCGCCGATATGGGAGATCTCGAAAGATTTATTGGCGCACTCAGGGTCATCATGCCTATCCGAGGACTTGTTCAATCTGCCCTGGTTCTCGAGGATACCTCCTTCGCATCCATGACTCCGGATCAATGGGCTATACCTTTGGGTCCCAAGTACCACGGCTCCAAGAATTTTGATGAACTTCTCAACTCTCCTGATCTAGACTTCTTCATCATGCTTTCGTCTGTTACGGGAGTTTTGGGAAGCCACGGGCAGTCGAATTACACTGCTGGTTCGACTTACCAAGACGCTCTAGCCTGTAACCGTGTCGCTCGAGGACTGCCCGGCGTATCGATTGATCTCGGCGCTGTACTGGGAGCTGGCTATGTAGCTCGGACGGACGGTGTTGTTGAACGCACCGGCAAGGCAGGCTGGCGAGCACACACCGTCCAGGAAGTCCTTCGCCTTGTCGAACTCGCCATCCGCAACCCAATGCAGGCAGAGATGGTAGCGGGCATTGCACCGTGGTCAGTCTCGGACGCGGAACAACTGAGCTGGCGTCGCGAGGGTCGTTTCATGGCGCTTCCGCAGCGTCTTGAGACTTCCAAGAAGAATGAAAAGCAGACAAATGCAGCCTCTCTAAGAGAACGGCTGCAATCTGCCGAGAGCAAGCTTGACACCATGGTGGAAGGGCTGACTATTCGTCTGGCCGACATGTTCGTCCTCAGCCCATCTGACATTCAACAAAACCAGCCACTCGCCGCACTAGGAGTGGATTCGTTGGTTGCAGTCGAGCTGCGGAACTGGCTGTCAGCTAACGTTACACCTAGCATCACAATCTTTGATGTGACGCAGAGCGGCAGCTTGGTTGAATTGGCAGAGAAGGTTCTTGCGAAATTTGCTTAATTTGGCTCTACTGATGATGCTATTGAGGGAAAACCCTGTTTGGTGAGCACTTAAGTGAGGAGCGTATCCAAACATGGACGTCTGATGATTGAAGATTGCATGATAATGTCAATAGCGGACGCAGCGATTGTTTGTCTCATATAACGCATGGGTTATTTATTTAGATGTTTTTTCGAGTTTATCTGTACCATTTTGATGAGATTTCCTTCGGCGACACTGTTTAGTGCATACGAGTAAATATGTAAACTTGCGTACAAATGGTCCATGCTAGCCTCCTGTAGTGTTTGTTGACTGAAAGATGGAGTTGATCGTCTGCTTGATACCATAGTTCAAGTTCAAATAGCCATACATTCGGAACAACTGCCCTGATCAGTATCTTGTTTCCTACTGCGGAAAGCCACATGATGAGCAGAGTTGCACCACTTTACAATTCATGTTTCAAACGGCCTTTTCTTTTCATGTGTACTCCAGGTTCCGCGAGAGTGATCACGAAGTGGGTACCATGAGTCTCCTTCACAAGACCTACCATGTTGAAGCTTGTACATTGTGGGTCGAAAGTATCACATAAACAAGACCTTGAGTTGTTTATGCTCATTGCTGCTGAATCCACGGACCCGCCATGACACCACAACGCCGCATTTGCTAACGCTTGCTATGGTAAGGCTGCAAACATTTCTTAGAGTAATGGGCAATCAAGTTCAAACCCTTTCAATTGTTTAGCTGGGTTCAATTATGACTCATGATAGTACCACTTCCAGACACTCTGGCTCACTCAAGTATGTTGGATAATATATTTGCGGTCAAAGGTCATGGCATACTAGGTACGCACTGTAGGTATATCCAAGACTATTGCGATACTCAAAGATGGATTTGAACAGAGAGGGTTGTTATTACAAATATATAGTATTGAAAAGGATCTACCTTGACATACGACCATACGCACTAGAGAACTCGGCATCCCGTCCGCTCTGCCCTAGATAATCTGGTGACCAATAACATTCCTGTTAGCCGACCAGTACATCCCAGATTGCTGACTCATCTACCGCCTGCCATTACCCCAATCCTTTGCGTACCGTTTTGCGCTGCTGTTCAGCTGAGCCACCTCAGATTTCGTGAATTGAACAGTCTATACTAGTGAACGCACAGAATATCCAAGAGCCACTCGTGATACTAATGCCGCGGTGCAACAAAATTGGCATATGCACGACCTAAGTCGGAATGACCGGGACAGCATAAAGGTTCACCCAGCTGTGATCCCAGTCAACGCCAGGGCATACTACAAGCTCTCCAGTTCCAGAATTTCGGAGATTGCAAAAAATCATCGGGTCGCCAACATAACCACACTTGAACTGGTATGCCCACCCGTCGATGGAACATATGCTCTCGCGAGCGCCGACGAGCGCGTTGTTGCCAGGCCTGGCAAATACAAAATTATCATGTTCGTCGCCATATGCGATGTAGCCGGTGGTCGAAAGACCAGGAGTGATTAGAATAAGATTTCCACGTTCGTTCAGAGTGAAAGTGAGAGGTTGTTGGCTTCCTATGGGAAATATCTTGGTGAAGGCAATGCTTTCGTTGGTACCAATTGGTGTTGAAGAGGAAAATCCGAGCTCTCCAAGCCCCTTTTCTTGGTGGATAGCAAAAGTTGGCTGCGCAAGATGTCGAGTCGTGGAGCTGCTCCTAATGGCAGCCGGGGGTTCGCGCGTGGTTGTAGATGGGGCTTCTCCCGAGTCCGATTGACTGTAGGGATGCGCATACCAGAGACGGCAGGAGTCCTGTTCGATCAACCATGTATTGCAATTTTCAACCACTCCTCCGCAATTGCAACTCAACTGCCAGGTAGCAGGGTCGATGGCACAGGTGCAGAGCTCATACTGCTGAGCAGCGTCGCTCTCTGGATCCAGAAAGAGGAACCAATATCCATCGGTGTACGCAGCACGGCCAGCTAAAGAGGCGGTGGGGCCAACATAAATCAGATTGCCTTTCTCGTTCAACGTAAACAGGTTGAGAGTTAGTCCGCCCAGAAAGTCGTCTGGTGGCATGAGTGTCCAGAAAGTGGTATATCCAGTCCCAGATGAATTCGACGCAACGACAGGCCAGAGTTGGATCTCACTTTCTTCTTGTGCATCTAGAATGTAAAAGTTGGTTTGCGAGGAATCGGAGCTCGTAGAGCTTGTGGTTGCCGCTGTATTGACTGAAGTGATCGTATATGTGTCAATAATGGTAGGGCTTCCCGTGAGAGTAGATGGCGCGGTCATGGATATGAGTGAAGGTTTGTTGCTGTAATGAGGAAGTGAAATATGATAACCGGGACCTTGATCATGATGATCTTTGTGTCGCTTTGCGAGAGCGTGATGTGCAGCAAGCAGGCCGAGAGGAATCGTGACAGCCAGCATGGCGGCGAATTGAACGAATAGACGATCACAATAGTTGTAAGACAAGATAAGCTATGCCTATATAGGTGCAGCTGTGCCAAATGGCTGTTTCTATATTCAATTGAGCAACCCGGTGTCAGGCCAATTTTTGGTTTTTGGGTCGTCAACCCGATTGACGGGAGTTTGAAATACATATATACAAATGAATAGGTAAGCCAGCGGTCCCGCCTGACATACCGTATACATGTCATAGCACTAAACTGTGTTTTTTATCTCAATTTTTCGAATATCCACAAGTGATTGTTGTGTTGAGAATGCCGCAATTCATAGTAGAGCTTCTTGTCCTAAAGGAATAAGCCGTGAATAGGTGTTTGATCGCAAACTTGGCGAACTTTGTGAAATAGACGAGTCGTTCCTATTGATTCTGCAAGATTAAGGGGCATCTGTCTATCTGTGACACATTCCGCCCTGACTCCTTTATCAAACCTTGATGGAGAGAATGGTTGACCAGCCGCCCTAGTCATCCACTGAACAGAGGGAATCACCAAACTCAAATTTCCTGACTTTATTAGGAACTTATTGTGAGTGGGAGGGTCTATGACGGATCTTAAATCTCGAACGAAAAGCTCGCAATGTCAATTCACATCGATTTATGTTTTCTCCGATCTCAATAGCTGGCCTTGATCTCGAGCGGGCTCACTTTTTCTGCCGAACACCAGAGTCCCGTTCTGTCCCTTTCTTGAACGGCTGGCACTTCGCATCAGGTACGCCTGCTGAGGCTCCTACAATTGACACGTCGCCCATGTGGCAGGCCCTGTCTTGTTGCAATTCATTCTCCACGAAGTAGCGTTCGAGTCGCCATCGGCATAATGCTGTTTGCAAAGATTGACGAGATCGGGAGATCTGCCTGAGCTGGCATCAAGTCTCCGAAAATGGTGGTAGGCTGGAACCGAACCTGATACGCTGACAATTCAGCTCATCGTAAGATTCTATCACGCTGCAAGGCCTTTTTAGTCCTAGGTCTCGCCCTTCCTGATGGATGGCATGAGGGCCAGGACCAATATGGGCATCCATATTGGTATCAAGCTGATGCTAAACGAACGAATTGTGCCCAAGACTCACCCATGCCGAGCTCAAGAAGAGTGGAATCAAAGTTGAGAGACTGACCATCGTTTGAAGGAGATGGGCTATATGTTTTTCGTAGTAACTAGTTTGTGTTGCATTCATCAGTCAACTACAGTTTATTTCCCTCGGAATGTATCGCTCTTTTAGCATATCCATGTCTAATCTCATTTGAATATGGCAAGATGTCAGAGCATCTGTTTTGATCCCTACATTATTGAAGGGCAAGGGTAAGTCTTTGGAAATGCAGTCTCTTTTGTAAGCTTAAGCTTCGTCTCGCAGCGGTTACCTGGATGATACCGGATTGCACGGGATTGCGATCAGCATTGAGACAAGTGTCGGTGTCGTAAAGGGATAATTCTCACCCACTGAGATGCCATATAAGCCAACTAAATGGTTGTTGGCTCGTTGAATTTCACACCAGACGGTATTCGTGAAGCGTTGTGTCGAGCCTGGCACTTGGCGTGCTGTTCTAGGCCTGATTCGATGGTACCTTGTTGTATTGGCTGTTGTGTATCCTTGTTCCTTTCCTTTGGTGTTGTAGCTTGGGCGAAGCCGATCAAGGATCGTTTCCAGGAATCTATTCATGTATCGTAGATAAATATCAAAATCGTCATAATACCAAGAACACTAATCATTGTATCGCTTGAATTATAGATCTTGACAAATGTACCCTTTGTCACATACGACCACAGACACTAGAAAACTCGGCATCCCGTCCGCTCTGCCCTAGATAAACTGGTGATCGCTGGATCAGTACTCAGATCGGTGACGGCTGGGGAATCCCCGGTGTTGTATGTTTTTGCCAATTTTGTTAATGCTTTTTTAATCTGGAATTTCTTATTGTAATTCGTAGGGATGAAATAGAAACTTCAATGGTATCAGTCAAAACACGTGCTGCATAAATATTTGCATGGTCAAAGAGGACTTTAATTTCCCCCATCAACACCTGAAGAAGGAATTCGAATAGTGCCGTGGCGAACTTCATCTTTTAACCCCTTAAGAAGGGTTTTAGTGGCATGCCTTTGATGCTTTGCTAAAGAAGATATCTTCTTGATCATGAATGGTGTAGAAGGCTTTGCATTCATGTTATTTAACTCCCGCCCCCCAAAAAGAAGAGAAAAGCGGGACGAGAACATCAAAAATACACCTCGCTAATCCGAACAAGACGGACGGGCCATAAAGGTGCATATTTTAAGCATATAATATAGTATTCAATAAACGTTGCGCAAACTGTCTGGTTCTTTTCCTAGCGTGGCGCTTATCTCAGTGGTTAACTACTCTCAGATCTTGCTGCATCTTCGTCTGATTGGTTTCCAATTGCACTCGCTTCAAACGTTGCAACGCAGCTGCTGCCCTGACACACGATAGTGGGGAAGCCAGGCAGGTACATACAGGGCGGCCACTGGCGTTTAGGCGCATGGCAGTCGCGAATCTCTTTGTGCATTGACCAAAGTCTCTATTAGTTTGCATTGGGACAGACATGATGGGATGTGGGGGGTTCGTTGGCGCTGTCTGGCCTGAGACATGCTTTCACAGAACACCCATGAAGGCGCCATCAGGGCCATCGTGTACAGAGTGTACAGGTAGGTGCTAATGTAGTTTGGGGCTAGCCAATGGGTCGCTTGCTTGCACCCTGCCGTTGGAACCCTTGCCTTCCAGCTCAAATTCGTGACATTTTTTCAGGTGTCTCAGCTGTTTCGAGCACTATCGCTGTCGCAAATGGCTTTCGTCTGATTGCCGTTGTTATTGGATGTCGTCTTGTCATTCAAGTGTCGCGTTTTGGGTTGAACTATTGGGCAAAAAAGTACAGCGCTGAAGGGAAACGCAAGACAGAAGGGCAATAGAGGGAAAAAAAAAAAAAAGAACAAGCAGAAAACGTTGGTAAATCAATCCACCAGTGAGTGAGATCGATCTTCTCGGCACAGACCCGAGCATCTGCGGTTCCCTGAGAAAATCGCATCGCATAATCCCAGTTTGTGCCCGTCGATCCCCGCCGTGGCGCCGTGGCGCTCTCGACAAGCTTTTCAGACTTCTTATTTAGACGCGCAATTGACACTCGAAAGTTCCTGTATGGATCTTCAACCAGGTTTCAGCGATCCCTCTTGTCTCGTGTGTGGGGAGTAGAGATGCTCCACCAAGGCCAGTCCGGCCACACCATGGATCTGCCGAACTATTGCGCTGCCATTATGCAGGGATCTAGGGACCGTGGTTTCTTATTTTCTTCCCAAAGCAGCATGTATCGTGTCCGAAGGCCATGTCGAAGGTGGGCGGCCTTGTTACAGCCTCAAGCCCAATGGCAGTCACAGAGGAGCAGAACGGCAACTTGTGCCGGCCAAAAGCATCGTAATGATTATAATCCAATGACTATATATACCCATTTCAATATCGTGTATATTCAGCTTTCTCCTTCTCAGCATCACCACCATCAGGCTTCCTCTCTTCTCTGCTTTCCTTCGTACACTTACAACCGGTTGATTCGGTCTGTCTCCCTTCATTTCTTAATAATCACTATTAGACAATTTCTTTTCTCTTTTTATTTATTTCACCTCTTCCTTCAATCCCACACATATCCAAACAACTTCCAAAATGCATACCAGCTACATCATTGCCCTGACCCTTTCCGCTGCCGGCCTCATCAGCGCACACGGCAACGTTCAGGTTGTCACGTAAGTCAACTACTTTTTGACTCATCCCGTCCATGCATACTCACCTTTGGAACATCTAGTGGCGACCAAGGTGGCAACGGCACCGCTCTCGGCATCAAGGGTGCGGTCGTGGCCAGGTTCGGAAAGAACGCTGAGACCGAGAAGGATACCACCGTCTTCGGCGGCAACGCCAATGACCCCATGAAGGATGGTCTCGGCAAGACCACCGCCAACGGCAAGCTACAGGTGTCAGATCTGGCAGACGCCATGGCCCTGTCCGGCGACACTCTGCCTCAAGTGGCCGCCGACGGCACCGGCTCCATCACGGGCACTTGGAGGATCGTCACCAGCGATGGCACCGCCAACGACAAGAACGGAAATCTTTTCGCTGTGGTCGACGAGACCGGCACTGGTGCATACTCCAAGGGCACACAGTTGACGGCCACTTCGGCCATGGTCGGTAATGGAAAGGGCAACGTGGTCCAGCGCATGATGGCAAGGGCCCTTCACACCATTGGTATCCAGAAGCGTGCTACCAATGTCGGTGCTGATGCAGTGAGTGGAAAATCCTGTCTCCTTGCGGTGTTCTGGGGGGGAAATGTACTGACCAGATCTCCAGACATTCTCCGTCAAGGTTCCTGCCGGTCTCACCTGCACTGGAACCGATGCCGCCAGCGGCATGAGCAATTTCTGTCTGATGAAGGTCGTCAACAACAACAACGCCGGCCCCTTCGGTGGCAACATCGCTTTCCAAGTCGCAGGCGCCAACACTACCAAGGCTGCTACTTCCTCCAAGTCGGCCAAGAATCAGCGGTCATTTCAAGCATAAAAGAAGAATAGCCAGGATTAGGCGCCATAAATGATATCATTATGATGGGAAACAGGTCTTGGATGATGAGAGCAGGGCCGGATCCCCTGCTCGTCGATATTGGACCTGAGCCCGAGAGGAAGAATTGATTGAAATCATCAAGAGTCGACGCCCTTTTTGGCGGGTCGCTCGGCTTTCTTTTCTCTATAGCTAACGCATATACTACAATAGTAGTACATACAGGAGAAACGAAGAAGAATTAGAAGAAGGAGAAGAAAAAGCCGATAAATTATCACATTGTTTTTCGCTGAGGATAGGCAAATGTGGCAGATGGCTTGCTCTGGGGACACGAACATAAACATGTGACATGTAATGTATATGCTCAAGCCCCGATTTCTAGAGCTACAGAATTCATGGCCTATGAAAACTCTATACCGTATTCCGTAGGACTATATAGAATATTGATTCATAATAAAAAAGCTGTCTATCATGTAATTCCAGCTATGTTGGTAAGCCTTCATCAAACTAGCATTTCGCGACTACGCTTTGCAAGTTCAACTCGACTCTGACTATGAAGGGGAATAGTCCATTCTCGTTAGGTGGATATATCCTATAGCCGCTAGATTCATATTTGAATTGGTGACAGCCAACAAATCCCCGGTGTTGTGTGTTAGCTTTTGAACTTTTTCCTAGTTGCCTTTTTGCCCTGTATGTTTAGTTTAATTCTTTCTGCAGATTCGTAGGTTGATGGCTCGGAATTAGCGGAAACCTAGTGGAATGAATCAAATGGCGCTGCGCGCGACCATACGGCTATAGCCATGCCATTGTGAAGTTAATTGAATCGCTAGAAAAAATACTCAATGCAATCTCGATTAAATGAAGCTCGACATCTGAGCTCGATCTTGCCTTTGTCGTGAGCAGCATGTGATGATGGGAGGGAGAATTGTGACAAGAACTTGGGACACCTTGATAAGTTTTCGGGCCTTGTCCGAACTGTAAAGCGGATAGGCCAGCCAGCCAATTCGGAAGTGTCCGGTGGTCCACGTTATTGGCCTCAAATAAATAGGTACTCGGTATTCATCATCAGAACCCACCTCGCAACATTTGTGCCCCTACCTATAGCATCCAGCTGTGGTAGATCGCACTCCTGTTCATGGCCGATTGCATACTTACGCCATAAGCTTGTCCCACGCACCACCACCAGCAGCCATGAAAGCAGTCGTCCTTCATGGGCATGGTGGTCCAGAAGCCCTCTCCTACGAAGACATTGCGGATCCAGTGCCCAAGGTCAACGAAGTTGTTATTCGATTGGTAGCCACGGCCTTGAATCACGTCGACATCGACGTGCGCAATGGCACTTCAGGCGTGGAATCCATTCAGCTCTTGCCTCACATACCGGGCGTGGATGCCGTCGGGGTCGTCGAGTCCATTGGGTCAGCTGTCACCCAGTGGAAGGTAGGAGATCGCGTTGCGCCCCATTTTATCCTATCTTGCGCAAAATGTGCCAATTGCCGGGGTGGCCGGGAGAACATATGCACAGCATCTCAAATCTTGGGTCTGACACACTGGGGAGGGTATGCCGAAAAGGTCTGCGTACCCGAGCACACGCTCGTGCGGATTCCAAACGACGTAGGACTCGAAGATGTAGCAGCTGGTATGACTCCATTCGCAACGGCATGGGAGGCACTCATTGTGACTGCCGGCCTCAAGGCGGGCGAGACAGTTTTGGTCACTGGTGCCGGGGGCGGTGTCGGCAGTCACGCTGTGCAAGTCGCAACACTGGCCGGGGCGAGAATCATTGCATGCGTCGGAGCAGACGACAAGATCGAACGTCTTCGGGAACTCGGTTTTGCGGACGATTTCGTGAATTACAGAAAGGACACGCTCATTGAAGCCGTCATGAAATTGACAGCAGGCAAGGGCGTCGACGTGGTGTTTGACGGAATTGGGGGCCAGATCTTGAAGGACTCGATTCATTGCCTAGCAGACGGCGGCCGCATCGCGAGTATCGGAGCGCATGGCGGTGAGGTTGTAGACATTGATATGATACAGTTCTTCCGTAAACACCTCACCATGCACGGATGTGGACGATCGACAAAGGAGATTATTGCGAAGGTGCTCGACTTGATGGCAAGAGGTAAACTGCGGCCGATTATTGCAGGGCGATACCGTTTAGAAGAAGTAAAGAAAGCACACGAGATCATGGAAAGTCGGGGATTCTTTGGCAGGATTTTATTACTTCCACACTCGTCGTCAGCTGAGCCCTAGTTCAACAGAATGGAATGAGTTGCAGACAAGCTCAACCGAATAACAGCACGTAACACATTAGTCAACTATAGTCCACCAAGTATACTACTGTACCGGTACCTACGATCTAGTTCTTTACCAGCCACATCACTGCCAATTGCCTCACTACTATGCATGTGCCATGCAGAATGCAGTATTGGCGAATATGCGCATAAAGATGTAACTTTGGTATCCTCCCGTCAAGCCACAACCAGCACTCGATATCTCCTTCGTCCACGGGGGGGCGTCTCGAGAGTCACTCGGCTCCTAGTCCGTCTTTGAGCATACCACCATGCTGTTCTCGTCGAAGACCTGCTCTTACCCATATGTACCTAGGCAAGTAATTTGGCAGAACGACAATATTCATAGCTACTTGGCAGCCGTGTTTGCTGTCTTCATGACTGATCCTCTGAAGATACTCGATACGAGTGATGTAGAGGATCAAAATTGAACGAATATTTCACACAAGGTTGCGATACGGATCCCTACGAATTTTCCCTAGGACCAACATATATCGATTGTAGAATAGCAAAAAGCTTGACGATGGCATGACTTGAACTCCCGTTTACTAGGGGCCGTTGTCTCGGTAGCCCACACACCTAGATAAGCGCAAGCTCAGCGATGGTCAAGGGCACCACGGGTGCTCCCTCTTGACTAGCCATCGAAGGAAGCTCCATTGTGCGGGTAGATCGCCACGATGTTGCTAACTAATATGGTTGAGATTGTACACACCGAGATTGCCGGCACAGACTTGTGGAACAGATCTATTCCTTTTTTCCCCCATTCCCTTGGCCGTTTGTACCAATTTAGTCACATAGCACAACAGGCAGCACGTGCAATTGTAATGTTTCACTTGGTACATAAGATATTGTAACACTTTCCACTGAATATAGTGTTTTGTATCACTGGAGGTATATATATGATATATTACAGAAGCATTCCTATGTGACTTCTAGAGTGTAACACCACGCAAAGCCCATCTCGTCCCACCGGTAAACGCCTCAGATATCGCGTATTAAGATTCATAAGCCATTGGATTTGTAATTTTTCTTTTAGATGCTTGGTAAAAAGCTTGTCTGACAGAGGAGGAGTAGTTCTTTTACATCGTCCTTTCAGTTCCTAATTATATCAGTACACGTCTCAACCAAATATGTTGTTGTGATATCGTGACGTTGATCCCCTTCCCCGAAGCACTGCCAACGGCAATACCTCTGGCCTCTCATCTCAAGGGATTCTGGGAAGAAGCAACATGTATGGTGTGCAAAAAAAAGAAGTAGTGATGTTTTTATGCACCATCCCTTTAGAACGCGTCAGGATATCGCATTCGAAAGATACGAGTCGACTATTGACGTGGAAAGCAGGACTTGATGTACATTGTGGGCCATTCAAAGGGGGTGGGGGAGGAATGTCATGTTATGCAAAGAGGGAAACTGGGGGAAGAAAAAGAGACTCACAGCAAAGCCAACTCCAGATCACCGTGGATTCTGGCCTTGAGCGTAACTTCAACCTCAAGGTTCAGATCTAACCTCAGCCTCAAGGTATCGCTCTTGCCTTTATCGCCACCGCCGCCCTGGTTAAGGGCACCACCCGCCACGTTGCTCAAAGCACCGGTGGCACCACCGACGAGGTTGTTCGCTGTCTCGCCGACATTGCCAACAGGTAGCAAATCTTGTGCGCCACCTAGGCCGCCCAGAGGACCTCCCTCTCCACCCAGAAGGCCGCCCTGCTTGCCGCCCTTCTGCTTGGTTTGTTGTCCGCGGCGCCGCGGCTGTGGTGCTTCTTCCTCGGAGTAGTCCTCAGAATATTCCTCGCTGAAGTCTTCTTGTGGGGGTGCCGGCTTCCTTGAAGCTGCCCGGCGGTTCTGGCGGCGGTTGGGTACCTTGGATCCTGATCGTGAGGATGACATTGTTGGGGTTATTGATGTGGATTTTTTTTTTAAATCGTTTGAAAGTTGAGAAGCAAGCTCTATGCGTGATTGCTCAAGCTTGCAGCAGCAATAAAGTATGGCAGTTGTGGAATGATAAGATTCTTTGGCGAAGACTGGGGCTAGTAGGGAAAAGGTCTAAATGCTTGGGCCAGAGTATTTACATAGGACAAAATCGATGCAAGGAAACAGGGCAAAGTGCTTGCAGCAGAGACACCCTGACGAGGTACGTCATAAGGGTATTCCTGGGGTCATGGTGGCATGGTTTGCAGGAAATGGAGGGTGGGAAGGAATCTTGTTTCGAGCAGCATGATGCGAGCTTGGCGCACCGGGGCTGCGGGCAATGCCATATGTTGTGTGGCATCGCTTTGTCCGTCTCAATCATAGAGACACCCCATGTTACTTTCATCGAGATGGGGCTCTTGGACTGGGCGCTAACCTGCCTGTATAGGATCTGAATCGCTGGATATATTCTGGAAACACTTGTAGAAATGCTGGACTTACATCATAAGTCAACGGCTTGACAGGGCTGCCTGGTGTCTGACAGGGGTTGGTGCACTTGCACACCCGGACCTATACTAAGTGGGTTGTGGAGTCCATCGGCCTTGGAGGCTGCGTGTCAGCTTTTCCCTGTTTCTGGGACTTGAGAGGGGGGAGTACTCAGAAGTACTTTGAGTATTCCGTAGTTCGTGGCAAACTGATACATGAAAAGACGGCGAGGAATAGAATGAAATCCGGTTCAACTGCAACTCCAGCGCCGGAGGAAACCCAAAAAAAAGAACGTGGGCTTGATCAAGTCTATAGAACTGAAAAGCCTTACTTATCTCCGCCCACCATGCGACTGCTTACGCCTAGCTGAAGCTCACGGTGAAGGCTAATATCCAATACCTTCAATGGAGCAAGTCGCTGTTTGAGGGTTTTGGACTTATCATGGTATACAGACCAAGCTCCATCCTCACCTTGTACTGCGTAGAAATAAGGTGTGTCCTCTAGTACTAGCCATTCCTCATCATCCGACCAATTCCAGGGTCCAATAATGTGTCCTGCCGTCTCACCTCGAGTGCCGTGACGTATCTCCCCAGAGTCCCTGTGTGCATAGATCCAGTGCAGCGCCGGAGGATCATCCGAGGCCATGGAGACCATACCCTGGTGCTTCTCCTCGCACGGGTAGGGAAAATAGAAACCGTTGAACTTGTAGCCCGAGACTGGATGTGCGGGGTGGTCTAGATACAGCTACTCGGCCCATCGAATGAGTGACTGCTTCTGTGATGTGGATTTGGGAAAGAAAATATCCGAAGGATTACAAGGACTACTCTGTAATATAGGGCACAAGGGAATTAATTACCTTGTTGTCTTTGAATACCGCAGTAGCTGTCTGTATAGGGGATTTTCCGTCGATTGAAAAATTGGTAGTCAAATTGAACTTTATTCTTTCTTTCGCTTGCTGGTTTTGCTTCTTCTGAGCATCAATGGCCTCTGCGACGCCGATTACTGTAGGTATGGCGTCTATCACCAGGAGGCCGAGAGTGCTCAACGCAACGAGCGCCATGTTCTCTCTCTCGCTCTCTCTTCACCCCCCTTCGTACTGACGGCAGAGGGCGTGTGAGGAAAAAAAAAAAAAAAAAAAAAAGAAGGCCCTGATCGAAAGCGTGTGGCGGGCGATGCACCAGCTTGCGTGATAGACAGATAGCCTGACAGTGGACCTATGCAGAACGGCAACGTTGGAGGATGATCTTATGGTCAGCTGCCGTGTGCCGGGTGCTCGTAACAGAGTTCAAGCATGTATGCGATGGGACGGTCCCGCAGCTCCAGAACTTTACAGAGACATAGCAACATAGAAAGTCTTGTCAGGCAACTTGGTCCGCAAAGCAGAGTGACTGGAATGGGGGAAAACAAGCTTTTGCTGCGTCTAACGAGCTCATAGCCTGATCCATGCGACTGACCCGAATCAAGCGACTTTGGTGTGGCGGGTACAAATGGGGTATGATCTCATGGCAGCGCGACATTTTGAGTGAGAGGTGGGTATAGAATGTGGATTCGTATCGAATCGTACCGGCTAGTCACTAGACTCAAGAGGATCGACCGCTTGGCTATACCCCGGTCACTGACAGGGGTCTTGCAGAACAACCTGGCAATGCCTTGAAAGCTGGAAATAATTTGATCGAGAGATCGAGTGAGGTATTGCGTCACAGCTTGTGAGCTTGACCGATGGAGTGTGCAACAAGAGTGCCTGGTAATCCTGTTATTCAAGTAGGTCTCTCATCCGGAATAAAACAAACGAGTAGCCCCCGCTAGTGCCTGTATACTCTCAATCGTAATTCTGTATCTTGAATTACTGTAAACACAGAACACCAACTGAAATCAAGCAGACCTCTTTTGACAACCGTACTACTACAACACTCGTCTTATCTGTACTAGCAATATATTACAATGGCCTCAAAAGAAGAAAACCAGAACGCTCAACCCCATGAACAAGGCGAAGAACAGCAACAGCAACAGCAACAAGAACAAGAAGAACAACTAGAACAGCCTGCCGACAATGACGTACAGCAGGAACAAAACAATGCCGAGGACGATGGAGAGCAGCAAAAAGAAGAGAGTGAGGAGGGTGTAGAGCATGAGCAAGGCGGCGGTGATGACGCTGAAGCAGCTCAAGACGGCCAGGAAAAGCAAGATGGCCCAGAGCAGGACCAGCCAGCTGAGGATGATGACGCCAAGACTGCCTACGAAGGCCGCTCGCCATCGCCAAAGAAGGAGTCCAAGAAGCAGCGAGGAGAGTCGAAGAAGCGTGAAGAATCGAAGCAACGTGAGCAGTCGAAGCAGCGCGAGCAGTCAAAGCAGCGTGATGTTGCAACTGATGAAAAGCCGCGCCGACGGAAGCTGCGCCGCAACGCGCCATCGTGGATGAGTGAAAAGGAGAACGCCTCTTCGAACGAGAAGCAGGTAGCTGCTCCTCGCCGTCGCAGGCAAGCCAGCAGGAAGCCACAGCAAGACCAGAGCCAGCAACAACAGCAGCAAATGCAGCAATATCAGCAACAGCAAATGATGATGCAGCAGCAGCAACAGCAAATGCAGCAACCAAAGGACGATGGCGGAAAGAATCCGCTAAAGCTCCGTTTAGACCTCAACCTTGAAATCGAGGTCACACTGAAGGCGCGCATTCACGGTGACCTGACTCTTGCTCTCTTGTACGTACTATTTCCTTTTTACCCATTCCTTGACCCTTATAGCCCTGGAGCCTGGGATGTGATCCTACCACCGTATCTCTCTCTCTCTCTCTCTTTCGCTCCTTTTTTCTCTCTCTCGCTCCTCGTTCTCTCGCTCTCACATGTCCACGTCTCACTAAGCATTCATTTGCACAGTGAGATGTAAACATGCAAATCGTCGTCTCACTAAGCATTTTCCTGCGTAGTGATATGTAAAACGACGGTCATCAGCCCTTGCTGCTGCCTACCGAACTCCACCCACACCACACACGAGTGTGTTCCTCTTGGGGTGGCGAGAGCGAGAGCCAAGAAGAGAAGAAGAAGAGAGAAAGGCAAAGCTGGCATGTCTGTGGCTTTTGTCTAAGAGGCAGATACAAGCTTGCTTCCTTGGGCAGTCATTCCAAGCTGCGTGGCTGCCACCTAGAAAGAGAGAGTGTGTGACAAACACAAAAGCACTGGAGCGTATTGGGAAAAAGTCAACTAATAGCAATCTTCTTTCTGATAGGGATGGTATTTGAGCTTGTTACCTTACCTCACATGTGGCCAATCAATTTTTGGCCAGAGGCAACTGTTATGCATCTGCGTGGGATGGGAACCAAAAACCTGCTCTGCAACAAGATCGCCACAGTCTCTAACTGCTGTTTCCTTTGTGTCCTCCCTGGCGTTGGGGCAACTGGTATTTTTGGAAGACATGTATGATTATTACGACACAAACTGTACGTAGACAGTACAATTAGCCACTGTACTTTTAATATAATGCGGTGTCATGACCATGAGTCCTGCTCCTGTTGCAACTCGACTAAGGAGTTTTTTTTTTTTACGTGGTCTAATGATCCTGCAAGCACACAAGTCATGCGCGACGTGGGTGTGTAAAAAGAACTGTAAATGAGAAACTGGTGGCTCTCGTCATCAGCTGACAGGGAGCGAGGGAGAGCAAATTATCGACTATGTGGCTCTCTTGCAGCGCTTCCCCCTCCCTATCCGCCAATTCTTTTGCTTTACCCAGAAGCCATGGAATTGGTGATTCCCATTGAGGTGCGGTTGAAAACGGGGCCGTGTCTCATACAGCGGCGCCGCTACGGGAGCGTTCTAGCTATATGCACTCTAGCTCTTGGACTTGCCATGCAAATGCAGGGGGTTCCCATGAATCCACACTTTATTACGCAAGCTGGATGCGGAGGCAAGTTACCCAAGGATGGCGACCTAGTGTAGCCTCCAGTCGTTTGGGTGCTTCTGGTGGTCAGGGCAGCACCTCACTATGTACCTAGGTTAGGTACGTAGCTGACGGGACTAGATGTGATACTTTACTTGTCAGTGTCTAGTTGTGCTATTCGTTGGAAGACATGACGATAATGATTGTATGCTCTAGTTCCAGAGGAGGTGACTCGGGGTCAACATTCACCAAGCGTACCCGTGTATGTTGTGTTTGCTGACAATGTTGGGATCGTCTTTACATGACACACCTAGGTGAAGCGACCGAGTCTCCAGATATGTGCGGATTCCGACGACGACGGAGAGGCCATTCCTGCCCTCCCAAGGTTGGCTATATTTACTTGATGGTGGACGGAGTCATGTTTCTAATGGCAGACTGGTAGGTATGTACGAACCTTTACTTTTTAGCCTTGGGGTAAGCTCCCTCCCGTGTAGCGATTTCTTACTTTTTGAGTTCAGTCAAGGGCATTCGAGAGAACGAATTCGGCAATCTGGATGCCGTTTCTCGAATTCTATCCCAATTACCTTTGCACTTTCGGGGCAGATGACACAACCTTAAAAGAATAAAAATGATGGATAGCGAGCGCCGGTACAGCGGAACAGCGACTTATCGCCGGGTACGAAGTACAACTGTGGCATTCGAGATGTTACATTGATAAAAATCTTTTTTTAACTACGCACCTACTTTTGCTCATCTCAAATGCATAGACCACAGCACAGACCTGCGGGCATTGATACTTTAGTGACAAAGGAAGTCTGTGATTGACACCTTCAAACTGACAGTCCATTTTCTAGTTCATGTTGTACCATCGCGCCGTAACATGGACGGATGTCAACTTAATCTAGTGCAACAGTTACTCAGTCTCACTCCTGCCTCCCTGTTGTGTTTTGACTAGCCCGCCCACTATTAGTGTACTTGACAGACAGGATTTGTCTTACAGCGCCATGACATGGCATGATTAATTAGGGTAAATGAAATAAAAGAAAAGAGGTGCGTGGGTAGGCAGATAATGGCAATGAAATTTGACCACCTATCACTTATTCTGTTGCCGGATTTGCCGTGTCGGCGACCGGAGCGGGACACTCGCTGCTCTCCACCCTCCGCCCACCACACCATCTTTTTCATCATTCACCATCCACTCCCGCCGCCTTGAAATTTGCAGGATTGTTCGATAGCGTCGGCATTCTAATGTGCGCCCACCCACGTTGAAGAGTATGGTTGAACCCAAGCACATAAATGATTGCCACAATGACTTGATAAGCGTGCTTCTTGGTCATGGTCATAATTAGAAGCAAACGCCCCCAAGTTTTAACAAAATTTGGGTCACATTTACAAATGATGATTTGTGTACCAGCTCCAACTAAAGTCAAACCCTCCTTACTCTGTACACCGCTCTTGAGTCTCTGGCAATTTGATGTATTGTGTAGTCGCTAGGAACCTGTCCCCTTCCCTTTGCCCGCTCGTACAGCTCCATTGGCATGATTCGACATCGATTGAAATCTGCTGATCCTGAATAAAGGATCGCGATCGGGTCAAGATATTTGAAATGATCACCATGTTATTAAACTAGTATCACAAAATCGTTGCCCTTGTCCGCATGATATCAGCCTCTACTTCATGATAGCGCCCATACTAAAGCTTATAAAGAATTGATTTTACCTACCTGGCAAGCCCGGTGAGTTATAGAATAGCACTACTCATGGGTTACTAACGGACAGGGGAAAAACTCATAACGCCATGAGCGACGCGCTGCTCGCAAGAGAACAAGAGGCGTAGCCTGCTGCTAATCAACTTTGTTTCCAATACGCGACCAGCCGAGGGCTACAGTGAACCCGGATCGTAATTGCCGAGTATTTTGTTCCAAGATTATCAAGAGTATTTCGAAGGCAGAGCCACAACCGCATGGACAGTCTTCAGAGCTAAATTATTGTTCAAAATTCGGCACCTCGGTGCATGTGGTATGCATTGTAGGCATTTTGATGGTAGTACTCATGGCATTCCGGATCGTCGGGCGTACAATCCTACTACTGCGTACACTCCACTGCCTATACTAAATGTACGTGCACCAATGTCATTTCCATCCCTGTCCGTAGCCTGGATGGACACGGTTATCGTGAGCTGATCGACAACATGATCGGAGATTTTCCATTTTTCTTTTTTTCCCTTCTTTCCAGTGGAGGCAGCCCACTAGTGTAGCGGATATCCTTTTCTCCAAGAAATCCAAAGAAAGACGGCAATTAAAAGCCTTTGGGCCATTGCCTCAATGCTCTCTATCTCTCCCCCTTCTCTGTTTCTAAGGCAGCAAGTATATAGCTTGCCAAACTTAGTACCGCGCCTATGGAGTACTAAGCACGACGTGTATGAGCAGTCACTATCAGCAGACATGGTCTGGAAAGCTGTGATGCACGTTGCCACAACACCATCTTTCCGGCATCCCAAGCACTACCTATGTATGTACGTACGGAGTATTGCATTGTTGCAACGCGTCCAACTTGCCAGGTTGTGTGGGGTCAGCTTGATCTTTGGGCGAGTTTGACGGGGCCTGGGGTGGTCCGGACTGGCTTACAAAGACACTACCACATACACTACCTGAGTTATCTCTTTGGCTTCCTGCGCCCTTTTCTGCATGACCATGGAATATGTCCCAGTGTTGTCTATATACCTGCCATAGAATCCACCTGGTTTAGTCTAAGCAACCAACAGCTGTTTCCTATCTCGTTTAGTTGCATACAGTCATAATAGCCATTTCAGCCACATCTCTTTACATGCTCACAGTGGCATATAGGTATAATCAGTGAACCTTGTTCAGCGTGCGGCAAAAAAGGACCCTCGGCTAGTGGTCAAAGGTATGACGCAAGATCAGGTTCCATGTCGGTTTCCATTCAGCATACCTAGGTACACTACATTGGTGTCTGGTCTACAGAGTACAATTAATGTATGCCATCATAGCTGTTCCTCCAAGTGGCTGCTGCACCCCGACAGCACAGAGTGTCTCATCTCTCTCCAAGGACAAGAGAAAAGTAGGCAGCGACTCGCCTATTATTGCTTTGATGTTTGGTGGGGGGTAATTTTTTTTTTAATCCCCTTTGCCAAAACGATGGAGGAGGGAGAAAAAGTATCAGGATATGCTCACTTGCTCTGCCACCTAGTTGCACTGACAAGATTATGTGCTTGCTTCTTGCTTTATTCGCAAATTCAATTTCATCAATCACTGGCAACCTAAGTTGACACCTGTCTGTCATCCCCTTAGTGGAATAAATGATATAAACCTTGATTACGAAATCGTCCCGTCAATGAATGAATCTCAACGCTGTCGACGTCGACCGCATCCGTAACATTGCGCTGGTCATTTACTTTATCTATTTTATCCTTTTCAACCTCAACCGCATCAAGTTCTTGATCGCGACAACCATGGCCGACACGGCGGGGCCACAGACTCCCAGTAGAAAGCTGTTCAAGGCGGCGTCAAAGACTAAAACACCGCCTGTCAGGAAGCAACATAGTATCTCGGTGACTCCCAGGAGCGCAGAACCAGCGTCTGCAAAGTCTTCCAGTCCGAGTCCCGGTCTATTTAGAAAGCCCTCGGGAGCGACGCCAAAGCTCGTCAGAAAAGCTTCCTCGCACGTTCAATCGACGCCTTCCAAGCCAGCGCCCGAAGATATCATCAAGTCAACGCCACTGGCACCCCTTAGCACAGGTACCAAGATTTTTGTCGCAAAGCGCCGCAAGGCAGACAGCGTTGCTTCAGACACGACGGGCAACACGCCCATTGGGCTCATAGATAATGACGTTCTCACGCCTACGGATATGGGTGCCAGCCACGACGACCCCAACGCCCCAGACCTAGACCCAGAGACCCTCTCCAAAGAGTCGTCGATGGTCATGACGGGAGCTGCAGGGGGTCTCCCCGACCACGACTCCACAATACCAGGGTCGCCTGGAGTACAACAATTCGAAACAGCCACGGATGCGACAAGGAGCCCGTCCAAGCGAGCCACCGATCCGCTCATTGAAGATGCTCGTCAGGTTCCCAAGCAGACTACTGGCGCTGGTGACCATGATGTTGAATCTAAGAATACAAGAAGAAAAGAAGAAAATGAGGGAGAAAAATTTACGGAAGAAACATCACCCCAGGACTCAACTAGCAGACAACACGAGTCACAGCAGCACAGCACAACCAGCTCTGTTGATGAGCGGGACATGCCGAGCGACCTGGCCCAATACTTCACTAACCAGGGCAACCATGAAATGAGCGAGTTTGTCAAAGCCCTCTTAGCACCATCAGAAGATCCTACATCCACAGTGATCAGCGCGCTCGGTTTGACCCACGAGTCTGGACAAGCCGCTGCCGATAAAGTTCGCGACGACGCAGAACATCAGCCGCCTATCACAGAAACTCAAAACCAGAAGCAATCGCGCACTGCGACTAGCGAAGCAGTCCCCGAGACGCTGAGCAATCCCCAAGACAGCATACACGGGTTTCCAGAAGTATCGAGCCATCCGTTTGACGAGCTACCGACCAATGACGAGCTTATCATCTCAGACCCTGTGAACAGTCAATCGCAAGACAAGACAATTATACCGCGGGATGCGGACGAGAAAAGCGGACACGGCATCAGTGGATTTCCTGACGTGTCAACAAACGCCGTAGAGGAGCTGCCAAACAACGACGATTTGGTAGTTGAACCAACAAGCAGAGCAAAGGATACTTTGCCGAAGGGTAGTAACAATCATACAATACCATTACGGCAACCGGCAACGAGCACGGACAAGACACGCGATACTACGAGCGGGTTCTCCGACGGGTCGTCAAAACCCATTGATGCGCTGCCGGCACCACACGAAAATCCAACAGCAGCAGCAGTGGTTGGCGCTACCAATACGGCCCCCGCAAATATTAAGGTGTCGGGCGCCACAGAAGCTTTACCAGCAGCCGCCATAGCACCGACAGCTCCAACGACTGCAGCTCCAGCAACGGGACAAGCCACCGGCGACAAAGTTGCCCGCGACGCGTCGCAAACACGGAAACTTGCAGAGGTTGCTGCTTCCCCCAACACCACCACCACCGACACCACCACCATTACTGCTAGTGCTGCTGATTCCAGACACGACAACAAGATTGGACTTCCTGACATTGAGGGCATTGTCAAAGGCGGAGACATTACTGCTAGCGACCATATTGGAAAGCCTCTGGATCTCAGTGGCTCCATCTCCAGTCGTCCGCAAGACCTCCAGTCCGAAGGGGAGGACTTGCATCAAGCGGCCAGACGTGAGTCTACGACAGAGGACAAGGCGGGGGTACCTAGTTCGTCACATTATCTCAACGACGGCGCCATCATCAGTGAAGCGACACAAAATCCGGCAGTGTTACGGGATCAGGTCGCACCGCTGAGAGAAGACGCCCGCGACACGGCGGACTCGCTTCCGTCCAAGTCAACCAAGACAGCGCCAACGGCGAACGGATTTGCGCAGGCTGCAATGGCTGGAGCTCAGGAGGACCTCGCGGCGAAAGCGCCGCAGCAGCCAAGCGCGTCGGATGCCACCGGCCACGCCACCAGCAATGAAGCTGCTGGAGGCATTCAAGCACAGGCTGACAACATGGGCAAGCCTGCTCATATCAATAGGCGCATCGACATACCTTTGCCTAGGCCAGAGCGACCTTCTTCTTCTTCCAAGTCGGGATTACACATGCCCGAAGTCGACAATCTGCGGAGCACAGAGGGCCTGCCCAACGTCAATGATCTGGATGACCCGCCAGAAGAGTTCCTGGACCCATCAGTGCACTCACCACAGCAGCCTTCGGCGAACATATCTCCTATTCCCAAAATTCAAAAGGTCAATCCCATTGACAGCCAACCACCACCCGATCTTGCCAGATTAGCCAACGGCCTCGGTGGCCACAGCATTGATGACGTTGGAAACATTGTGGACAATTCTGGCAAAGTGCTGGGACATGCTACAGGCGACCTGCCTTCCATGATTGGCAAGAAGGTCGCCGACAATGGCGAGGTCTACGGCGACAGTGGCGAACTCATTGGCTATGTCACGGAGAATTTCACTGGCCACCCGCCACCAACAGCTTCCGAGACAAACAAGTCAAGCGCGAGTAGAGATACACCCTTGCCCGGGGGTCTGCGTGTTGATCTAGAGGGAAATATCCTCGACGCCTCTGGTAATGTCATTGGAAAGATGCACAGCAAGCCAGGCCAGCCCACCAACGCTCTGGCACCGTATAATGGCAAGGAAGAGAGTGCACCAAGGAATGAAACCAATGGGGAACAAGGACAATCGGACAACGAAAAGCCGAGGGCCAAATTCGACGAGGGAGGGATTCCAGCCGACATTTTTCTGGATGTCAAGTCTACACCAGACGGGATTCAACTGACAATCAGAATACCGACAATCTTCAAGCAGGAGACACGGCAGACGGCGGAAGCATCGTCTTCTTCCGCATGATGGGAATATCAAACAGCGACGGTGATGCTCACCTGACAATGGTTTGATTGAACTGTTGTACTTCTCAAAGTATAAGAGATTGTGACTATTTTCTTCATCATAATGGTATATAGTGGTTATGACGGAGACATTGCATGAGGTTAGAAACATCGAGGTCATGCATTTGACGGATTTATTGCACCTAACGTGTCGATTTCACTTGTATCAATATATGTTACTGTACCTTTTGACTTCAAGTCGCTACTGTACTCGGCTGTTGTCAAGCTTGCATACGAGAAGTCTAAAATGCCTACACAGCATGGCAAGTATCTACATACATACCTACACCTGCCCACCAGGACGCAAAGGTAACATTGGAGTTGTCATGTTCTCATGACTAATGATATGGCTCGGGCGGCGGTTGCTTGGAATTTTAGGTGGGGCAGTAGGCTGAATGGCGCCGCAAGGAGAAGGGACTGGTGAGAGCGAATTGGAAAGTACTCTGTAGATGATGTGTGCATACTCGGGTATTGTGCCTTTGCTTGCCCACAGACAAAGGGCCTGCGCCATAGTTTAACCAGAAATGACGTTTCAAAGTTCTTTTTCGCTGATGGTAAGTACATAGTCCCGGCAGATTCATGTTACATGGAGAGGTGTGGAGAGGGTGTGTATGCCTGTGTGTATGCGTGTGGCTTGAGGTGGGCAGAAAAACCGGTTCTGGGTGTGTAGGATTCGTGTCTCGCGATAGTCAGGGTGACGTGAAGGGTGGCAGGGTCCCCGCAGTATAATCTAGTGACCAGCGAATAGCAGCATGCCGCCCGCCACGAGCCTGGACAGTTTTCCTTGTTATGCCCGCCCGCACTTACGCCACGCCCACGCCAGCAAGTAGCCCCAGCAGCCCGAATTTGGGCTCAACGGTCGGTTCAATCTGAGACTCATTACTTGCTTTACTAGATGCAAGCGCTAGCACTTAGTCGACACGATCGCACCAAATCCCTAGGTTAGCATACCGTAGGCTGGCATTCCGGTATTCTTTTTATTCTTTGTTTCTTTTTAGCCTCATGTTTAGCACTAATATAGTCCCTAAATTGGCACCTACATTATAGCGTAGTACATGAACAGGTAGTTGCAGTGTACGCGTTGCCAGCTCCGCACGTCCACGAAAACCCGATCGATGTCTTGATTGCTAATTGGCCATGTGCAGGATTCAGAAGAAGAAAAAAGAACCACTGGCGGAGAATACATACTGAAACGCTGAACTAGGACGATAGGGACAACTCCGTCTGTTTTCCGGAGGAGCGCTCGTCTCTTTTCTACCCAAGTAGACATTCCATACGGAGCTATCTCATATCATGCCAGGCCGAGAGTCAAAGAAAAAAAGCCCATGTTTTCTCTACCTTAACCTAGGTGTTATAGTGGGTAATATGCCTCTAGCACCACTACTAACGACTATTTTCTGAGGCCCACCCAACCCCATCAGCAAACGGGCTTGCGGGCGGCAATGAGCCTCGGAAAGCCAAGCGAGCTGGGCCCTGGGTTTACTGGGTTGCTGGGCCCTCACCTGCTCACCTCACCACCCCCCCCTGCCCATATTCAACTCAAATAAAGTGGCCAGGACGATGCTAACTAGTTTGTGGGTGTGGCTCCGGTGGGTGGCTGATGCAGCTCGCGCAAACTACATTCCTTCTCTGCCAAGTTTCCATACCTGCCTGTTCCATGTCGTGTAAGTCCAGACTTCACTCTCTGACACGGAAATGCAGGCATAGTATGTGACCTCTTGTCTCCGCGTCCGAGTCCGCGCCTGGCCTTTCCTCTCGATCCTATGCCAAACTCCACACGATCGAGATCTCCACCGTGTTGTCTTATAGTCCACCCGGGGGGGTCTGGTCAGATTGGATAGACGAGATATGCCATGGGCCGCGTCTGGGCGAGCATCTTGAAGTACCTTGTGGCAGAGAATCTTGTTTTTATTCCCTGTTTTGGTCTCGGCTAACCAATCAGGGTGCTGCCTCTCTCCGACCACCAGCGCATGGCCGTCCCAACCGTGCCCACCGCCACGACAGAACAGTTACAGAAACTCTACTCTCTCTCGTCACATTCTAATCATATTGCACCAGCCCGGTGAGCCACAGAAAACGAACATTGCCCCTCCACTCCAAAGTCCTCCCTAGCTAGGTCCCGCTGGTCCCTGCTACCGCGGGTGGCCGAAAGTGATCGGCACGCCTCGGCCTGGTCCCCAAGTAGATCATCGACCTGTAGCCGCATGTGTGGCTTGACCTCATCGGAGCATAAGCGAGCAACTTCTACCAGTACCTCCCTACCGTGACCCTCCTTCATGACGTTCTGCTTCATATACTTCTTCTACATGACGTCGAAGAAGTGGCTGCAGAAAGGGTCCTGGCTCGAATAGCAATGCTGAAACAAGTAGCACAGAGGAGGAGAAACCAGCCATGGGAGACGTCAAGCGCCTATAGCTCTTACCCCAACTGCTACCTAGCAGTTCCCAGAAGCTCGTTGCTTTCTCGTCGTGTGTTATCCCGTTAGTCAGGCTGGGGTGTAGCTGTGAAGCTACCCAGTATGATTGCCTGATGTGACGTAAGTGATTGGAGCTTCTCTTCCAGTTGCTTTCTTGTATTGAGACTCGAGGGATCACGATAGGCTTTTGTCTTTTTCTTTTACCCATTGCCCATTCTCTTAAATACAAAACTCTCCTGCTCTTGTATTTTCTCTATAGTCTTACTTTTAATTCTTCATTCTTATGACCAACAACACTGTAAAACAGACAGTAGTGACTACCCAACCCACTGCTACAGAAATCAAAACCGAAATAACTACACAACTACCTGATAACCTCTTACCCTTGAAAGAAACACTTGCACCTCTTATTCACTCTACCTATACCCAGAACTCCGCAATCATGAGCTCGCAAGTTGGCAGCGCACAGAAGAAAGTACAGTCCGAGTTGCCAGAGACACCAACCAAGGCCGGCCAGCCCCTTTCAGAGTCCAAGCTGGACACTTCGGCACCACGCTCCATCCCAGATATCAACGACTCAGAAACGCAATCCCAAGATGCCGATGTCTCCAATTCCGGCGAGGGCGAGGAGGGCGAGATGGTACCGGCCGCAGGCCGTATCAATGAGAAGGGAGAGGTAATTGACGACGATGGCAATGCAATTGGCAGGGTCACAAAGGGCAGCGCAAAAGACTTTGTAGACTTTGTCGTTACCCAGGAAGGTGACATCCTAGATTCCAATGGTGGTGTTGTCGGCAAGGCTGAGCCGCTGGAAGACGTTGCCTCCAGACTCGATGACCACTACACCACAACCTCTAGAGAGCACGTTGACACAGTGACGGGCGCTGCGGGCGATGAGACGCCGAGCGGCGGTGGTCTCGGCGGTGCATTGGGCGGAGTCGGCAACTTGGCCAAGGGCGCAACCAGCGGAATCGGCAAGACGGCCAAGGGTCTCACGGGTGCCGTTGGTGATACAACCAAGGGTGTCACGGACACGGTCGGTGGCGCGACGGGTACCCAGGAGGTGACTGATAAGCTGGGTGATACGGTCAAGGGTACCACAGATACCGTTGGCGACACCACCGAGGGTGCCACTGGCGCAGTCGGTGAAACCGCAAAGGGCGTCACCGACACAGCTGATGAAGCCACAAAACCCGTCACCGACACTGTAGATGACGCCACGGGTGGTGTTACTGGCAAGGTCGGCGAGACGGCCGAAGGCGTAACCGAGACGGCCGGTGAGACTTTGGAAGGTGCCGGCGACAAGGTATGCAGCTATTTCCGGGCCAAAACGCCATGATCTCCTTCAATCATCGCTAACACACTGATTGTACCAGGTTGGCGAGACTACCGAAGGCGCTACGGACACACTCGGAGAAGGTGTCGAGGGTGTCAAGGGCACTGCAGAGGAGGGCGTCGAGGGCGCCAAGGACACTGCAGAGGAGGGCGTCGAGGGCGCCAAGGACACTGCAGAGGAGGGCGTCGAGGGCGCCAAGGACACTGCAGAGGAGGGCGTCGAGGGCGCCAAGGATACTGCAGAGGAAGGTGTCGAAGGCGTCGAGGGCGTGAAAGACACCGCCGACGAAGGTGTGGAGGGCGTCAAGGACACCACCGAGGAGGGTGTTGAAGGCACCGAAGGCAAGGTCAGTTTTTCCGCATTTTCCTTGACACAACAGGTCATAAACTAAACTTCCATCTGCAGCTTGACGAGACTGCCGAGGGTGCCGAGGGTGCCGTCGATGAAGCGGGCGAGACCATTGAGGGAGCCAAGCCTGCTCTCGATGAAGATGGTAACCCCATTGAAGGCGCCGAGGGTGCCATCGGTGAAGCGGGAGAGGCCGTTGAGGGAGCCAAGCCTGCTCTCGATGAAGATGGCAACCCTATTGAAGGCGCCGAGCAAGCCCTTGACGAAGCTGGCAAGCCCATCGAAGGTGCAGAGGGTGCCGTCGACGAGGCCGGTGAAGCTGTCGAAGGTGCCAAGGGTGCTGTCGACGAGGACGGCAACCCCATTGAGGGTGTCGAGGGCGAAATTCCACTCGATGAAAATGGAAATCCCATCGAAGATCTGAAGGCGCCCATTGAGATCCCGGAATTCGCTCCCACTGTTGCTGGCAAGGTCATTGCCATGTTTGAGGGCCCCTTCACCGTGGCCGAGGATGGCCAAGTCACCGATCAGAATGGCAAGATCCTTGGTAACCTTGCCAAGGATACCGATATCCAGAATCTCATCGGCAAGGAGATTAAAGGAATCGACGAACATGGCAACTTGCTCGGCGACAACGAAACTGTCCTAGGCAAGGTCGACCTCGTCCCTGAGGGCACCATCGTAGAGCGCATCAAGGACGAGGTTCCCGAGGCTGCTGAGCGTTTGGATGCTCTCGAGGAGGCTAAGAACAAGCTCCCCGATATCTCCATCTTGGAAGGTCTCACCATTAACAAGGCCGGCAACGTTGTCGACGACAAGGGCAACGTCATGGGTCGTATCAAGAGCGGCGAGCTTAAGAAGCTCATTGGCAAGCAGCCCGACGAGAAGGGTCAGATTTGGGATGGCCGCGGCAACGTCATTGGCGAGGTTGAGGTTGTCCCTGACGCCATTGAGAATTTGGCTTCACCTTTCGAGGACTTCCCTGACGCCATTGTGGACAAGAACGGCGTCGTCGTCTTTGAGGGTCGCCAAGTTGGTGTCGTTTCTGAAGGCGACATTGAGAAGCTGATTGGCAAGAAGGTTGATGCTGACGGCGATATCCTTGACAAGAACGGCAACGTCATCGGCAAGGCCGAAAGGAAGGAATTTGAAGAGCCTGTTGCGGAGCCCGAGCCCGAGCCCGAACAGACTGACTACTCCATGCTCAAGGACAAGAAGATCAACAAGTTTGGCAACGCTGTCGACGACAAAGGCCAAGTCTGGGGACGTGTTGTCCAGGGCGTTCTCAAGAACCTCATCGGTAAAAAGGTCGGAGACAATGGTGAGGTCTTCAACGATGCCGGAAAGGTTATCGGCAAGGTCGAGCCTGTTCCCGATGAGGAGCGTGAGGACTACAAGGAGCCCTCACCATTCGAGGACTTCCCTGGCGCTACCGTTGGTGATGAGGGCAAAGTTCTGTTCAACGGTGAACAGGTTGGTATCGTTGTGGATGGTGATGCCAAGAAGCTGAAGGGCAAGCCCGTCGATGCCGACGGTGACATTCTTGATAGAAATGGTAACCTGCTCGGCCATGCAGAGCGCTGGGAGAAGCCTGAAGAAGAACCCGAGCCCGAGGTTGACAACTCCTCCCTCGCTGGCAAGCGCATCAACAAGGCCGGTAACGCGGTGGATAGCCATGGTGACATCTATGGTCGCGTCATCGAGGGTGACCTCAAGCGTCTGATTGGCAAGATGTGCGACAAGCAAGGCTTTATCCGCAACGAAGGTGGTGATGTTATCGGTAAGGCTGAGCTCATTCCTGAGGCCGAGCGTGAGGGCCTTAAGGAAGGTCCCTTCACTGAGCTTCCTGGCTGCACTGTCAACAAGGAGGGTCACGTTGTGACTCCCGGTGGCGATATTGTTGGTCGTCTTGTCTCTGGTGACCCAAAGATTCTCTTTGGCCGTGCTGTTGACGACGATGGTGACATTTTGGACAAGAATGGCAACGTTCTTGGCCACGCCGAGCGTTGGGAACCCGAGGAGGTTGCCAAGGATGTCAACCCCATGTCCGGTCGCAAGGTCAACCGTGAGGGCAACGTTGTTGATGAGAACGGAGATATCATCGGCAAGCTGACCAGCGGTGATTTGAGCAAGTGCGCCGGCAAGAAGATTGACGATGACGGCGATGTTGTCGACCAGAAGGGTAGCATCGTGGGTCATGTTTCTCTGCTCGAAGATATTCCCGAGCCCGAGCCCGAGCCTGTAGAGGAAGAATCAGAGGAGGACCGCCAGAAGCGTTTGCAACTGGAGCAGGACCGCAAGATTGCAGCACAGATTTGCGTCTGCATTGAGCATTCTCTTGACAAGATTCGCCCAATCTGCAAGATGATCATGGAGGTTTGTTTAACTTCACTCCCATCTACGAGGCTATCTACTAACAACTCAATAGAACATCGACAGAGCTGAACGTACCCCAGAGGACGAGCGTGATGAGGAGGAACTCGTCAAGGTCGTGAAGCCTCTCATTGAGGAGGGTGGTAAGATCTTGACTGAGGCAAACGGTGTCATTCGTGGCCTCGACCCTGACGGCCGTATCTCTGCCAATGCCAAGCACAAGACAGCTGCTCGCGAGGCTACTCCCGAGGAGTATCATCTTGCAGATCTCCTCAAGGAGCTGACGGGTACCGTCACGGAGACCATTGAGAATGCCAAGCGCAAGCTTGAGGACATGAAATATGCCAAGAAGGAACTTAACCCTCTCTGGGGTCTTTTGGCTGAGCCTCTTTTCCAGATCATCGCCGCTGTTGGCTTGTTGCTCAGCGGAGTGTTAGGTCTTGTTGGAAAGTTGCTGAATGGCCTTGGACTGGGTGGACTTGTCAATAACCTGCTTGGCGGACTTGGTCTCACCAAGGTTCTTGATGGTCTCGGACTTGGAAGCATTGTCGGAGCTGTCACTGGACAGGATGACAAGAAGAAGAAGTAAGTTAACACTCCAACCCTACCGTCAGCGCAGACCTGATACTAATTGGCTTTTGTCATAGGGGCAAGAGTGGTGGCAGCAAATTCCTTGGAATCATTTGATTCCATTCAACCACTACATAATGCATCTGTAATGTAATTTTACTTGAGGATAGTAGCGTAATGGTCTTTTTATTTTGGGGGGCTACGAGTAATGATTCCTGTATGATTTTCATTTCAACGACAAGGTTGGGTTACTTCAAAACAAAAATGTGGGCTTTCTTGTTGGTCATATAGTATAGTCTCACAATTTTTAAATGTTACTTTTAAAAATCTCAACATCTCCCTGTGTGTGATTGAACCATGTTAGGCAGTTCATGGGTAGGCAAAAGTTGCATCAAATTACAGCTAATCACTGCCTGCTCATACTACAGTTGCAGATTGGCGTATACTCGAACACAGGCACATGGTCAAGTTCGAGTTTTCAACAGGAACAGGAAGTAACATTTGAAAAAACTCTAATTCATAAAATGACGTTAGACATGACGTAGAGTCCAGGAACTGGTGTGTAGGGTCAACTAGTGGCAGTATTGGCCAGCGCATGGGAGTACGACTACGCTACCGGTTATCTAAGGCAGGCTTGGTCCTCGAGACTATCCACTTCCCTGTTTGATGCTTGGAGGGTGGTGTGGCTGGTCAGGTGGCGTTCTCGAGTCCTTTGACCCAAGAGAAGTATTCAAAGTTCATCCTATATCCCTTTCCCTACTTGACAATAACGAATACTGCTCAGGTCACTTCCATTATCTTAGTATTTATATTTGACCACCAAAATGCCTAGGACATTATTACTCTGTTTTATTCATGGGTTCAAGGGTGATGACGATACGTTCCAATCGTTTCCCCATGACTTGAAAATCCAAGTCGCAAAACAAATTCCCAATCACAATGTTGAGTCTGTGGTTTATCCAAAGTATGAGACAAAGGGAGAATTAGCACAGTCTACGGAACAGTTCTTGTCATGGTATGCGTTGTCTGGAATCAAACAGAATGGACAGAAGAGCTAACATGACCCAGGTTACGTGAAAGAGTCATGGATGTGCGCAAAGCACACAGTGAGAAGCCCTGGCCACCTCACGATCGTGATGTTGGTGTTATCTTGGTCGCACATTCAATGGGGTAAGCACAATCAACGGTTTTGAATAGACTCAGGCTGAAACCTCTTTGCATAGTGGCTTTGTGGCAGCAGATGCGCTCTTCTCAGTCTTGAATGAGAAAATCGCCAACAAGGACGCTGACGACACCCCGATTTTCCCACTCATTCAAGGCATCTTGACATTTGATACCCCGTACAACGGCCTTGCGCGTTCCATGTTTGTTTACGGCGCTTTCTCCAACTACCAGAAAGTCAGCAGTGTGTTTAACGTCATGACTGCTATATCCGCTGCAGCACCAGCACAGCTCAGTAAGCTCTCACTGAAGCGTGCTACGGCTTCTGCCGTTCCTGCGCGTAGCTCGAATCCAGCATGGAAGAGCTGGCAGCTGATCGCGGTCAAAACCGGCACTGTTGGGGCCATTGCTGCCGGTGGTGTGGCTGCTTACATGCATCGAAAGCAGATCATGGAGGGCATGAGAAACATGAGGAACATCAATCGCGAAAGTGTTCAAGAATCCGTCAAAGAAGGATACCAGAATAGTGTCGACGCGCTCGGCCAGGGCCTTGCCTACATCAACCGTGGTAACGTCGGAAAATCATTTGAATATCTCTCGGACCATTTTACGTTCATCGGCTCGCTGATGAAGCAGCAAGAGTTGAGTAGACGTCTGGAACGCATGGGTGAACTCAAAGGCGTGGGAATCCATGACTTTTACACATCACTCGGCGAAAATGGCGTCTGGAGCGGTGGTTACTTTGTTCCAGAAAGAACATTCTGTGCGATTCCTGAAAAGGAACATGTTGCGAGTCACATTTTCTCGAAACAAGTCATCACGGAGACGGAAGACGAAGTGCAAGCGCACATGAGCATGTTCAAGAGAGACAAGAACATCAACTACGAACAAATGACCGACACCGCCAGCGAACTTGTCATTTCATGGTTCAATGAAGACTCCATAATTGTCGAGGACCCAAAGTTCGCAGCTCCGGCGCCGCCCGAGGTTGTTGAAGAGCCTGTATCAACAACCGGAGATGGCACGGAGATCCCTCAGACAGAGACAGTAGCCGATGAGGCTAATGTTGAAGAAGACAAGGATTACGATGGTGACTCGTTGCCAGACGAGTCGCCACTTGACATTGCGGCAGCGGCTTCCATGGTGCCGCTCCCTGATGATGACGACACGGCTCCGGAGACTATCGAGGCCAAAGATTCGGCGCAAAGCACTTACATGAGATACTTGTTTGGAGTCGCCCAGCAGGCCGGTACTGGCATCAAGTCATACGTACCAAGAACCATGCCTGAGATGCCATCAGGGCCGAGCTTCAAGTCGTACATTCCAAGTCAGATGCCCTCAATGCCTCAGATGCCCAATCTGCCCTCGATGAGTGTCTTCTCGCGGAGCAAAAAAACAGATTCTGGTACCGACTTGACGGAACAGGTCAACACGAACAAGTCACCGGAGAGTGATACCGCAGCAACAATGACAACAACAGAAGGCCCGGTGATGGAGGAGCAGAAGTCTTGAATAAGTTAGAAGTCGGCGTGCAGAGTCCATTGCTAGACCGACAGTCTATTTATAATGACGGGATTTCCAGAATGTGACGATAGATGGCTTGGGCCTGGCGATTCCTTTAAAATACCTATAATTCTACGAGCATACACAAGTTACCGATTACACCTAGTATAAGTTATCACAGTTGCAAACCTAAGTAATACCTGCTTCCCAGCATAACTACTAAATACAACACCGGGCTGATTTCAATATTCAAATTTATGCGATTGGTCCGACTAATGAGAGACTCAATCACAACCTTTCTTATTACAAATGCCAAGGTCACTGCAGCTGTACTTGATTGAGGCGGGCTCTTTGGTTCCCATTTGGCTGCTGACCGGCGATCGGGCATAAGAGGCTAATCTCGTTTCACCTACATGACAACTACTTTAAGCTTCCAGATATCCGAAATACCCTGAATAGCTCAAGTGGTCCGGGCTTGGGACTGCGAGCTCTCTAGACTTGGGGGGATTACAGTTCCTATTCAATAATAACCTAATTAACTCAAGTGCAAACTAGGTTTGTACCACGTCCAATAGCAGCATTATGGACAAATCATGCCAGACACCCTTCCATGTGATCCTACAGGATTTCATGGTGTGGCAAAGTTTCTCCTCCGGTGCTGACGTATCCAGGTCGTGACAATTGCGGGGTCTTATACATCATTGTGATGGATCCAAAGCTCATATAAAGAGGCTCCCACAATCTTCACTCCATGATCTTTCAGCTTTGGTTGTGACACAATTCGACACCCAAAACGTTTGAACTACTATTAATATCATTTTATTGGAACACCCAAACTCAAATCTCACATAAACATACCATCATGAGCAACCCAGAGCAAAACAAACAACAGCAGCAGGGCGGCGGTTTGCTCGGCGGTCTCATGGGCGGCGTCGACAACGTCCTGACTGGTGGCCAACAAGCCCAGGGACAAGGCGGACTGCTTGGAGGCCTTGGCGGCACCGTGGGCAAGACCACCGAAGGTCTTGGTAACACCTTGAATCAAACTGGCCAAGGTGTCGGCAATCTGGCCAAGGGAGTCACAGATGGCGCGGGAAACACGGTTGGAGGTGCGACCGACTCGCTAGGAAACACAGTAAAGGGTGTCGCCGGAGGGGAACGGAAGCCGCAGCAAGGCTAAGCTCTGCGGCTTGTTGTCTACGGATATGTTACGAGACGACAAATGAACGCTTTTCCGCGGTACACGTACCAGCATGCGGCGGTCACTTGCAACAAGGGAGGAGTATCCCATCAATCATTGTTATAGTGCACCAGCTACTTTTCACGAGTCTATACATCTAAATGGCTTCGATCCCTGTTTGCGATGATGTACATGCTGTGCTGGAGGGTGACCTCGGTACTACCCTAATCTTGAGATACGTTTTGTCTTGGAAACACTGGTTCGATGCTCCTTGTATCCGTTCTACCGTTTGTTCTAAACCAATCGACCCTGCACTTTCCAAACTTGATTTATACTGTCAACCAACCGTGTGCAAATGGGTGCTAGGTGACTGATGGATACATGTCAAGCATGTAGTACCTGGCCCGTCGCTGGAACTCAGTCTGCACCGGAATATTTCATGACTTCGTGCCATATGATTCCTTTCCCATCGAGTCGTTCGATAGTCGTATTGTGAAGATCCTCGAATCCGACTGATTTGTACAGCGGATGGCCTGCCTCAGTACCTGTCAACGTGGTTGGTAGTCCCAAGTTATCTGCAATTTCCATTCCCCAGTCGAGGTGGGTTTTGGCAAATCCATGGCCGTCCCACTGGGGGTGTGTCGCAAGCCCTCCGACATATACCTGGTGCTTGAAGACAGCATCTAAATACTTCTTCTCCGACTCCAGGATACTTTTGTAATAATGATCGACTCGTGTCGTGTTCGTATCAAGCCGCTGTGAGCAATTACCCGTACCTCCGAACATCAAAGATGCAAACGTGCTGTCGGGCATTCCCGTCCTGTTGAAATCCCAGACGGAAAAGGAAACAACGCGGGAACCCGACCGGGCTGTTCGGTCGGGTACCGCAATAACCTTGAAGACGTACGCGTCTGGGCTGTCGTCTTCAAGCACTGACTTGTATACGTCTCTGGCACACTGCCAGGCGTACCCGGGGTACTTGTCTTGAAATTGGTGGAGATAATCCCAATATGGGGCAGTAGAGAACGCGTCAATGGTTACTGTTGCAATATCGCCGGCATCGTCGGCCGTGGCGTTTCTAAACACAAACGCAACATTGCTAAGTGGAATCTGATCAAGTGAATGCGCCAGTAAAGCGGGCAGACACGCAATCGCTGCCAAGAAAAGGGGTAGATTTATTGTTCCCTTCATATTGTAGAATTTAGACAGCGCAAAAAATGCAGTGGTGGGGATTGAAAATCAGCTGCGACTTTTGCCATTTTGGAGGTCGGCGTTGGATTTTCGGCGCGCCAGAGAATCCCGGCCCAGTATGATATGATACGATGCAAATCAGTTCCGAACTCCGACTTGATGTGGCCTCGCGAGAAAAAAAAAAAAGGGCAGCATTCAATTGGTAAAGAAGTCTAAGTCTTTTACATGGATGAACTTGAGTAGAAATGATCATATACGGCGAGATAGGAGTGTTTACAATTTGCCGAACCTTGAGATATGGACGAATGAACGCGTACCTAGGGAGTAAATCCATATGCATCAACTTTTTCTTAACCTTTTAACGATTACTTTTCTCCCACTGTACGCTTATTTGAAGATTGCCTCTTGCGTTTGTTAGAAATAATTTTGCCTCATGTCTAATCTAGTTTACTACAGTATCATGAATCAGGACGCATCAAAACCTTTGACCCAGGATCTCATATCCACAATCCTTCCGAGGATATGCTACCCTGCTTTCCAACTTCTTTCTGTGCCAGTTGCCGCGTATCTGCATTCGAATAGAATCAGTTATGTATTGGACGGAGGATTGGGTTTTCTATTTGGCCTTGGGATTTATCTTATCCATATTAGTGTCATAGAAATAGAGTTCGAGTCGTTGAGGAGTATATTAAAAGGGGTGCGGCTTTATTTAATCTGATAAGGTAGGTAGCTTTGAGAACTAACGGTAGATGAGGCCCTATTGCCGAGTGGTAGAAGCAGCAGCAGGTCTCGTGCTCACCCAGCTTGGCTATTTGATGAATTTTAATGAAATCAGGTTTCGATGAGTTGAAAGGGTCACTTTTTACAAGTGATTGCTTCATGTTACATTGCTATCTGCAGTGGTTCGCAAAATTTTGTAGTTAGCCTGTGAAGATGATTAAATGCATCAAAGTGCGGCTAAAGTAGCTGGCAGAAGCTGCTTCATACGGCTACTATTGGCAGCTTGTATTGATTACTCATGACCATTCAATAAGGGATATCTTCCTTGGTGTGTTGGCAAGTTCCGCTCCCGTTTGATCGAGTTGTGCATATTAACACGGGTCGAACAATGGAGGCTTGTTTTTTTCTGTAGGGTTAAATAGGATGAGATTCTTTCCATGTTTAATGATAAGTAGGTTGATCCCGCCAGCCATTTTCTATTGCATCTTTTGAGTCCGGTAGACGCTTACTCTCACTTGAGTTGCCACAGTTACGGGGATCTTCACGAGTTTATTGGACGATTCTTCTTCAACGAAATACCATTCAAAGATCACTGATTCTAGTGGGCATTTACCCGTCGACAAGAGCACGAGGTTTAGCACTCGTCGTCACTTGGTATAAATCATCATAATCAAGACGAGCCTCCACCATAAACCAGCAGCATGGCCTCTCTATACCTCTCCGAGCAAAATTCTTTACACGTACAAGTCAAAATAATCACCTCGGTTCTTGCGCTATTAGGTATATTATGGATCGCACTGGCAATCCTGTTTTTCTACCAATTCCGCAAGCCACTCGTTGGTGATCTGTATCGGCTTGGGAGCACAAGATCCAGTCAATGGAACAAAGACATGGGCACAGAGGAATCTATCGAGCTTGAACAGATGGGCGTACATGGGGAGCATCAATCATGAAATTTTTTTTATAACCGTTATTTGAAACACTTCGATTTTGGCCTGGGCCGGCTGAGCTCATTGGCTAAACACAAACCTGAATATTAGAGGCGTCAATCATGAGGTCATCAAACCATTCCTCTGTGCCCGCCATTTTGCCCAGGAGACCACTATTTTTACGTCTGTTTCGTGCTGCTCTTGAGGAACATACATCCATCTCACCTCTTCACCATTCCAACCGCGATTCGGCAAAAACGCCTCCAGCATGTAGTAGTTATCTCTCATATAGGGGATGTCGGTAGTGGGCGGCCCACTCCGTTCGAGGAAATGATCCGTCTCCGAGACAATGTCGTCTTGGGTCAAACGAAATCTTCGCCGCTTATTTCCCTTGTTGGCGGCGTGGCGACTAATGGCGCGCACCGTAGATCTGAGATGCTCTTGAAGAAGCCTCGAGTGCCACAATGGGCTCACGATCGCTTTGCGAACGATGTCAGCGTGAAGCCCCACGAGTTTCCGGTTCCACTCGGGCTGTTTCCCTCGTGGGATGACCGGGATGGGCTCACCGGCATCGAGGTTTCCCTGCCAGTGTGCAAAATCGGGAATGATGTTCAGACTCGTCCAGCGCAGAAGACAGGCGAAACAGGTGCAAATCATAGTGGGATCAGGGGACTGCACATGCTGATACGGCTTGGTCAAGGCGTTCTTGAGCTCGACTCTGTCCATGCTCTGTAGAGATGCATGTGCGTCCGGATCGACATGCTCAAGTAAAACGGGCTTGTGAAAGCACTTTCGCAGACAACGATACCGAAAGTCGCATACATTGTACGCGATCCTCTCCTCCTCAGCGCGAAGGAAGGCTTGATAGGCCTTACTCACACGCACAAGGTTGAATAAGGTACTGGGTTGGCAATAGTACAGTATCTCGAGCACCAGTTCGTGCGGAAGATCCAGGATGTGCGTCACGTGCGATTTGACCTTGTGCTTCTTTTCCCGGAGCCGTTGCCTCTTCTCGGCGCGTTCTGTACGCTTGGAGCGCAGTAGCAGTGGTTCCGTTTTGTCTTCCAAGGGCTGGAGGTCTTGTTCCTCTCCAACCTGCTCGACCACTTTCCGCATCGCAATGGCTAGGGTCCCAGAAAAATGCGCAGGTAGATAGCAAGACAATATGAGTGTTCGAAAGCCAGGAGGAAGAATCTGCTCCTAGCCTTGTTGAAAGGATTGTCCGCAAACGTATTATGTTAGTTAGGGTGTACACGTTAAATTGCAAGTTGGAATTTGCACTGACGGCATCGCCACAAGCCCTACGTACCGAGCTTACTCGGGGCACTGATGCTAGATGTACATACTGCTTGCTGCTAGGCACCTACTGAGGTGCTGGGACTTTTTAGTGGAGAAACGCCACCAAAGAAAGCACCATTTGCGGGGCAAATTTTGCCTCTGGTAGAAAATTGAAGTCTTTTTGAGAATGATGATACTCATCAGTCTTTTAATGTATTGATAGACTTTTCAGCCTGCAGTACGATGCACATAAATTGTTACATAGCACTAGAGGCTTGATCATCAAATAGGTCAGCCAGTAAGACAAGATTTGTACATATCCATGGTACCTTGGTAGGTAGATATCATGAGCGGAACGTTTGTAATTTTTTTTTTTCAACAGTGAGTAACCTAGAAAATATTGAACTGCAAAATGCATAGGTCACTAAATTTTGTATGCCTGTCAAGGGCGCATGCATCGCAGCAAGGATACAAGTCTCTTGTGCCAAAGACTGGTAATCTCGAACTATCATATTCCATAATATAAATGTGCACAGTAATGAGCAACCTTGGTCCCAACCTAGTGGTGCATTTCTACTCTAGGTAGGTAGATAGCACTACAGAGTATTAATTGATTGCCCAACTCTGTCATACACTAGTGCCTAGGTACCCAGTAGGTAGTAGGTAAGCTCCAGTTGATATGGATGTAGGCAGCACAGTATTGAATAAGTGTCTACCTAGGTAGGAGGTAGTGACCCTCTTGAACCTAATGCAAACCTCCCATTTTCCGTGATGATTAATTGTTTTCCCATCCAAATCATCATCTGCCTTCTCTGAAATCTCGATCCTTCCGACAGCGACGTGTGGGAGGCGTAAAGGACATCCATCGTAACACATCCTCAAGCCAGGGCGCGCTTAAAGGGAAATGAACATGCCACCAAACAGAATGACAATGGTGATGACGACGAGCGGCGTCTCAGGCCCAATGACCCCAATACCAGGCGCTGGCTGAATGACCAGATCCGCGACGATGCCGCTGGTGAAGTTGTTGGCCGCTTCAGTAAAAGCAATGGTGCTCAGATTTCCGCATTGCGCATTCAGATTCTGGTCCATCATCATGGCGGGAAACTTTGGCGACTGCGTATCCAGAATGCTCGAGGCTGCATCCGTGCCCATTGGTGCCGAGCGCAGAAACGCTGCGCGATACGTCGAGTTGAGGCCAATGACGGACAGGTTGGCCACCTTTGAGTAATTTTCGCAGATTGGGTTGAGGAGCGTGTTGGCACTTGGGCTCTGTCGGGGCGTAAGCACGCGAACCATGTCGCTGGCTGCGGCCGCCACTTGGAAGATGGAGAGCAGGAGGACAAGGCACCTCCAAGGCGTCGGGAGCTTCATTATACCGGCCATTATATACGAGAGATGGAAGGGCGGGGAGAAGGCGTCGCGGCGGAGTAGAGAACAGGGACAATGTGGCGTTTAGTATATTATGATCTGTAGACGTCGTGGGCCTGCCACTAGAAACACAATTCAACGATACACGGATCCGAGGAAAGCGAACGTGTAGTTTCAAAAGTGACGAGATCAACTCACGAAAGGAAAAGAGAAGGGAAGAGAAGAAGGGGAGGAAGAGGGACTACGCAGGACTACATATGTGCCTGGTAATAATGCAACCTACATATGCATATCTTGGAGCCTTGGTACTACACTACCTGTGGGAAGCCCCTCCCCAAGAACCTTGAAAGCTGGAGGAACAGTTCTCACAGCCCCAGGCCGCCCTTCCGCGTGCCATCCAGTATCGGGCCCTCAAACCTGGACCATCCATCTCATGCATCGAGTGTCATCTCGTCTCAGCTCTTGGGCCGAAAGGGTAGAGACGAGTGATGTCCTCCTGCTTCAGATTCCCTTTTCGGGGCGCTCAGATCCCACATGTCCCAGAAGCTGGAGTAGCAGATGGGATGGTGAGGGCGAGATACCGCCCACAATTGGCTGCTGCCCCCTGTTCAGCGGCCCTGGACCCACCAACTTGAGGCTGACAGCGAACGGCTCCGACTCCTGGCTGTGTGAAGATCAATCATTATTCGCTTGGGTTACCAATGTGCCCCTACCAGGGACTTGATGGGCTGCACTGCTCTCTTATCTGCCTGCTATCTGCTCACGGAACATGGCAAAACCGAGAAAATAAGGACCTGAGATTGGAGTGCATTCTTTTCTCTTTTGATCCGCCCCAGTGATTTGCAGTACAGAGTTGCATTGCCAAGCAAAGTTAATTCGTGTTAAAGATCTGTCATCGATTTTTTAATATGCTTGATGTTATAATTGACAATGAAGACATCCCTACTAGATACATACCTAGGTACGCAGTAGGTATGTACATAATGTAGCTACAACTTCTCAAGCTGCACCCGTTTGCCCGAGTCCAGATGTCGACTCCCTGGTAGCACTTTCATGGAAGCTACATACCTAGTAGAACTTGCCGTGGTTATGTAGTGCTTATCTCTGGAAAAAGATTCCTCCCTCTGATATTCTCTCTCATTTTGTTTTCGACGTAACTTTTCTTCTCTCTCTCTCTCTCTCTCTCTCTCTCTCCAATGCGCTAGAAATAGAACTGTTCAATGGATTTGCGGCATCGCATCACGATTGGGCGCCATTAAACGGTCGCGGGATTTCCAGCACATGAGCTTCGATGTGGTGGGTTTAGCCTGGGCGCTTACGGCCTGCATGGGACCTCTTTTTGCCGCTGGAGAATAGACGGCCCCTCCCTGACCCCATGTCGTGGATATCAAGTCACAACCTATCATGCAGGGTAGACTGCATTTCGAGTCGCAAGTCTCGCTTCGTCGTGTGAAATACTTGCATCCCTGCTGCATCGACCAAGAACCAGTACCTAGGGCCATTGTCTGTTAAAAATTAGAAGTGTATCCAACATGATGAATGCGGATGATTCATTTATTTTCTTGCCAATGACGCAGTGCCTTTGTTTGCCAATACAGTTATTCAGAAATCAGCATTATGTATGAATACTAAACGAAGCGCAGTTTATATGAGGAGAAATACGCAATTGAACTGCTTTATTGCGTGATGTCGCTAAGAGCATCGAGATACTAACCGAGTGCCTATGCCCAAGGCCCGCCGACGTTGCTATGCAAGCTCATCAGGTCCGTCGGGGATTGCGATAATAATCCGCCAATTGAGCAACAAGATGATTGCGTATAGTGGATGCTCATTACAATATGCTCGGAGAACCACCCGGATCGCCATCGTGGACCTTGATTGCGATGGCCATGATTGGGAAGTTGTGAAAGTCCATTTAAGGGCCAACGAGACAGAATCATCTTGAAAAGTTTGGTCTTGGTCGCATCAACAGAGAGCGCACGCTGCTCATCCGGCCATTTTCATCATGCGTATATCTTCGAGTCTGAGCTGCCTCTACGCAGCCGCGACGGTCTCTGCAGCACCTTTTCTCACTCAGCTGGATAGCTCGACCTGGGTCTTTGGCAACGATCTATTCAACGTCACTCAAGGTTCGGTATACGCAACCGAGGTGCACTATGGCGGTCATGAGTTGGTCGGGACTGCTGCTGGGCACTACATGGGTTACGGTGAGCACAGCATGGCACGGATTGTCAGCCGCGAGGACCCCCTTCATTACTGACACCATCTGGTAGACGGAGAGAACAACTTTGAATGGACCTCTGCTGCCATCGTCTCAGAGGGCGATGGGTATATCGACATAAGTTTCTCTTCCTCAGCGGGCGATCTTCACTGGGTCATATTCGATGGCCTCGCGGGATCGTACCAGTACTTTGTAAATACCGCCGTGCCGGACTTGAGCATTCTGAGAACTTTGTGGAGGCTTGACCCATCCTTGTTCCTCAACGCAAGAACCTACCTGCGAGATCAGCCGCTGCCGGATTTCTCGCTGTATGCGAACGCGACAAAGGTGCAGGATGAAACATGGGAACTCAGTGACGGCACATTCATCACCAAGTATGACTTTTCCGACTTTGTGAGAGACCGAGATTACTACGGCATCTATGGCTCAGGTGTAGTTGGCTCGTGGTATATATTTCCAGGAGGTGATTACCACAACTCGAATCAGCTTAGTCAGACTTTGACTGTACGTAACCTGTGGCGGAGAAAAAGATGCAAGAGAAGCTGATGGTTTGCAGGTACATCGAGAGTCCTCTACGGGCGATTCTGTCCAGCTCAATGTCTTCCAAGACACTTCCCATTTCCGAGTTGGCCAAACCACTCCGCAGCCGGTCGGCAAGATTTGGGGCCCGTGGCTTTGGTATCTGGTATGTAGGCCTCCAATCCGTTGTTTCCACCTGCGCAGGCTAAAACAGGAAACAGAATGATGGCTCACTGGAAGACGTCGAGAGGCAGCGCCAGGATGAACTGCAAAGCTGGCCATACTCGTGGCTCAATGATACAGCCTACCATCGGCGAGGAGAATTGTCGGGAACTCTCAAGCTTTCCGACGGACGCGCAGCGTCAGGTGCTGCTGTCTATCTTGGTGACACCAACACTACGGTCAGGCCATTGATACAGGGTAGCAACTACTATTACACCGCAGACGCTGATGAGAATGGTCAATTCTCCTTTTCACAAGTCCGTGCCGGTGAATATGGACTGTATGCATGGTCAAACGGTGGTGATATTGGAGATGTCTATTCCAATTTTACAACCACCAATGTCGTCGTTTCTGAGGGCGAGGCTACAGAACTGGGTACTCTGAGCTGGGACATCTCGGGGCTCCAAAGGATCTTCCAGATCGGCGACTTTGACAAGAAGGCTCTCGGCTTCAAGAATGGCGGCCCACCATACCAACACGGTGTGGCGGATCAAAGTCCAGCCAACCTGACATACGACATAGACGCCTCGGACGTCTCGGACTGGTATTATGCCCAATCACTCATCGGTACCTGGACCGTTCAATTCGCCTTGACAGCAGCGGATGTAGCAAACCATACCGACCGTGGAGCGCTGCTGAGCGTTTCACTTGCCGGATACTCGCAGAGTGCCGCACTGAACATTAGCGTCAACGGGAATCTTCTAGGGTCGCTGGATAAGGACAGTCTCGCTTCCGACCCAGCTCTTTATCGTTCCGGAAAAACGAGCGGCGAGTGGAGGTTCTTTCAGTACGAGATTGGCCCCGGAATTCTTGTTGAAGGAACAAACACTATTGATTTTACCATCACGCGGTATACTCAGTGGAGAGGGTTCATGTGGGACAGCGTGATTTTGGAGTGGCTGTAGATAAAGTCCATAGTCATGTATTTATCACCTATATTTGCTGCATAGCTGACACAGCTACATCGGTTTTGTCGATTGGTGCCAATGACTTCCGTTTTTTGTTCATATTACCAACAAAAATTAGAATAGAGCTGTCTGGATATGTACTAGGTAGTAAACATACCGCTGATTACCTCTGGGCTGAGCGTATATCTACTAACCTAGGAAGTTTTATTGGCAGGTAGGAGTACGTCGTAGTATGGAACATGAATACAGCCCCTCCATCTCAGTTCTGCGTAGGCTAAAGTAGATTGTGGGGGAATGTATGCGCTAGACTAGACCTAGACAATAAATGACAACCTGTGCATCAACATGAAGCCACTGTGACAGATGAACTCGTGGGTCAACGCTACAGACTTGTGGCTTTTCCGAGGCAGTTGCCGATAGTAGGAGTCATGGGCACAATTCAAGCCATTCACCAATCCTTTACCCCAGCTTCAGAACGTATATCATCGCCATTACTGAGGGCGCGATAGGTCTTATCTCGCATGAGGGGCACAAATGGGCATCAATTCATTGGCCAAGCAGTCGTTATCGGGGGGAGAGGGGCCGGGCAGAGCCAATGACGCACGGCGCCTCTACACCTATGCCGGCTTATCGAGCTTGTCGCACTGTTAGTGAGGCCACTCAAGGCATTGGTCTATGCGATTGGTCGAAGGGATAGCTTTCCCTTATCGAGGCATATTACGCATGTTCTTCTCTTCTTCCACGGAAGACTTGCTAGTGTTTATGAAGACACGGCTCTCGTGCTTGCAATATATGTAAGTGAGTCGGTGCATAAGAAAACCGGTTGACATATATTTGCCGGACCTCCCTCGTTTGTGTATACAATCAACGCCCTCTTCTTTTTCTTGGTACTATCGCAGCATTCAATAGCACAATGGGTTCCAACTTTGTCGCATCTGACCTGCATCCTTTTGATCCGCTGACGGCCAGCGAGATCGAAAAGGCTATTAGCATCGTCAAGAAGGCACATGGCGATGTTTTCTTCAATGTCGTTGCCCTGCAGGAGCCGCGGAAAGCGGAAATGACAGCATGGCTACAAGATCCGAGCAATGCACCCAAGCCCAAGCGTGTCGCTGACGTGGTTGTTATTGCGCCTGGTGGGAAAGTATATGATGGTCTCATCGACATCGAGACCGACAAGATCATTAGCTGGGAACTACTCGATGGTCTTCAGCCTATCGTGAGTACCATCCATGTCCCACACATGTACAAAAGTGACTAATGCGCAATGTCATAGATTACCATGGAAGAGCTGATTGCCGTCGAGCATGTATGCCGCAAAGACCCCAAGGTTATCGAGCAGTGCAAGATTAGCGGCATCCCGGAGGAAGAAATGCACAAGGTCTACTGCGACCCCTGGACCATTGGATATGACGAGCGCCACGGCAGCAAGGTCCGCCTCCAGCAGGCACTCATGTACTACCGGCCGAATGTGGACGATTGCCAGTACCAGTACCCTTTGGACTTTTGCCCAATCTATGACGCTGATAAACAATCCATCGTTGCTATCGATATCCCAGAGATCAGGAGGCCACTTAGCAGAGCTCCTGCCATCAACTATCATCCGGCAGCTGTGGAGAAGAATGGGGGCTATAGACAGGACCTCAAGCCGATCAACATCACACAACCCGAGGGCGTGTCTTTCAAGATGACTGGACGTGAGATTGAATGGCAAAACTGGAAGTTCCACATTGGATTCAACTACAGAGAAGGCATTGTCTTGAACAACATCACAATCAACGAGAGGGGTACAGTGCGGCCAGTCTTCTATCGTCTTTCTCTTGCAGAGATGGTTGTTCCTTAGTAAGTGGACTTTTTCATGTTGAAAAAAGAAAACATTTTCTGACCAGAACACAGCGGCAATCCTGAGCGCCCGCATCAACGCAAGCATGCATTTGATCTGGGCGAATATGGCGCCGGGTACATGACAAACAGCCTATCTCTCGGCTGCGATTGCAAGGGTTCCATTCACTATCTTGATGCCGAGTTTCCCTCCAGAGCTGGTGGTATTCGCACAATCAAGAACGCCATTTGCATTCACGAGGAAGATGCTGGCATTCTGTTCAAACACAGCGATTTCCGTGACGATTCTACTATTGTCACTCGAGCCAGAAAGCTCATTGTCCAACAGGTATTCACTGCGGCCAATTATGAGTACGCCATTCAATGGATTTTCCACCAGGATGGTACCATTCAGCCCGAGATCAAACTGACGGGTATCCTCAACACCTACGCCATGAACGCGGATGAAGACACCCACGGCTGGGGTACGCAGGTGTACCCCGGTGTCAATGCACACAATCACCAACATCTCTTCTGCCTTCGCGTTGATCCCAACATTGATGGGCCAGATAACACCGTCTTCATGTCTGACGCGGTGCCGTCGGATGCACCCGTGGGCAGCCCTGAGAATTATTACGGAAATGCGTTTTATGCAAAGCGCACAAAGTTGGCGACAACAGGCGAGGCCTCGACAGACTACAATGGACGAACCGTTCGGACATGGGAGATGTGCAATACCAACAAATTACACCCATATAGCGGCAAGGCTGCATCTTACAAGCTCATAAGCCGCGAGGTCCCACCACTGCTACCTAAAGAGGGATCCTTGGTTTGGAAGCGAGCTGGATTCGCCAGGCATGCAGTCTCTGTGACTAAATGTAAGTTGCCCATTCCGTTGACTACCTAACCTACCTACGTATGAGGATATCATGATTGACACTTGCTGCAGACAAAGATGACCAGCTCTGGCCAGCCGGCCGCCATGTACCTCAGACATCGGGAGAGCCATCGCTGGGTCTTCCGGAATGGATTGGTGACGGTACAGAATCCATCGACAACACCGATGTTGTTCTGTGGCACACTTTTGGAGTCGTCCACATCCCTTCGCCCGAGGACTTCCCAGTCATGCCAGTCGAACCCATCACTCTTCTCCTCAAGCCAAGGAATTTCTTCACGAATAACCCCGTGATGGATGTTCCACCCAGCTATTCTAGCACGCCGAGCCAGGTGGCAGCCGGGAACGCAGGCGTGCTAAATGCAGCTGATAAGCTCAGCAAATTGGCATTTACGAACGGCACTAATGGTGCCAACGGTAGTTGCTGTGGAAGCAACTCAACGAATGGAGTAAATGGACACTAAGAACACATGTTTCGTATATTTGGCACATTCATGAAAGTTCTGATGATAAATAACGAGTTTCGGATGACGAGCAAAGGCTCCAAGATGTACATATTGAGTAGCACGAACTAAGATTGTTACATTTTTCGCACTCAGCGAGCAAGACATAATGCAACTCCTGTGCTATTGACTTGGGAGAAAACAAAACGAATCGCTGCTTCTGGTCGTGGTTGAGAGTTTAACACATGATCACGCATTGCATTTGCGTGTTTTACAAGGAGCAGAACTCGATTTCTAAATGTCCTTTCGTAGAGGATCGGATTTCCGTGTTTTCTCAGCCTCTGCCATAATGATAGCGGCCCTGTCTTTGCTTCTTGGAGATATGTCGGCTGGAAAAGGGAGTGGTTTTGGATTTGGTGTCGGTTCGTACTGGATATTCAGTTTGATCTCTTCTTTTGTAACAGGATCGATAGGTGTTTTGATATCGAAGCCCCATGCAATACGTGCCACCATTACCGTCAGAGAACGCTCAGTAAAATTGGTACCTGGACAGGCGCGACGACCGTAACCAAACGAGGTAAAGTTGGTTAGATTGGGATGGACCGTCAGCGGCTCTTTATATGTTGGGAAAGCAGGATTGAGCCAACGGTCGGGGTTGAATGCGGCACCGTCCGGATAAAGGTCGCGCTCCCTGAGAATCGAACTAGGGCATTCATGGTAAGTCGGCTGCCTTGAACATAATCCTGCGAGACTTACCTGTAGTTTGCGTGCAGAATAGTACCCTTTGGTATGAAGTATCCCTCGTAGAAGTCATCCTCTTCAGTCATGTGTGGTATACCAATCTCTGCAACAATGGATCTCCACCTGATACCTTCCTTGACAATGGCGCGGACAATGGGAAGGTTGGGGAGATCTTCAAAAACCGGAAGCCTCTCCGACCCAACCACGCGATCCACCTCATCCTGAAGCTTCTGCTGCCAGTCCGGGTATTCCATCATGGCCACAATAAAACTCAACACGGCATTGTATGGAGATCTGGTGCCCGCACCAACCAAGGCATACAAAGTATAATTAGCCTCCGGGCGATCCAACCCAAGATTCTGGCGGTTCTCTATGAAATGTCGCATCCAGGAATCTGGTGCCGACCCGTCTTTCATGCCTTCTCTGACGCTATCTTCGAATGAGTTCATCTGAGACTCCATTCCATTTGCGAGCCTGTCTAGTTCTGCATTCGATGGAACAAGCCACGTTGGTAACTTGAGCAGGGACGGAATTAGGTTTCCTAAATATTTATCCGGGCGGAAAGTGTCCAGTATATCGTCGGTGTACTTGCTGGACTCTAGCACCTCCTTATCATTCATACTGTCAACGCTTTGACCCAGTGCGAGGCGAAATATGACTCCATACGCATAGCGTTCAATATGGCTGTTGAAGTCTTTCGGCGTCTCAATCAGATGCTGAAGGGTGTATGCTGACTCGAGTTCGATGAAGGGTTCGTAGGTGACTGCCACCGTGCTGGCAAGGACGCTATGTAGGGCTTTACGTTGGCGACGCCACACGTCTTTTATTCCAACATAAATTAGCAAGTGGTTCTGTGCAAAAGAAAAGGGGTTGGTTTATACCATTCTTTCCCATTAATGCTGTTACATAGTCACGGGAGACATAGGCGGCAGCCGGTGGTGTCCCTCGCTCAGAATAGTTGTTCCCTCGCTTGACAAAAAGATCATTTGTTGCCTTTTCGGTACCGAGAACTATTTGCTTCTGGCCAAAAATGCTGAAAGCAACAATGGGTCCATATTCGCTGTTCCATTTGTTGAATGTAGGGACTAGATTCGGACCTTGTATGTCCAGGATATTACCGAGAAGAGGGAGACCTGAGGAGACCATAAATTAGTATTGTGCAAATGAAATCAGTTTTAGTTATAATACCTTTTGGCCCTGGAATGGGCTTGGCTCCTCTCGAGCGTTGGCGGTACGACAATGTGGTTAACACATACACCAGTCCTAAGCTGATGAATGCCCCAAGGGCTACCGTTTGTAAGCTCAGCATATTCAAAGAGTATTTTGTGCTATTTTAAATTAAAGATATTCAAGAAGCTTGGATAGAAAGAATGTCCGCTCCATTGTCTTTAAGTACTTGAGACCTGCATGGTAACTTGAGGGTAACCGTTCTGCTGACTGTGATTTCTAGATCGCTACTAATTATCTAGAACGGGTTAGCTATAGTGAGCAAAACCAACCACACATCTGACTAAATGGATTATAGGAATAGTGACTCCCATTTGAATGACTATAGCGGCCGCAAGTGATGCGCCTATTATTTAGCGCTGACGATTATCAGACCTTGATAAGTCTCCGAGTTTCCATGTAAGTCTCCGAAGAGTACTATAATTTTTAGTCGTAATTGCGCCTCAATCAGCCAAGAGTCCCTGTCTTGAAAATCCTGGAGGGCAAGGCGAGATCCAACAAGGAGAAAAGTGTAAAAAAAAAAAAGGCAAATTGAATAATTAGGAAGTATGAGCTCTTGCCGTTGTCTGCAAGTAATGAAACAAAAATGGGAAATTGTGTAAAATTTTTGATAAATATACGTGTTTAATACCAGAGCCCAGGCCCAGCTGAATTGCTACGTCATCTGAATTATCCTCTCGGGCCCCCAGATCGAGTGGGTGCATTAAGTGATACGAAATGCATTTCAGTCCGTATACTCTGTCATTCATTTGGTGAACTACCTCTTGCTTTGAGGTTGCCTCGACCACACTCAAGTGGCTGCGTTTGTACTACAGTCTGAAGTACTCTCTTCCCGCTCTGTTATGTGGCGTCACCACAAGCGATTATAATCACTCTACAAAGGATCCCGCCATCCTCAATGAGTCTTCCCACAGGCGAGCTTCACTAACTGGCTCATAAGTTTGTCTGACATAGCCAGGGCTGAAAGTGTTACGATCATCCTTGCCGCGCTCTGCTTCTTGGCAGTCCTCGAGGTATTTACCTCCCTTGTTTGCCCATTCCTTGCCAACAGCAGCAAGTACCGTTGTGGCGGCTCCCTGGGCCGGAGACTTTAGTACTTTGAATAAAGCTTCGTTCGCCATGATTTGTTCAACAAATCCCTTTCCGACGTATCGAGAAATGTTGGTATTGACGCCACCTGGATGAAGGCTCGTAGCCCGAAGGTGACGAGGTCCGTATCGACGATCGAGTTCATTAGCCATGTAGATACTGGCGAGCTTGGACTGAGCATATGCTGCACCAAACTTATAGGTACCCCCGTGGAAGCTATAATTGTCGCTGTGGGGGAGATCCGCAGCTCGGTGAGCAGAAGAAGAGACATTGACGACTCTCGACGGGAAGTTTTCAGTTGCGCTACCCAACAATGCGGGCTTCAAAATTTGAAAGAGGAGGAATTGGCTGAGGTAATTGACGGCAAAGTGCATCTCATGGCCATCCTCGGTCGTCTCAAGACTGGGGACACCCATTATTCCTGCATTGTTGATGAGAATATTGACTTGATTATTTGACTTGGCGAGTATAGTTCGAGCAGCATTGCGCACACTGTTGAGCGACGAATTGTCCATTTCAACCAAGGAGACATCGTGATGCTTAGCAAGATCACCAAGGACCAACTCAGCTCTCTGTACATCACGAGCGGTGAGAATGAGAGTGGCACCAGTGGCAGATAGAGCGAGAGCAGTCTCAAGGCCGATACCAGAAGTCGCGCCTGTCACAACTATCACTATGCCTGCAAGCTTGCCCTCCAAGCCCTCGTCTTGAATGATTTGAACAGCGGTCGGGCGTGCATCGCCTGGTCCCTGAGGATTGGCATGGCTATTAGTATAACGACCCATTATAGGCGCAAGCGTGGGTAAACACTCTTGAAACTAGGTCTGAGAGCGCACAGAGTAGATAATTCAGGAAGCTAGGACAAAGAGGTACAAGGGGTATAAGAACTAGTCAAGTATGTAGAACGACCTGAAGATCAAAACCTGGTAGTGAAATATTGTGGCAAGCAGCGCTTGATCTCAAAGAGATATCTTTGTATTTATATTTCGGTTTTATATACGGTAAGCCTAGTTTACTTTCCCTGGCACATCTATTCCAACATTCATGTTCCATGATGCTAGCAATGAAGTGTCTCTGTATGAACCTAGGTAAATATTTACGTGAAGACTCGACGATCATTCGCGAAGCTTCCGCTGATGAATGATGGCTGCCTGTTGATACCTACAAGGATAAGCATCTACCTCAGGGTACCCTAGCAGGTATTTCATATATTCAAGGCTCGTGGGATACCTTGGGGCATGTTAGCGGCGACCGCTCCAACGGCCGAACCTGAGAGATGATCCCATTTGTCGCCTTCTGTGATCAAACATAACGGCATGCACACACCATACTGGTAATTCGAATATCGCATGTCTGGTCGATCGATCAGATAGACGCCACATCTCCTTGGCTTGTCCTGCTTATTCTGGATGACCAGGGACAAAATTTCTCTGGGATCACCGGGGCAACTGAGCAGGTCGTGCAAGGCGAGGAAGAGGAGGTGCAATAAAGCATTGCCTAAATATTCTGATTGTGCTGCATCCTCCTTGAATATATTCCCTTCCGTTTCCACCAGTGGACATGGACCGCGTTACTACGGTGGAGGCCGTCATGCACAAAATCCGGGCTATCAAGAGTAATCTTGTCGAGCAACGGTGCCTTCCTAGATCGTATCCCTAGATCCACATCTCCCTGGGGGCTTTCCCCTGCATACCGAGTTTGCAGCTACCGCATATTTTATAATCCACATGCTCAGCGGTGGATTAGTGAAAAGTCTGAAGAAAGCACTTCGCAGTAGCAACATCAGGTGGAGAGCCGCAGGTAACATGATACAATCGAGTGCACCTCACTACCTACCAGTGAACTCATATAACACAATTGGTGTCAATCTAGGCATTTATTTACAGCTCTTGGAAACTGAAACAGGTCATTCATTCTGCTTATATTGCTCGTTAGTCCTTGAATCGCGACTTGGTTATGAATAGTCGGAATAGAAGTAAGAAATTCCCAATTGGACATTCTAAACAAGAGGAATTCTGCTAAAAAGTAGTTTCAAGCCTAGATCAAAACTGTGATCATCAATCGGATCCTGTTAACAGATTCGAGGTTGTCCTCCGACTTAGCAAACGGTGCCCAGGTTCCTGCCATATGATGTGAAAAATGTGCGATTAACAAAAGGCTATATAACTGAATCATACGGTAAATTTGCAGTAATTTGCAGTGATTTTTCTCCTCACTTCTTTAGAAATAATTCAAGGAACATACGGAGTGTAAAGAGAAGAGAGGAATGGGAACATTGCGGATAAGAAACACAAATCAAGCAGTGTAGGTACAGAGACTTTTGCTAGTTCAGTGTATAACACATACCTACCACTGCTAATATTCCGTACGTAGTGCACCTGAGCTAGAACCCCGCCCCCGCCCCCGCAATACACCACTACATTATCAACTTACCCGGCTAGTAGTGGAAAGCGGCGGCCCACTCAGCGCGGAATGGACTGGGACAATACCCGTGTGAATCACCACCAAATTCCGATTCCGATTCCCACAAGAGATGGTCGTGATGTGATGCCTGTATGCACGCATGTCCCGAGCAACTCCCGTAATCCACTTGGTACTTCGGCTTTGTTGCGGTGAATTCCAGATATATATGGTGTTCAGAGACACCGAGCGGGGCTTCTCGTCGGACTGATTCAGTCTTATTCCATTTTGTATTCCATCACTGCGTCCAAATCCACCAAAATGCCAGTCACTACATTTGAGCTCAAGGAGAAGTACAGATACCAGAACGGCTTCGCTTCATATCAAGAGTAAGTTCTTCATCTTGCATCAAGCTTCGTCTTGGGTGATATTCTTGTACTCATAGCACATATAGAACCGAAGCTGTACCTGGTGCCTTGCCAATTGGCCAAAACTCACCTCAAAAGCCACCACATGGCCTCTACGCCGAGAAGCTGTCTGGAACAGCATTCACGGCGCCAAGACATGAGAATCAGCAGTCCTGGCTCTACCGCATCGTTCCATCATGTGCTCACCCCAATTTTGAAGAGAGCACCAGCGGCCCATTTACAGCCGACAAACCTTATAGCCACAAGAAGTTGAAATATGTTCCCAACCAGCTTCGGTGGGACCCGTTTGCTCAGGATGAGCAGACTGATTTTGTGACGGGTATGAAGTTGGTCGCCGGTGCTGGCGATCCCACGCTCAAGCATGGTATTGGCTACTACATCTTTGCGGCTGGAAAGTCCATGGATGAGAAGGATGCCTTCTACTCTGCTGACGGCGACTTGCTGATTGTAGCCCAACACGGCGCTCTGGACATCCGGACAGAGCTGGGATGGCTGCTGGTCCGACCCATGGAGATTGCTGTTATTCCCCGCGGCATCAAATACCAGGTCCATCTACCTTCAGGACCCGTCCGTGGCTACGCTCTGGAATTGTATTCCGGACACTTCACACTGCCCGAGCTGGGCCCAATCGGCTCAAACTGCTTGGCGAATGCTCGCGATTTCCAAGTGCCTGTAGCCTCGTTCAGTGAGGACTTTGGCGCCACCGCGGCCGAGGGCACCAATACCTACAACATCATCTCTAAATTTAACAACGCACTATTCACGACACAGCAGAGCCATACTCCATTCGATGTCGTGGCATGGCATGGAAACTACTATCCTTACAAATACGACCTCGGCAGATTCAACACCATTGGCTCCATCTCCTTTGACCACCCGGATCCGTCCATCTTCACGGTGCTCACAGCCCAGTCCGATCACGTGGGCACTGCCATTGCAGACTTTGTCATTTTCCCTCCCCGATGGCTCGTGGCCGAAAATACTTTCCGCCCTCCATGGTACCACCGCAACACCATGTCCGAATTCATGGGCCTGATCGGTGGTGTCTACGACGCCAAGAAGGGCGGTCAGGGCGGATTCATGCCCGGCGGAGCAAGTCTACACAACGTCATGAGCGGCCATGGTCCGGATGCTGCCAGTTATGAGGGTGCCAGCAACGCAGACCTCCAGCCGCAACTAGTCGGTAAGGACAGCTGCGCCTTCATGTTTGAGAGTTGCTTGATGGTGGGCGTTACGGAATGGGGATTAGAAACATGCAACAAGGTGCAGACAGCGTACAATGACCACAGTTGGGGAGGTCTCAAGATTCACTGGAAGAAACCTGACGGTGCCAGCACGGAAACTCATCTCCTTAAGTAGAGTATCATAATTTAAAATCGAAATTCGTCATTCGTTAAACAAATCAAAAATCCTGTAATGCGAGTTTCTCAAGACCTGTCCAAAATGAAAGCCATGCGACTAACTGATCAACCTGCCCTCCATGGTACATACTATTGACCAAATTTTCAGGCCTTTATTTCAATAGATTCTCAGCTTGCTGCAACGCCAGGCAGTTTGAGTGTTTCGTATTGTGGTATCACCAACCCGCCTTTGCCTTCCGGTAGCATCATGTTGATTGCTTTGTCAATTTTGAGCGTCGTGAAAATGCCGAGAAATGTCTGTAGCGCCCATATTCCGAATTCCGTCTTGGGATATAAGATATTCGGAGTGCCAGGCACGAGTTTCTGCATCTCGTCGACGTACGGCCTCAAGACTCTGTTGTATGATTCGAGGCCAGCAGTAATGTTGTCGCTGTGCTTCGTCAGCTCGCCCGCCAAAATGTAGGATCCGACAAGAGAAGCTGTCGATCCCTGGCCCGTAAATGGCGTTGGGCAGTATCCGGCATCGCCCGCCAGGACCACGCGCCCTTTGAACCACGAGTCCATCTTGACCTGGCCAACGTGGCTCATATAAAAGTCCTCGGCCTTGTCGAGACCTTCGAGCAATCTTTCGTGCTGCCACGTACAGTCTCCAAACAATTTCTTCCATACCTCCTTTTGCTCGTTGATTGTCTTGTTGCTGCAACCTTCCAATTCTTTTGTAATATTCATCGTTGCGAGGCAGACCTGGGTAACTGGCCGATCTCCCGTCCTTGTGAAGATCACACGGTAGTTGGGCATGTGGAAGATCTTGCCAATATCCTCCTGGCCCGTTGCTGGTATCGTGAAGAATGCAATATACGCCCCGAGAGACTTGAAAATATCCTTTTCCAATTCATCTCCCCAAGTCAGTCTTCGCGTTCGACTACCCTGCCCGTCGCAACCCACGACAAGATCAAAGCGGTCACTTGTCCCATCGGAAAAGACAACGTCGACGCCCGTATCGTCCTGCGTGAGTTTCGTGGCATATTTTCCGAAGTCGTAGTTGACACCTCCCTTACCACCATCTCTCTTGACCTGCTTGCCCACGTCCAAGCTTTCTTGGTACAAAATATCGACCAAGTCGCCTCTCATGATCTCGTACTCGGATGTAAAGGACTGCTGACCCTTGCCTGAGTCGTTCACGCCCAGGACTGCCTTGACCTTGTCATTTGAGTCGACAAAGGCCAGCCCACTCTCGACCACTGTGCGCTCCTTAACCTTTTCCAACAGGCCCAACTTCTTCATGAGCGGGATGCCCTAACCCACCCATAGATGTCAGTGATTGCTCCCTTCAGGTCACATATTTGGAGAGAGAGGTGGCATTTAGTAGGAGACGGACAAGTCTATGTCAACTTTGCATCACCAAACGCATGGGAATAAAGCTCAAAGGCACCGACCACTAACCTGTGCTCGAAGATCGATCTGCTGTCCCGCTGTTCGTAGCTCAGTCGATCTTTCAACAACAGCGATCGTGTATGATGGATCGGAACGTAGAAGAAAGACAGCCAGCGCTGGTCCACAAATTCCAGCCCCATTGATGAGTATTTTCAGGCCCATTGTGTTTTGTTTTGATGTCAAACTCTGTGATAACTCAATTTTGTCCGGACTTGTTTGAAGGTCAGGGCCAATCTTCAGACTTTATAGTACATGCAATGCACTTTTGTTCCCCAATGTTGAAGAGAACTGAACACTCGCTATTAAGCCTATTGCGACCCCGAGGCTTGGGTAATGTCGGGGCCACCTCGCCTATCCAGGCAGACACCGTGTATAAAAGTCCGAATCAATTGTCCGTTATTTCGGCTCCGTCGATGCACGAAATACCCGTGCGTGAGGTTAGTCAGGGGTGGTCGCCCCCTGTCAGAGAGTCAAGGACGTCATCTATCGATCCGTTCCAATGCTAAGCCAGGTTAGTGCGCCTCAGACCCAACCATTGCCATGCGAATAGGCGCCCGCGACTAATATACACTTACCGTGAAATTGAGAATTCTGTGCGATTAGCAGCAGAGCTTCCGATGCCCTCGGTTTCTGTTATTGGTTCGCTATTGTCTCGCTGAGCATCTTCATGATCTCGGACTGCGGCCACGATTGAAGTGCGAAGCTGATCCTGCGCAGCTCCACTCATGTTGACTGTTAGCAACCAATAAACACACGCATGTCGGAAACCCAGAAGATGACTCAGGTAAACTGGCGTGAATGATTGCTTCCCAATTTCCAATTATTACTGCTGCATCCATCTTTTGGTGCCGTCTTGTGGAAGTTCAAGTCTCGGAAGAGCTTTCTTGGTCAACATAAGAGGGAAGCAATCAGAACGCCGACCCAGGCTCCTTGCCTAGGGACCAGATGCTCGCTACCATTTGACTTGGCTAGAAAGATCATAAAAGAGGCGTTTGAGGTCTTCGACATCTCTGCATTGGAAAGTGCAATTGATTGCGCCTCTGAGCCTTGAATCTCATACGTGTCAACCTGTGGGACCAAGTCATGCACAGCGGATTTTCACACCAGCTGTCATCATGGCACGAATATTCGTCCAAGTGGTCATGATGATCACTATATCCTGACGCAGCACAAGGAGACTGGCACTTGGTTATACAACGCGCGCGCTTGGGAATACGGACCTCTCCTCTTTGTTCCCTCCCTCGCCATCGCCTCCAACCGGAATCGGTAAAAAGTATTGGCAATGTCCTTTGTTCTACACCTTCCAAACACTGCGCACCACGAATATCCATTGAAAGGTATACTCTTGCAGGCAATTGTTACAAGCTTCCTCTTGGTACAGCATATGTGGATGAGCTCTAGTTGACCGCTGACCTGGCATCAAAGATACGAGACTGTAAAATGCGTAAACATTTGCTTCTTTTCGCGATCCTACATGTTGCTAATGTGGCAAATGGCTCAGTCCAGCAACTGACAGATATCGATCGAAGAAATCTAGAGCCGGAATCAGTGGAAATTGTCGACCTTTTACCACTAGTCCAGCATCCAGATGATGTAGCAAAACGCTTTGATATACCTGGCGTGGATCTTGATTCGGTGGCCGACGAAGTTTGGGGCAAGGTCAAGAGCGAGGTTGCCGATGCAGTAGATGCAGCCAAGAAGACATTTGATGATGCTGTAAGCACGGCCAAGGAGACTCTGGACAAAGCTGTCGCTATGGCCAAGGAAGCGATCGAAAAGATCAAGGACGAGGTCGAGAAGATCTGGGAAGAAGTCAAGAAGAAAGTGGCCGAGCTCGAAGACAAGGTCTTTTCGGCGATCCATGATTGGATCCATGATCATATCGTTGAGCCCTTGATAAAGCTCCTGGTCATTATTCTCGTCATTCTGCTGTTTCTACCGACTTGGTGGCTCATACACATCATCGCCAAGCTCTTCGATAGTACGCGCAAGACCAGACCGGCGCCTCAGCAGAATGTTGAAATGCAGTCCTGGGACGAAGGCATCATCAACGGTGGGATTGTGCAGCCATCACGTCCCAAAAAGAATTGGGCGTATTACGTGGTCCGGAGCTGGGAAAAATATGGGCTGGGTGCCGTGTGCCTGTTGTGTCCATTCGTGGGTGGGTTTATATCATGGCTGGAGGCGCGGAAGGTGCCGAAGCTGGACCGCAAAATGCGAGGACTGCGTGGAGATGTTCAAGACCTACAGCTTGAGATACAGGCATTAAAAGCTTGGAGAGCGGGGCAGGAGAAGTCGAAGAGAGAAGAGGGGAACAAGCTGAGGTCTGGGACAGATCGTCAGAATTGGTAATCAAGGTTGGTGTAGATAAAATGCGGAAATACATTTTCATGATCCTATTGACCAGTGGATGCCACTCGAGAAACCAATGGAAACCTATTGAATAGGATACGCTGAAAAGTACTTACATAGTAGCGCAGTACGCGGTTATAAAGTGGCCAGTATGCGAAGAAGGGCAATATGCTGCTTGATGCACCACCAAAGCCCAGCTTCCTAGGTAGGTACCTAGAAAGGTAGAGGACATCCCCGGATAATTATTAGGTAGTACGCTACATGAAGGTATATAGTAGATACCTACATATGTAGGCAAGATACTAGCTACCCCAAGACCCTCAGAACTCGTATTAATATTGTCAAGTCATTACTCGAGTTGTGAAAGGAGCTTGGGCGCGATCATGGAGATCTCCGCTCATCTCGCGTGCCTTGAAACCCCCATTCAAGGAACAAAAGTTTCTTCTTGCCTACCTGCCAATCTATGGCTTTAGATCGTGTACTATACATCTAGAATGGTCAGCTGCCCCTCATTCCGGACCTACCTACCTCAAGGCAAGACGACACTTTCGGGCCCAACAAACTCTAACTGCATTGCCTAGCAAGAACATTTGCTATACCCGAGATGGGTAGAAAGACTGCCTTCTTCTCCGGTCCTCAAATGACTGGAATGATGGATTATATGAATAGGCAGATTGGTACCTGGTAGTATTTGAATCACTCAATTGCTTCGTCCACTATGAAGGAAATCATCAATCGTCCACAAGCGAAAACCCGAGAAAAAAAGGCAGCCCTGGAGCCCCACCTAACGCTGTACCCCAGATTTCCCCCGCAATTCCGTGTCGCTGTCCAGGTTCCTTGAGGCCCCTCACAGCCCCTCTATTTGCCTAACTGGAAGCTAGCTGAGCTCAAGTGGACTCCCGGGAAAGGCGGATCGTGGAAAGCACAGCGGCGACTCCCGAAATGATGGTACGTTAAACCACTTTGAGCAGTTTAGGTGACGGGGTGTCATGACCAGGGGTAGCTCTGACCAATCGTGCAATGGATCGTACGGTTGCCAGCTTGCAATGGCGTGGAGAGTGAGATAGATGCCTGTGTTACCTCGCCATTCTCGCTCTCTTCTTGATCTCCAATTAAGGCATTGTCACGCAATGAGAGAAAGCTGTGGCGCTGCTGCTGCAATTGCAAGTCAGCCAGTCCCTGTCTGCATCTCGTCATTCGGCAGTCACGCGATGCTCGTCCGTTTGATCAATGAAGGTTTACCCCGCTCATTGCGACACCCTCTCACGCACCACCAGACGTAGACGTGGAGTGAGACCAGAGACGATCCGAGACTGGCACGATACATGCCAACATACAATTCTGCTACAGACGACATTTGACCATCGTCCCGCAGCTTCCCTCCCTTTCCATTAGAAAAAAAAAATTGAGACAGACCAAAAGAAAAGCCCGGTGGCTGATATGGAAACCCCTGCTCCATGGAAAAAGCAGCTGCCGGCCGTTGGTGTTCGGGGCGTTTATGCTCAAGGCAGTTCCTGCATCGACTGGCGGCCAAGTGGTCGGCAGGATCTACATACCTTAGACATCACACTTACTATAGGATGTGGCAGCTGGACGGTTGATCGATTCCCCTCCTCCCACCTTCCCCTCCCCCTTCTTAACCTCTTTCCCCTCTTCCCTTGAACTCTTGTTTGTTTTCTCTTCTCTTTGTCTACATTCAATCTCGAATCAAGCATTAAACACACAAACATTGAACACTTCTCACGATTCATCCTCCATTGTCCTCTCCCCCCTTGTGGCTGACAGGCAACCTACCAGCAAGATCTATCTTTCTACAGTCCCAATTCAATTCCAACGCCTTGCAGATACTACCCAGAGGTGCCCATAGTACATCTCTTCACTGCCCACCAGCTCTTGTTACAGATACAAGAGCTCTTTAGTTAGGAAATTACTGCTTTAGCACCTTCCTCTACGCCAGCCGCCATCATGTCGGAACCTCTCTCCAAGGTGGACTCCGCTGTCCAGGGTCTGAATGAAGCACCACCCAAGAAGACGAGAATGAGCTCGAGTGCACCAGGTGTCATGAACATTGACGACCTTCGTAAGTTTCTCCCAATCTACTGTGGGTCAGGACTGCCCGTTGCGGACTGTGCCACAAAACAGCCACTGACTATATATTGTTCAGGGGATAGCGAAACAGTAATCCACGTAGCCATTGAGACACAGAAGACTGGGTGGTAAGGTCACCGAGAACAGGCGGTGCCGTCTTCTTTAAAGCTTTTCTTCTAATGTTTGTTCGTGCACAGGAAGATCAACTCGTCTTCTACATCAGTAGAGGATAAGGAGATTCTCAAGAAGATGCTGACGACCCCTCCGGTCAAGAAGATTGAGATTGAGTTTCCCCTCGGCATGACCGTGGTAGCACGGAATCTCAAGGGCGTCACCATCAAGGACGCATTAGATGCCATGCACAAGCCGAACAAGAAGAGAGTGAGTCTCGGATCCTTGCGCTTCTCGCTCCATGAAGTTAGGAAACACTCTACTAAGACCTCATCACACAGGCGGATGACGAGCTTGACAAGCCCTACCTGGAGGGCTTCGAATGGAACGGACTTCGCGACGGCAACACGGAAGAGGAGAAGAAGCACGAGTGGACACGTCTGCACGTACGCCTCCAATCCACACCAGGTATCGCACAAGGCGGTGGCAAGAAGAAGAAGAACAAGGGCGGCGATGACGCATAGTGAACCTCTACCGACTTGCCAATCCCGCACCTGATCTCTCGTAATCCTGAGGGGCTCTCATTGGCTCTTGTCTTATTGTTGAATTATGCAAGGCGTACGGATTCTTGTGGAAGGCTGTCCGGATTGCATGGTCTGGTTTAGGCGGCGAATAGTGTCATAGCGACTTCGATCTTGTCTCGTAGAGACATGCTTCTTGGAACTAAACGCACAAGTCGGAAACGGGAACTATTTCCAATAGGATTGCCAGCGTCTGGCAACCTTGTATAAATATACTTGTGCTCACATATTTCTGTGCTGTTTATTTGCTGCAAAGGGCACATGTGCGAAATTTCAGATTGACTGCTAACAAATCGGATCGTTGGTAAAAGAGATAGCAGAGTTGTTCTCAATGTTCGATCCTTAATCCAGATCCACAGCGGCATGTTACATAACATGGGAAGTCTTAGATGTCTATAACTGCCCAGTATCTGGAATCTAGAATATATAACGGGACCATATCTGGGGTATTTCATATTCATACCAGTATGCTACATCGGTACTAATAGTACCTTTTATATAAAGCATTAACCAGGATGATTGAGACTGAGGCACAACAGCGCTAGTGCCAGGCATCAGGATTCCCCCGACTTTCCGGGTCCATCCAATAGCTACTAAGGTTACGTAGGTATTTAGGCACCAACCAAAATTGCTTCACGGAGTACCTACCTAGGTACATCAATACATTCCCTACCAAGTGCGCAAATCCTGATAATTTGGGTTAACTGAACTCAATCTCACATTGCCCTGCACAGGCAAGGCAATGAACAATCAAACAATATTACCATCTCCCAGGTATATGTAGACCATGACCCAGCCTGCTTCATCCCCTCGCGTCGACGCAGCGCGTACACTATCAAGAAATTGCAAGATGGTTCCCGCTCCAAACCCACCAGTATGCGATGATACGAAAGCTACAATATTCGGCAACACACCAAATCCCCATCCTGTGGTGATATGTTTCCATGGATCCGGCGACTCATGCGCCTCCTGGCTGCCACTGGCCCATTCATTGAGCGATTCATACCGTGTGTTGCTTTGGGATCGCGGCGAGCCCAGCCAGAAGCCCAGCGTAGCAGTAGACGAAATGGTAAAGTACTTGGAACAGGTACGCCTGCAGATACCGCCCCCTTACGTGCTCGTAGCGCACTCCTGTGAGTAGTCAAACTAGGTGTTGAATATTTTCAGTTTTGCGGTGAGATATGGGAGAATCTGCCTTGTGAATTTCTTATTGATCTCATGGTTTTTCTCAGGAAGCACGCAATTCTTGCTCGGGCAGTTCGATCATATACTACAAGTATATGTGTACAGGGCAAAATCAGAAGCTAACATATTATAATCCACCAGACGGAGGCACCTTTGCCCGGACATTCTTAGAAAAGAGACCAAGAGACGTGGCGGGAATGGTGCTGGCGGAGACGGGCCAGGAGACCGCATTGGACGCCAAGATGGAGCGGCAGCAATACAGGAGACAGGTTCTCGGTGACAATCCACTCAGCGTTATCCGGGCAAACACCTTGATAAGAAAGTGGGCGCAGTACGAGCACGCTGTAAATGCGGCCGATAACGATACCGAGAAGACAGCTCTCGAGGTTCAGAAACAGATCCTCGACGTTACAGACAAGGAAGACGAGCGGCTCAAAAAGGCCCAGCTTGCACTATCTCGCCATCATCGCTACCTGCATGTGCCAGATTGTGGACACAACGTCATCCAAGACAGACCAGAGGTGGTAGCAGATGAAATACGATGGGTCATGAAGAACCTTGTTTCAACAGAAAAGAAGCCTGCGAACGTACTCCGTCGACTACTTTCTTTGATCGGGAGTCGACGACAACCACAATGAGTCAGCTCTTAAACACGAATATTTCAAGGCTGGAGGCCATCACAAGCTTCATTCATATCCCAGATTAAGTCCAACCGTTCTTGTACTGAGTCTATTGAATTAGCGACTTCCAATATTTGATACACACCGGCAATGATCCCAATGTGCCAACCACAGCCGGACGAGGACAGATTCTACTGGTTTCGGCCTAAAACAAGAAGAAAAGCCCCATTCGCCATACAGTCTCAACAGGAAATGTATTCTATTAGTTTGAGACCCTGTACTAAGCATTTATTCGACAAGGAACGGAAGGGGCAGTACCTTCCGCCAATTTAGCACAACCTGTTGAGAAGGGGGTAAAAACAGGGGAAGGAAAGGAAAGAAGAAACAAACTCGATTAGACATCAGCCAGTACTTGGAACAGAGGCCAATTACCATCGAATACCCAAGGTGGAAACGTCAATCATGTACAACAGGCACGTGGGTAGAGCTGTAATCATTGGTGTGGCAGCTACTCATTCCTGGGCCATAATTGGTATTGTCTACGGGATAAGTGAGATCCCAGCCCAGACTGTCCATTTCCTCTGCAAAATTACATAATTCTCAGTTAACGAACAACACGAAGCCCACTTCTGACAGAGTGCGCTAATGGGCAATTCAAGTGTCATATATGACGAATTACTGGCCCGACGTCGTGTGCGCTCACTCAGCATGATGAGAAATCCATCCACCAAGACGAAGTCTCCATCTAAAATTTTCATACTGTCTCTTGCATGCAAAGCTGATTGTGCCCCCTATTTGCCACTCTCAAAGATCAGATGACGGATCATTTCTACCTTTTCGGCGGGGATGAGGACGTCTTTCTGAGGGAATGGAGTGCCTCCACCAAAGTAACGATGCAACTCGACAGCTGCGAGCTGAGGTATCACCCAAACGTCCTGCTCTTGTACCGAGTGTTGAAATAAGATGTCCTGTATGATGCCCTTGACCATGTTGCATGATGGACACTGCAATGGTGATGGTGCCATGATGACAGTGTCGGATGTCATTGACTGAAACCCATTGACCGCGTTCTTTCCAGTGCTGTATTTGCGGCCGGAATAAGGTATGTCGAAGCCAGTGGGTGCCATACTTCCATATCCAGCAGGAGCAGGGAACGGAGTTGAGCTGGTCATCATACCCATTCCACTTCCCAAGTCTTCAGACATCCCATTTTTGGTGGTGGTTGTTGTTGTTGTTGCTGTTGTTGTCTGAGGAACTTTTTGGTAGTTTGAAGAATCAAATAGTTTCTTGGGTAATTTGTCTTTTGCTCGGTTGGAACGATGGATGGATGGGATGCTTCTTCTGTCTTCTGAAGTGGGCATGTTCAGGGTCGGTGACTTGGTCTTCTTGGAGGCCGACTTGGGCGGACGCCCGCGCTTACGAGGGGGAGTGGCAACCACAACTTGGCCATTTGAAACCTTTGATGTAGTGCCCGGAAGTGATTGCTTGCGAGGGCGACCGCGCTTCTTGGGCAAGGGACTCGGTGTCTGGAGTGGTAGTGACGAAGAGCTGAAAGCATCCATAGCAACCCCGCGCTCAGAGACGACTTGATTCGACACTTCTGACGGTTGTTCCATGATCTGCCGTGACTTGTCCAAGTTGCTGTCGTTGGTGTCAACGGGCTGGTCAAAGGTGGCTTCTAAGATGAAGGTTAGCTTCAGTGAATGTGTGTGGCCCTTTGCTTTTGTTGCTCCTGCTCATAATATACCATTGGAAGGTGCTGTCTCATCTTTAAACCCGGTCATGGCCGCATTGATGGGGCTGCCCACGCTCATCTGGTAGATGGTGTCAAGTGCATCGGGCGAATCGGTCTCAATAGACTGCAGAGGAGTATCGGCCATGGTGTTCACCCGGTAACGAATGCGGCTACTTGAAGGCATCTCAGGAAGCACCAGGCTCGGATCAAGAAGAAGAGTACTCAACTCCGACAAAACTGTGTTCGAATTAAAGGAGATGGAATATTGCAGGTGCTGGTAGCATTCGTCCGTTTGCATGTAGCAGCAAGTTTTGATGACCGGGCATTGTTTATTTTTGTACAATGATCTGATAAGCCAACTTGTCATCGATTATCACACGAAACTTGAGGACTCGCTCATTTGTGTTTCATGTTTACCACTAGGAGATTTTATGAGTTTTTGGCAATGTCATACTGTGTTGAGACATTCTTTCAATACTCACTATTGTAGCAGGTCCGGGACCGCGGCCTCTCGCTTTTCTTCTTATCTTTTTACTGGTCTATATGAAAGTTATATGATATGCACATGTTACAAGCTGGGTTCCTGCCTTAATTACCTGGTAGTTTCTTCAACGGGATAAAGCTTTGCCATATTACGTGCTGCTCAACCATGCTTGGAATATGTTCCAAGAACTCGCGATGCTTGGACCAGCATTCCTACTAAAGCACCAAACACACTTCATATCAACAATATCATGGTTTGCGTCTCATAAGTTCATGATCACCTTTGCGGGTATGCATTATTGATAGTGTGTTGTTTTCGTTCTCCATAATCATTGCGGACAAGACTGACGACGATGGAGAATGCTTTTGTTTCCGTTTTTTGTTTTTCCACCTACGGGGGAGGCGAGTCTGTATTGCGCGTCATGTTGAAAAAAAAAACACTTTGGTGTACATTACTACAACTTGTGAATGTATAACCGCTAATAACGTTGGATTGATGCACCACAACTATTAATCATCTAATACCACCGTGCAAGCTGCTGTGGCCCTCGACGCTGGTCCCTCCTGTAATTATAAGAAGGTAGGTAAATGCAATTTAAGAAGATAAATACATACTATGCATGCGAGCTTTGGCGTTTTTGTACGAATTGAAACAGCAAATAATACATTCCTTTTTTTTTCCGTAGGGAATGGCATGCGTTCAATTTATCCCTAAGATCATGCGCGGAGCGAGATACCTAATATATGTCCAGGGAGGCAATGGCCAGATTAGCCCTACAAGGGACTACGCGGCAATGACAGTGAGACCCGTCAAAAAATGCGCCTAGGGCGAGCTACGCCCTAGCATCAATTGAGGAAAACAATCGATAAGGTTGATTTGACGGCTGACCCAATGCCACGCGGCCGCTTCTCAGGCACCTTTGGCACCCAGGCACGGTACAATGATGTATTTTTAGTGATTGGCTGCCTCTAGGTCCGATTCCCTGCACAACGCCTAGATGAACTGGGGATGGTACAAGTCTTCTTCAGTTTGACCTTTGATGCCATTTTTGTATGGCAATTGTAACCTTTCTCTCATATCAGCATCTGCGCCCAGGTAAGCCTACCCATTGGTTCTAATCCAACGAAGGGAGCTTAGTCATTAGGTCAATACCCTGCAAACATTCTCTAATTATCCAAAAAGGTCAAGACTGCACAGTCCATTTCCCAGACTAGAGCTCGCAAGCCTGGCGTCGATACAGCGCACATCGTGGAAGGCAACCCCTCCCTAGTCCCAACTAATGGAGTTCTTACGAAAATAGCCAAACGTTTTTGAAACAAGTGCAACTTCAATATGCTATTGCATCGGCGAAAGATAATCGACTAGCGCCAGTCGTTGCCACATCTTGGGCTGACTTTATGTGCAAGATCATACTCGATTGCGGCTCTGAACATAACCTACCTACAAGACTTTGCGATGCTCCATTTCTGCTCATTGCCGTCCAACTGGGAACTTATTACCACTTGCAACTGAACAAGCCACCAACCTATGTTTGGGGAGTTCTGCCATACTATTCCCCTGAGACATACTATTGGCATTCTCTGTGATCCCACGTTGCAATTCGGTTTGCTCCGATCCGGCTACATACATACTTACCGACTGTTCAATTACCAGCTCGGGGTGCGGCTATCTAATCATAACTAAGCCTCAGTTGATTGGAGATTTTCCGGCTCTACCATGTGGAAGACCAAATCGCATGCAGAATCCTTCCAGGCTGTGAGATGGAACGTTTCCAGATCGCTGGGCCGATGGACGGTGGACCAATTGCACGGCCTCGGCAACCCTGCCCTAAGAAGGATTTTATTTCATGCATGGGCATCATCATATGCAAACATCCCCAAGACCTGGGGATCATACGGCCCAGAGCACGTGTCGCTCAGTTGTCCCGATTCATCCCCAGCTTTAGAATACCAATTTTCTGTCAGCCATATTATAACAGTCTCCACCTTGTGAATTGTATGCAGATCCTTCGCGCGGTGACAGTTACCGCTAGTGTTACTATTCTGGCTTTAGCTTTGCCTCGGCCCGGCCATCATATTAACTTTCTGAGCTGGTCAGCCCTACAAAGAAGAGGCTTTAGGAGGATTGCTTACATGGACATTGGAGCCGCAGTTCATTCATTCATCACTCTTCACTTACTCAATGCTTCTCAACGCCTTTATCATGTTCCCTCCTCGGGCTCACCGTTGGCTGTCATACCGGGCGGCCGAAGTGAGAACTCTAGTTTTCAGTCGTTTTTCACCCTTTGCGTAGCGATCTTATGTGAATGTCTTTTGGTTCAGTAAAAGCCTCCCAATGGTGGCTCAGACGGATCATTCTTTTGGTCAAGGTCAAGTTGTCCTCCACTGCAATAATGATCCCGGCAGCAATTGGTTGTGGTTGAGGATGGAGTATCTAGCCAAATTTTATCATAAATAAAACAAATACTTGGACTCTGGCTCTGAAAACAGTGTCTACTTATGCCTTTTATTCTGAATATTCGTTTCCTTCATCATGGACGTTTCCCTACTTCAATCCAATTTCGCCGCAAGCCCAGACTATCGTTTCTGGAGACCACCTCAACTTGTGTGCTATCAGGGTAATGGCCCTCAAGGAACCAATATCGTGACTGCTGGTGGACTTATTCAAAGCGGCAATCACTTTTACTTGGTTGTCGTGGACGATCTCTCGCTTCTTGGGTGGTCATCATGTGCAACGACGAGCTCATCTACCAAGCTCAAAGACCATCGCCGCTGCCTAACCATGACGAGGCATATCAATTATCATAGAAGCTCCCAGGAGATTGTCGGTATTATTGGTCACCTTGTGCATTTCTCTATTGACCAAGGATACGGACTTGTACGCTTAAAATCAGAATGGATACGGAACGATCTGGAAGCTATCAAGCAGGACGCTATTCCAGTTGACAGCTTCCATACATATCTTGACACTCCCATCGTCATGGATTTCGTGGAATTCGTCACGGCAGGCGGGGAGCAAGTAACCGGTGTCGTCATTGCCCAGCAATCTTTTTGTGTCGAGGCTGGAAACTCGAAACGCAAGGTCGAGGCACTCGTTGTGAATACATCGAGTTACTCCGTTCGACCCGAAGACTGTGGCACTTGGGTAAGAAGATCTGTCGCCTCCAACCGCCCATTCTTGCTAGGTCATATCATTGGCTCTAGTGACGATGGTGGCAGTACTATGCTCGTCCTGCCATTTACGCACTTTCGGGAGGACTTGCGGCAAGTGGTGCGCCGGAGGGCCTTCAATCTGTCTGCTTGAGCAAAGCTACACGACTTTCTCATTCATTAGGCTATTCTAGGCGCAATTGCTCGTCAGAAATCATTCAAGCGCAGGCGTCTGGCAAGGGTTTCAGCGAGGAGAGCATTTGGAGTTTGGAGTTGGTATGATTTAGAACTGAGTTCCAATTAAGAGATTATTCAACTTGACACGGAGCCTGTATTATGTGCTCCTTGGCCCCCTATGGATAAATCTCGTATCTGTCCATATTCAAATTGCAGTACGAAACATAGGGGTTTCGTAACATGTCGTCTCATTGTTTATACATGGAAAATTCTGCTCATTCTTTTCTGGTCGCTTATTCTCTGATTCTTGATTCAAGCACATTATGCTACTCGGATAGTCTTAAAACAAGCATCACAAACACCATCCAATCACAAGTGACTAGAGCTCCATTATATGTCATAAGTTCCAATGTCGTAGGAAATATGCTATGGAAGGCTGATTATTTTCTTGACCGAGGACAGAGGGATGATGGGTATTTCAGTTTGATGTAAAGAAGATGCATAAAGCACGAGACAACAATCAATTTCTTGGCATGATGTTATACAAGGAGCAATAGTTGATGTTGGCGAGCTCGGAATGAGCATGGCTTGGGTTTCACCAATCAGCCTTGGCTTGCCGTCATCCTAGGTAGGTAGCTAGGTATGTACCGGTTAATCTGACTCCATGCCTGCACTACAGTTTTTCAAAATGACGCTTTTTCAAAGTGACACAGAAATAAACGCTGGCAAGGGTGTGAAATAGCCTTGGCCCAGGAAAAAAAAAGAAGAAGAAAAAAAAACCCTTGCAACCAAGATGACGGATTGAATAGTAGTGAGCACTGAAACTTGAATGCCGGGGTTTTGCGGCGAGCTCCACAATAGCCCTGGGAGTTTAAAACTCAGGTGCCTTAATAAGCCAACGCCGTCTTGTCGTTTGTATCAGCGTAAAATCGTTTGAGCGTGACACTCAACTCTCTGCTTACCGACATAGGCACATTTGATACAGGGTCCTGAAAATTGAATTATACGGCAATCCAACAACTTCCGTTCGCTCACGCCAATCAATTGGACAATCTTCGTGTGGCTGCCTACCTACTTGATTACAACGATGCTTTCCAGGTTGCCATTTATTTTACACATGGTGGTCGAAACGCCTGCTGCTTTCACATTCATTTTCACTCCTCATAAACAGCTCCACGACGTCCAGCCTGCAGCACGGCTCATCCTACTGCAATATGGCGGGCTGCTCCTCTCCACCAACCTGATATGCCTGGTTATGAGTACAGCGAGGGGTGGTGGTAGTCTGGGTGAAATTGAAAGACTGCTTGCAGCCTCGCTCGGGTTTTATCACATCTGGCCATGTTACCGTGCTTTAGCTCGGCTGTCAGGCCATGTTGCTGGAGATGTACATCACAAGGCAGTCCTTGGTGGTCCGTTGGCTCATCTGATTATACATTTACTGCTATTGTTGCTCTTTGCTCATGCCGCATTGTCTGAAAGCAAAGTAGAAGCAGTGGAGTTGATGGAATCATCATGATCTGTTGTAGTTTTCGCCCAAACTTTATCGAGGGCAGGAAATGTCATGTTGGGCCATCTTGCTCAAACAAAAAAGTATGTACTTTGCACATATTCTTGTTATCATGTACTCTTCAGGTAGCTGAAGCTGAGGAGCTTGACAGGGCTGGTTTTTTTTCTTTCTCATTGCCTCAATTGATGGCGTGCGGTTGTGTCCGTCCTGGATTCAAGCTGTTACATACCTACCTAGTGGTAGTAACGACAATTGAACTCTATGTGTACCTGGCGATACACATATCAAATCCATTTCGGGTTACATACCTAGCTACCTACTATCCACATAATTGACGTGTGGCTTGATCTTGAATCTCAGTGCAAGACATTACCGGACTGTACCTACCTACGTAATGAACATGCAGGTTGGCTCGGTTGGCAGGCACCAACCCCCGTCTCCACACGGCGTTGTCCAACACTCCAAATGGAAATTGGTCCAAGCTTCCTTCCAGCTCCTAGTGTTGTACTGGGTCAACTAACTGGGCCTAACTCGAAGGAGCACAAACCTAAGAGCCACCCGGGGCCCGCTTCCATTTCGTCTTTGCCGTTACCTCTGCAGCTGCTTCAGCCTTGTTGTCGCGTCTTTGAGTTCCGAAAACAGTTGTTGATATTTGACATCGCAGAGAAGTCAAAGACGAAGGGTTTCCAGCGACTCGCTGGCTTACTCTTGGACTACGAGGATTGTATCATACTTGACAACACATTTCACACGAAACGCGAGCACCCGTTCAGGGTTTGATTCCTGTCTTTTTTCCAACTTTGCCTGGAGGCGCCCATCGTTCATTTCGCCAACGTTCCTGCTTTCAATCGTCTTTGTGCCTTCCCTGGTTCCGATCCACCATTGCCACTCACATTCGTATGGAGGGAAAGAACTGCCAACCGCAGACACATTCAATTTGATACATGCCACGCTCTGCCGTGCACAGGGTACTGCCATACACATCCTTGAGTTGGAGCCGATTTTGATTTCGAGACTTCGGGTTGCCAGCCAGGACTTTGGGGCGCATCTGCATCACGCTGCCGAGTTGGTTTTACCGCCCCCAGCCATCGCACCACTCATGACTGTCATCTGCTCCGGCCGCGTTTGACAGGATGGCAGCCGCCGACGTGGACGTCGGATACCTGGCTACCCATCTGGGTATGCCGGAGAAAAATTTGTCCACCGTCGCTACTGATCCCACTGCCGAACTTGTTCGAGCTGTTTTGGCTGCTGTAGCCACCAAGGCCCATGAATTCGACGCGCTTTACTCCGAGAAGGTCCAGCTCGAGGTTGAGCTTGAGACCAATGTCCGCGGCGCCGAGGCTCAGCGAGATGCGAGCAACGAGAGGGCTAATAAAGCACAAAAGGAAGTTGAAGAGATCCGCCAGAAATTGCAGCAGGAGGGTAAGATACACCCATCTGTTCTACCCCCTTCTCCCTGATGACCAATTTGAACTACCAAACGTACATGCCAGCTGACTTGCCCATCATACAGAGTCTAGAAGGCATGCCCTCGAGAACGAATTACAGTCTACGAGGTCGTCCAACTCTACTTCCCAGTCCGATGTCGACTCCCTTCGCGCCAAGGTTTCGTCCCTTGAGTCGCTGAATCGCGAAAAGTTGGCCATCATCGACACCAAGAACACTGCCAACGAACAATTATCTCAAGACCTTCAAGCCTTACATCAGAAGAACTTGAAGCTCAACCAAGAGCTAACCGCCGCCCAACAAGCAGCTCAAAATGCGCAAGGCGCCTCGAACACCTTCAAAATTACCGAGTCACGTCTGCGATCCGAGCTGCAGATGGCCGAGAGGAATGCCGAGTTCTGGGAAGAGGAGCAGAAGAAGAAAGCAGCCGAGTTGAACCAGGTCCGCAAGGATAAGACAAGCACAATCTCGAGACTACAGAGCGAGAACCAAGATCTCAGAAGCGAGAAGGAGACCCTTGAAGAGTCTATACGTCAGCTCCGCAAGCAGCTCGACGAGACTCAGTCCAAGCTCACTCAGGCTTACCAAGAGAAACAACAGGCTATCGAACTTGCGGCAAGTCGGGAAGAAGGCTTGCGCCAGGATCTCGATTCTACGAAGCGCCTTGCAAACATGAGAGAAGAACAATCTAACTCCCTGAAGAATAGGCTTGCAGAAATGGATATGCGGTTGGAGCAGGTCAAACGGGATGGGGAAGATGCCGTGCGCCGTATCAGTGAGGAGTTGGCACAGACTCGCCAGTCACATGATCAAGCCGTCAATGAAGTTGAAAACCTACAAGCTGAGGTTGCCAGGCTTGAGGCTGTCCTAGCTGATACACGCGGATCCCCAGGCCAGCCCGGATCTGCTCCACAAACTCCAAGACCATTGAATGGATCTCTATTAGGTCGACCAGCCTCTCCTTTCGCTGCCACCCCTGGTTCTATGCGCAAGAGCATGTCGGTAACGCAGACTCTGGATGAGGTGTATCGACTCAAGGGACAGTTGGCCAAGGAGAAGAAACACAACGAACACTTGGCCAAGGAGATTGAAGAGATGATGGACCAGTTGGAGGCCAAGGGCCCGGAAATTGAAGAGCTCCAGGCCGAAAACGAACGTCTGCAGCATGAGATCCAGAACATGTCGCACCTTTCTGATGAAAGCTTCAAGGAGCGCGACTTGGCAAAGAAGGCAGCTCGAAAGGCGGAAGCTGACTTGAAGACAGCACAGTCAGAGATCAACATAGCGCGACAGCAGGTGCGCGACTTGAGTGCGCAAATGCAAATGATGATCTTCAATCTGGAACACCAGGGCCAAGAACTCTCGCTCGAGGAGCAGCTTCAAGTTCAGCGATTACAGAGGGGCAATGCGACGGACAACATGTCTGATGTTGATGAACTCATCTCCGAACGTCTGGTCGTCTTCAGAGATATTCGAGATCTGCAAGAGAAGAACCAAGAACTTCTGAAAGTTATACATGAACTTTCCGAGGAGATGAAGAATGCCGAAGACGCCGAGGCGAAGCAGCAGGCTGCTCAGGATCACGAGGAGGTTATCCGTCTCAGGGACACCATCAAAGAATGGGAGGACAGACTGCGCTCAATGCTTGTTCAGCACGAAGCAGTAGTCAAGCAGAGAGATATGTTCCGCCGTCTAGCCGAAAGCAGAGGCACCCACGTCGGCGGCTCGGTCATCGACGGCGACAACGGTGTTCTCACTAGCATTGAGGACAATGGCGCTTCGATCCTGGGCGGCGATAGCACAGATTACGCAACGGTTCTTAGAGAGCTTCAACAACAGTACGACTCACATCGAGCTGAGTGGAACACCGACCGTGATACCATGAAGAAACAAATAGATACTCTCTCTTCAGAGCGGAATGGTCTACAGGCAGAAAATGCCAGAGTTGCAAGCCAGTTAGGTCTCAAAGACTCGCGCTTCGAGATGCTTGAGTCCAATTTCAAAGCACTGAAATCCGAGAACGAGCAACTGTCAAAGCGCATTCGCGAACAGTCTGAGAATTTGTCGAAACAAGATATTCGCACACAGCAAGCCGCTGAGGATCTTGTCGAGGCTCGAAGCCAAGTCGAGGGTCTACGCAACGAAAACGCCAACCTCAAGGCAGAGAAAAAGCTAGCCAAGGACATTCAAGAGCGCCTTGCCCAGGACAATGATAGTCTGATGAATGAAAGGTCGCGCTTGAACGAAGTCGTGGCCACACAACAGAGACTGCAAAACGAGCGCGAACTGAGCGACGCAGAAACCAAGCGCCGCCTTCAAACGCAGATTGATGCTCTGGAAGAGGAGTTGAAGAGTGCGAAGCGCAACTTGACAGATCAGATGGAGGAAGGGAAACAACTTCAACTTCGCAAGGAATTTGACGCACAGCAGTATCAGAAGCGCATTGATGAGCTGACCGGGAATTTCGGCCAGATCCGAGAGGAACTTGCCGTTACCAAGACGAGCAAGGAGCACCTCCAGGTTCGCGTGGATGAGCTCACTATCGAATTGCGGACCGCCGAAGAACGTGCGGAGCGCTTGCAGCCTCGTCCTACCCCACGACCCGGCTCTATAGCACCAGGCGCTGCACAAAACATCGCTCAAGAAAGCGAGGAGCGCATCCAAGAACTCATACACGAACTCACCGACCTCAAGCGCGATTTGGAATTGGCCAAGACTCACCTTGAAAATGCCGAAGCCCAAGCAAACCAATATAAAGAGCTTAGCCAGGCTAACGAGGAGGAGCTCCAAGCACTTCAAACAGCGCAGGATCAATATGTGCAAGAGATGGATACCGCATTGGCTGGCAAGGACTCAAAGATCAAGGAGTTAGAGCAACGGATCGAGGACTTGTCTGCAGAGCTTGCGAGAACCAACACTGAGCTATCTGCTCTCCGCGATTCCCAGGATGAGGTTGCGCGTCGCGCCGAAAACGAGAAGTCTGTTCTGGAGGCTGAGATCAAGCGCCTGAAGGAACAGGACGAGAACTATTCTGCATCCGTTCAATGCCACCAGCAAGACCTGCGAACTCAGGCTGAGATTGCTAGCCGTGCTCAACAACAATACGAAGAAGAAGTTGCCAAGCATGGTCAGACGGCTGCTACACTGCAATCTATCCGTAACGAGTACAACCAGCTACGGACAGCCGCAGCCACCTTGCGAGCAGAGGCTGAATCGGCCAAGGCGACGCTCCTACAAAACGAGAGTTCTTGGGAGGAACGGCGCAAGAAGCTTGAACAAGAGATGTCTGATTTACGAGCGCGACGGGATGATGCCGACAAGCAAAACAAAACTTTGCATGCCAGCCTTGAGAACATGCAGAACGAAGTCGCAAAGCTCCAACAAACCCGCGCTACTGTGGATGACTCTATGGAGGCCATTCCGCCGCAACCTACGTCTTCTTCTGAAGCTGGGCTCCGAGAGATGGCCAATTATCTGCGCCGCGAAAAGGATATACTTGAAGTTCAATTGGATCTGAAGGACCGTGAAGCGAAACAATTGCAGCAATCACTTGGCTACGCCAATGCTCAGCTCGATGACGCACGACTTAAGCTGGAACAAGAGCGGCAGTCACAATCTAGCAATGAAAGATCGTCCATGTCTCACAAGGACTTGATGGATAAGCTAGAACAGCTCAATCTCTTCCGGGAAAGCAGCGCAGCACTACGTGCCGAGAAGAAGCAGCTTGAAGCACAATTGGCTGACAAGTCCGCCAAGGTTGCAGAGCTTGAAGAGAAGGTTCGGCCTCTCGAAGCGCTTATCGAGGAGCTCAACAGCCAGTTGGAGCATAAGCAGGCTGAGATTGATCAGATACGAAATGATCGGGACTACTGGCAAAAGCGGAGCGAGGATATCATTGCCAAACACGGACGTACCGATCCAGCCGAGGTCGAAGAGCTCAAGGAGACCATTGCTACCCTTGAAGGAGAGCGGAATACGCTCCGAGAGGCTGAAATACCCCTCAAGAATAAGATAGAGGAGTTGGAGAAGGCCCTGCAAGAAAAAGAGACCGGCTGGCAATCCACACGGGAAAAGCTTGTGGCTCAATTCAAGGAGCGGTCTCGAACATTGACTGCTGCCAAGAACGAAGCAAACTTGGAGAAGGATCGCGTACAAGGAGAGCTCAACGAAGTCAGCGTTCAGCTCACATCAGCCAAACAAGAAGTGGAATCCCAGAGAGCCAAATACACAGCCGCGGAGGAGCAGATCAAAGCGTTCCAAAGCCAGGTTCAAGCGCTACAACGAGAAATCCAACAGAATGCAAATACTCAGGCGGCGGGGACTGTCGCACCGACGCCAGCGACAGCATCTGCACCAAGTGGTACCGAAATTGCTGAACAAGTCACCAGCCTAGAGCAGCAACTTTCTCAAGTCAAAGCAGAGTTGGAATCCATCAGCGCACAGAAAGCAAACGTTGACCAAGAGCTTGAGCAGCTTCGCTCACAACTCCAAACTGCCTTTGCCGAACGGGATCAAGCAGTGGCCAATGCGGCAGCCGCTGGCAACAACGACACTAATGGCGGCGATGTCGCAATGCAGAACGGGTCTGATGAAGCCCAGTCCACAGCCGCACCCGCTGCCGTGCCCATGACTGATGAGGAGCGCCAGGGACTCGAACAGAGAATCGCAGCAGCAGAGGCCAAGGCTGCTGAGTTCGAGGCGAAGGCCAAAGATATCGAGGATAATCAAGCAGCTATTCTTAGTCAGCGCAGTGACAAGATGAAGAAGGCGCTGAACGATAAGCTCAAGGCTGAGAGGGAGGCAATGAAGGAATCCATTGACAAGCAGCAAGCGGATTTGAATTTGCGACTAGAACAAGAGAGGAAGATTTGGGAAGCTGAGCAGAAGACGAATGCATCAGCTGAAAGCCAAGCACCCAATACGCCCTCCCAAGCTACGCCAGGCACTCTTGGGGAAGCTTCCACGCCGGCAAAGATTAATCTGGAAACTATCTCTGATGATGAAGCCCGCAGGTTTGTGGCCACGAACAACACAATTAAGAGCATCATTACCACGAACATTAAGACCAAGGTCGAGCAGGCAATGAAGAGGGTCAAGGAAGAGTGCGAGCAGAATCACGTTCTGAAGTCGGAGGTTGAGCAAAAGCTTCTGCAGGCTCGAGAGGCAGCCATGAAGATGGCATCTACAAAGTCTTCGGTGCAGATCAATATGGCACAGAACAATGCAAAAATGGCACAAGCAAAGATCGCAGTGGTCGAGACAGCCGCAAAGGAAACACCAACAAAACCTGTCAGCGAAGTATGGGACGTTGCAAAGACTGCCAAACCACCGCCGGCGCAGCCCAAGCAACCTGTGTCCGCGGTTGCGCCCGTCGCAGCAACTGGCGCTGGAGGTCGTAAGTCAACCCAGTTCTCAGTGGTACGAGGGATTTTTGCTGATGATGATCAAGAATCTGCCCAGGTTGGTCCCACGACTGCCACAAGCCAGGCCACCCAGCCTGCTGCAGCCACTTCGAATCTACCAACAAAGCCCCAATCCTCCATCCCAACACCTGCTACGGCAAACAGCACCGGTACGCCAGCGAACCCGTTCGCTCCACTGCAGGCACAGCAAAGCAACCAACCCACCTCTGTGAATAATCCGTTTGCATCGAGCACCAACTCGCAGCCAGCTGCGCAGCAACCAGGCCAAGCAGCTGCAAACCCGCAAGCCTCCAACCTTCCCAAATCGGGCATTCCCGCCCCGTCAAACCTACCCAAGAGTGGCCTGCGACAGCCGAGCGGAACCTATCAGGCGCCCCGTGGTGGCAGAGGTGGCCGCGGTGGCAACCGGGGTGGTGCTCAGGCTGGTGGACGCCAGAGTCTGAATCCCGGCGCCGATAACTTTCAGCCCGGACCCGGACTCAAACGAACCAGGAACGACTCTGAAGCAGGTGGTCCTGGAGGACAGAAGAGAATGCGTGGTGGTGCAGCTGGTGGCGCAGGAACCAATGCTGCCCAGCAATAAAAGCATGGAGTATTCGCAGTGTGAGGGGGATGGGGTGGTGGATGAGGAAGAGAATAACAAAAACCAAGGCAATAGTGGCTTCGGACTGTACACAAGTGCTAATGTATTCAGCTTCTTTTTTGACGAGAAAGTACTTGCTTGCAAAGCAAATTCACGAAAACGATCAAGAAAGGCATTGTTTTAGGGGCTAGGCACTCGGTCTCTCAAGATCGCAGAACATATGTGAATACGAATCACAGGCAGTCTACTCATGACTGTATGGCATTCTTCCAACACTGACCTTTGTAAAAACAAAATTCGTTCATAACCAAGGTCCCTTCCTACCAAATGGCGCCTTGCCGATACTGCATTTGTAGACGTCTGCTCTAAACATATCCGACCCCGAATCCAACATTGAAGCCACCGTGGCAAGAACAGTTCCTGATCATAACGCCCACAGCACTTGACCAAAGAGGGAAAGAAAACAAATGAAAAAGAAGTGAAATAAAACGCAGTCATCACTGGAGTTGCCCAACAACACCAAACATTTCCAAAGATAAAGTTCGAGTCCAAACGGTAATTATCAAGTAGCTGCAACGGGCGACCGCTTAGATGCCTCGTCCGATATAGATGGAGTTCTGGGCATGGTGGCGCGCTGGTCCTGCGCCGCTCGCTTGATGAAATCACGCACCTCAATGGCATCTTTTGTTTTCTTGTCGTGTTTCGAGGTGCTATACTTTCGAAACTCATACGGGGCAGCGATAATGTGGAGGTGCAGATAATCGGCACTGTTATCGGGGTGAAGATGCAAGCCGTAACAAAAGTCCCCAGCGTCAAGGTCATTAATCGTGGACTCGAGCCAAGCGTAATGGTCAAGCGCAACCTGATGCGCCTCGTTGGTAAATGGCTGCCCTTTTGTGGCCTCGGCACGTCGATTGATGGCTTCGCGCTGAGAGTCGAGGATTTTGAGGCGAATGGCGGGGTCTTTCCACGAGACCTCGAACAGACTGATCATATCGTCGAGAATGTCAACCGACTCTTCGTCCAGGTCTACGCCGTTGAAAATATAGTTGCGGGGTATTGCCAGAAGATGGATCATGGACATGCCCGCGCTCGCAGGCTTGTCCTGATACTGCAAAACATCAAAAGATGCCCAATTGCTAATAATCTCGACCCGGCCATCCTCGGCGATGATGTTCTTTTCCCACTTCTTCACCGGGACCGTGTGTTGCTTCTCGTCGGGAGCCAGCTGTTGCCAAGCTACAATCTGGCGCGCAATCTGGTCCGACTTGCCTATAAAGCCACGCTGCTCGAGCTGTAAGCGCTCCGCGACGTAGGCGGGATGATTCTCGTGTCGCATGGCGAGCGTTTCCTGCTGCTGCTGCAAATCTGCCTGCTCTGTCTTTTGCTCTGTTGTTGGCTCCTGATTTGGCCCTGTTTGTTCTGATGCTGCTGCCCCTCTTCTGTCGGGCGCTGGCGTCATATTTCTTTAGGTGAGATTTGTGAGAGTGCGGCGATTGAGGTCGCTGTGAGAATGCCCAGAATAGGACGCAATAGCTACATGTGATGTCTTTACGATGAGTCTTGACACGCGTGTTTGCAACTCTGTCATGGTCTCTCTTCCCATTCAAGTCACAGGCCTTGGATTTTTTTGGTGATCCTAAGAGCCTCGCCAAGGTGACCCTGACAGCGTGAGAATTGAGGGGATCAGCTGGAATGCATAGCCCGTCACAAGGCTACAGCCTGTTGCATGCAATGCAGGTGTAGTGTATGTACTCTGTACTCTGTACGGGAGGGTTGAGGGCATGGAAAAAAAGCACTTGAGGTGGCTGTGCAGGGGCAAGGACTCCGCCCAATCGCCCAGCTTGTGAGCCAGATCAGTCTCCAATTTCCAATCCTTCTCCAATCAACCCTTTGAAAGCGAAGGAGCTTGGTAGCGTTAAGGTACTCTGTACCTATCTCCGCGTTGGCGTATTGACCCGGCAGAACATGTGATGGTTGGATTGGCTACATGAACCTTTCAATTATGATTATCATGGTGTTGATAGAAAGAAATCCATCTAAATGGAATGAGAGGTGTTTTGATTCGGCTTGCTTTACCTACCTACCTAGCAGTGAGTAGTTATGCACCTGTGAGTTTTGAACATATTTTTGGATTGATGCCAGGAAGATCACAGCAATAGCTGTTAGTGTCGCAAGGTGTAGGGGACCAGGTCATCACTAATGGTTTCAGTATCGGCACCCCAAACACAATTGAGAGGGATTCACCCTTTGCATTTCATCATGAAAACTCACAGCTCGTTATCGCATTTAAAAAAAAAAAGAGGAAAAAAAAAAAGATACTCCTGCCTTGCTCTCATTCTTCTTTTTCCACTTCAGTTGACTATATGTCTGTTTGCGGGCCGCCTCGCATCAAGGATGCGTACTACCTCACCTACCTGAGGTTACATCAGCAGGCGCAGTACTGCGGCTCATAGAAACTAGCTCGCCCCAAGCATTCCGTGAGAAACAAACATCGGGTAACGGGTCTGAAATTGGATATTAGATATAACCGATTCGCAGCATTCTTGAAATGATTCTTTTTTTTTTTTTTTTTTTTTTACATATATATTTTGTTTCTTGTATTTTGGAAGGGGTTTGATGCTATGCAAGCCATGAGATCTTGGTATACGGGCGAAATCCACAGCCACTAATGTCGCTTAAAGCTCAGATCATTCTCCACGTTTTTTCACTTCTATCTTTAAAAATACAATGAATACAATTTTCCCATTTTCTTTGAATCGGGAATGACGGTGCTTGTTTTTACATCAACCCCAGTGAGGGTGAGGATGGATTCATTTAAGAAAGAAGAAGTAAAAAAAGAAAAAAAAAACTGCCCCCATCCCGAGGCGCGTGGACTTATTGAATACTACGAAACGTAGACGCCTGTCGCGCAATGGCTTCAGTTATATAATAACAGGTCTGCGATGAGCTTGGGGGGAATTAGGCATTATCTTCGATAAGTGCATGTGCTGTGCAAAATCATATACAGTCAAAACAAATACTCAATCAACTATGGATGAATCAGCGGGCCTTTGCAATGCGCTATCCAATGTTCAAGCACGGTTCTATTACATTGAATTGTTGTAAGTCTTGAGTTTCGGGGTAATCATCTGAACAAACAGGAACAAGACAATTGCTTCAAGTTATATGCTTGGTTCGGATTTGCCCTCTACTCGCCACAGCCTGGAATCGAAGTAGGGGACTCGGAAGCTGGCATGAAAGACGGCCTTCTTAAGTTAAAGTAGTCGACTTCGAGGCTTCAGTTGTAAGCATAATAATACGCAATAGCCTACTTACTCCCGCCGCCCCGGAAATAATCGGCTATGACGATCACTCGACATGATGATAGACTTTTTGATGGAGTATTTGCGCTCGCTAATTCGATCCGAGGGCCATATCATTGGCAAAACAAGGATCATCAGGATGCCGTGAACTGAGACCGCAGACCTGGCACGAGCGGATATCCACATGCTGCTGACATACGCGAAATCATATTCCTAGTCATTGGACCTCTTTTTTAAGCGATAATACACGGTACTCGACGATCGATCCACGAAGGATTTCCGAACCTGAGTTCAGAAGACACATGGCTGCATAGAACACTTGATTGTCTTACTGAAGCGAAAGCAAACATTCTGTTTGCATCAAATTTATTACGCGACATCGTCGAAAGTACCGAGGTAGATCATATCAGCTTTCAAGAAAGCAAGACCGCGGCGCCAAAGTATAATAAGAACATTGCCTCGGTGATCGAACATATCATGAACTTCTCATACTCCTCGTAATTGAGAAATGATTGGAAATCTAGGTACTCTTATTTTGTTTCGCCAAGATTTATACCGCAAAACGGCTTGAAATGTCGACAATGCCAGCTCAAAACACCTCCCTATTTGCTGAAAACCTTCGAGTCCTAGCGGCCCTCCATGGAAAATCGTTTTCGAAGCAGCATTCCAAGTACAGTACTGCTTATGGAAGGAGAAATTTTGCTCGAGTTTTTATGCCATGCAAGTGGAAAAGAAATTTAAATTTCCTTCTTGTTTCCATTTGCAGATCTGTAGAAATCCTGGCAAGCCAGGCCATTTACAGTTGCTGACAAGCAATCCTGGGGCGGCTCAGCATCAGGGTTCGAAAGTAAATCAGTCATAGGCAATGTCAGAAGGTCATGATGTTTGTTCGTCGGTGCTCTTGCAATAAAGTGCCCATCAAATGCTTACAAGGGATTATCATGAAAGCACAAATAGATGGTGAGAAGTAAACAATCAACACAGAGAGGGACATTCCTGATTCAGTACCTAGTAATCACCAGAATGCAGACCATGTAGTCTGGATCATTCTTGTTGAGCGACTGACTATTTCATATTGATTCTGCAAATGTCATACATGTATCCCTACCTACATGCCCTGTGTGTAAATATCCAGAGAGTCTTTTTCTTTTGAATCAAGCGTCGAGAATATAATAATGCGTAATGCAACCATACCGCTGTGCTGGAGTCTACCTTTGAGACCCACAATTTTGAGGCGGTTCTGAGGGGGTCACTGTCGATTTGCAGGCCAATCAATGATCTGGAAGTGGGTGGTCCCCAAGCCAATGATTGCCCGGAGATGACTGATGTTCCCCTGTAATCAAACACTGGGCATTCCCATTGGCATATCCAATCGAGCCGCTCCCCTCGACGCTGGGAGTCGAATCTCCACAATGCGAGCAGTTGAGGCCGGAGCGGAGGAAGATAGATACACTTCTGATTCGATTTGCATCCCAAAGCGAAGCGACGCCGCCCTAGCTCACGCTACAGTACGTACAAGCAACCAGAGTGGACTACATCGAGACTGCAGTGAACTGGGACTGTATATTAATGTTTTCTCAGGCATACACAAATGAAGAAGTTACCGGGCGTCGGCCGCCCAAATGGTGGGAGATTGGGGAACCGGAAAGAAAGGACCGGGTGTCTGACTTGCAAGTGCGTCCCCATAGAGGATAAAAGAAAGAAGCGAAAGAATGTGGATGGAAGGATGCAAGAAGCATGGAAGCGAAAAACACAAGTCCGAAAGATGCACATGCTACCTCGTACCTACCTACAGGACACAACCCACACCCTCTCTAGCTGTCCAACATTTACCTCCTTACCTACCTACCTAAGCTATCTGTCCACTACATACCTATACTCCCCCATGCTACCTAGCACCCAAACACACTCACATGCGCGCAACCACTCTCGTTGCATTGATGATTAACATGTTGGGGCCCAAACCTATAGGAAGCGCAAGATCAAGTGCGACGAGGCAAAGCCTTGGTGCTTCCGATGCACTAGCACAAGTCGCCGGTGCGAGGGCTACAAGACGTCCGAGGTACAATCTACTATTGCCAGCCGCCAGAGCTCCCTCTTGCGTTCCGCCTCTGCGTCTACCTCTGCAGCTGCAGCTGCATCCGCAACGTCGCCCTTATCCGAAGGTCTCCTCGATACCAGACTTGCCAATAGCATTGACGAACACAAGGCATTCCACGCCTTTCTCCACAGTGGTACCTTCACTCTAGGATGTTCATCAGATATTGACCTGGTAAGCAATTTCTGGTGTCATCTCTCCCTTTTTCACGTTGTCTTGTGAGCAAACATTGCCCAGACTGGTGCTGTAAGAAAGCAGGCTTGGACAAGTTGCTTAATAGAGCCACTCCAAACTCATTTGTCCACCAGAAAAGGCAATGACTGACACAAGTCGTCGTAGTGGTGTAGATATATACCACAACTATTCCACACAGAACCAGCCATCCGCCATGCTGGTCTAGCTATTGGATCCCTGCTCTTACAAAATGGATCTATGCGCCTCAAAGAGCAGTCGCCCATCATCAAGGAAACCGGAAGTGGTGGTGATGGAGCCTTTGCTGTCCACCATTACCAAAAGGCCATCCAATCGACTCTGCGATCCATGCAGAGCGGCCGGAAAGACATCAAGCTAGCAGGCATAACTTGTATCCTCTTCTTCTCAATTGAAGCTCTGCAGGGTCACGAACATGAAGCATTGCAACTTTTCAAACGCGGAAACCAATTCCGGCCCATCTCGAGCTTTGAGGACCCAAATCATGCCGATCCAATCTTGGCTGGTCTTGAGCAGTCCTTCTCGCGGCTTCACATTCAGTCGTCCATGTTTGAAGGCTCCGTCATCCAAACGACCGAGACGGACGCGGACCTTGACGGTGCAATCAACTCGACGATACAAGCACAGACCGAATTGTCCAGGTATGTTCCAGTGGCACGTTCAGAGATCCTGTTCTGCTTCTGTCCGACTCACGTGACTTTACTTACATGTCTGTGATGTAGCTTGATACTTATCACATGTCGGGCTGTCGAGGAGGGAATTTTCATGAAGTGGATGCCCCAGTTTACCCAATTTGTCAACGTAGGCGATATGGATAGGGGGGCCGCTTTGCTCCAAATCCAGGCTCGCGTTCGGCAACTTCGTGAAACCTTGCAGCGGTGGCATACACGTTTTCTGGCGTACAAGGAGCAGAGTTCCCGCAAGAGAGAGTCGGTAGAAGAAGCCATCCTGACTGGTTTCCTTCTTTTGCGGTCCGAGTCCATATACTTTTGGATGGTCGGATGTACAGAGCAGAGCGAGTTGGTGTACGACAGCTGCCTCCCCAGATTCCAAGAAGCAGTAAACAGCGCCGGGCAAATACTGGATCTCATGCATCGATCGGGTAAAGTTGGACCCTTTTCATTTGAACTGGGTCTCATGCCTCCTCTCTTTGTCATTATTCAAAAGTGCAGAGATCCGCGGGTCCGCCGCCAGGCTCTTGATCTCCTCAGACGGGCCCCGGCCCAAGAAGGGCTCTGGAACCGTGACATTATAGTTCAGGTCTGCGAAAAGACGATTGAGCTCGAGGAAGGATCCGATGGCTTCGTCCGTGAAATTCCTCAGGACCGGATTGACATTGAGATACCGGAGGCGATGCGCATCAAACTCGTCAAGGTCGATCTCCGAACCACGCTTGAGGATGGGCGCACGGGGGACTTTGTCGACTTCTACTCGCTCCCTCATGGATTCGACCGAGAGTGGTGTATAACCCGTGACTTCTTTGAAGTTTGACCATCGGGCTCCACCACCCTAAAGCTATGGTTCCAATCCCCGACATGGGATCCCACCAAACTGCCAGGGGATGGCTTCTCAGACCAGGCCTTCTCCGATGCGCGGACCTGCCGAGCCTGCCACAAGACCTCTCTTCTCTCCGAACTCCAAAGATCGTCGTCGTCCGTCTACAAAGTACGTACCTACAACTGATAAGATCTTCTTGTGCCGTCGGTGCGCTATATTTTTTATCTACCGATCACATCTCATAGGACTGTCTTCGGTCCGATCTCCACATAAACGTTGGACCCTTTGTCTTTTAGCGCAAAAATGTCAAGAAATAAATATTCAACGGTTGCGACCAGCCAACCGCTATCTTTCTACTAGTATTTAGTAATCAGCCGTGTGGCATAAGAAGCACAATTGAACAGCGCACCAGCTCGTTGAAGCCAGCAGACGTCTACAACTATTTTTATTCTCATCCATATTTGCTCCTACCGCGCTCACATAATCCCGTAACTTGTTATTTTGCTGTCCAAATTTCACAATCATGGAGACGACCAAGTTGTTCCAACCCCTGAGCTTGGGGAGACTTGAGCTCAAGCACCGTGTCGTTATGGCACCACTTACACGCCTTCGATGCGACAAAGACCATGTAATTCTGCCCATCGCTAAGGAATACTATGCTCAACGCGCTTCTGCCCCGGGCACTCTTATCATTGCCGAGGCGACGATGCCTTCGCTGAAGCACGGCTTCGGTGATCACACCCCGGGAATCTGGTCGGATGCACAAATCAAGAGCTGGAAGGAGATTACGGATACTGTACACGACAAGGGCTGCTTCATGTATTTGCAGATTTGCCTACCCGGTCGCGCCGCGGCAGAGGGGTATGAGTGCCTCAGTTCGAGCGCGGTCCCGATCGACGCGCAGAGCCGCGTGCCCAAGGAAATGAACGAGGAGGAGATCCAAGAGGCCATTGACATCACTGTTAAGGCCGCAAAAAATGCCCTTGTGGCCGGCTTCGATGGAGTCGAGCTTCACGGCGCCAACGGATACTTGATCGACCAGTTTATTCAAGACAATTGCAACCAGCGCACGGACAAATGGGGAGGCTCTGTTGAAAACAGATCCAGGTTCGCCTTGGAACTAGTGGCTGCCGTGGCCGAAGCCATCGGATCTGATCGTCTTGGCCTGCGCCTCAGCCCATGGAGCGAATTCCAATCAATGAAGATGAAGGAGCCTGTGCCGCAGTTCTCCCACTTGGTCCGGGAGTTGAAGAAGTACAAGCTGGCCTACCTTCACCTTATCGAGTCGCGCGTCAACAATTGGGCGGACAAGGAAAAGACAGAGGGGATTGACTTCCTCATCGACATCTGGGACAACCAGTCACCAGTGCTCGTTGCGGGAGGCTTCAAGTTGGATTCGGCAAAGACCGCGGTTGACAGCGAGTACGCAAAGTATGACACCGCTGTCGTCTTTGGTCGCTACTACCTGTCGACACCCGACCTTGTCTTCCGTCTGCAGCATGGTCTGGAGCCCAACCAGTATGACCGCAACACTTTCTACACGCCTGTGCAACCCGAAGGCTACTTAGACTACCCATTCAGCAAGGAGTATGAGAGCGCCGCCAAGGGCCAGGCATAAATTATCTCACCACGTCTGGGCAATATAGAGGTTGCCATTATTCAAGCATAATTCATAAACATATACTATTACGACTCCCTACAACGCTGGTCTTTGGTTCTAGAGAGCCCGAGCAACACTTCATATCATTACGGTTTACTAATAAGAGAAGGAAAAGGGCCAGAGCTTATTTAGACATTAACTAGAATTAGAAATCTCGCAGCTAAATCATGTGGGATTTCCATCATGAGTTGAAAAATAAGCAGCAGTAATTACTTTAAAATTGTGGTCCCATTCAATAGATTGACCATAAAAGTGATTTTATATACACCTTGCTCTATCTCTCTCTAAGTCTACGTCTAAAGGGTATGTTTCGTCTAAAAAGAAAAAGCGACTGGCCTATCTCTGAACGCCAACCTATGCAACAATCAAAATAGATATAGTAGAATCCCCGAAGGACAAAAGGATATGCGAGGCCAGACTAGCCGCTCTTGGCTGGCCACTTGACACGTCTCTCTGCTCTGACGTACAAGTTCATGGGCCTGATCAACTGGAACATGGGGTCATATTCGAGCGGGCCATCGCTAGCCAAGCTGAAGTTGTACCTGTATATGAGCTTGGGAAGGAAGACCTAGGACAGTTGATTAGAATACAGTCATGGCATATTTGAAAGAGAGGATTTTCTGCCTCGGCGCAGACTCACCTTGACTTCTTGGAGCGCAAAGTTGAAACCGATACACATTCTTGGACCTGTGGCGAAGGGAATATAGGACGCCTGGTGTCGCGACTTGACCTTCTCAGTGTCCCAACGGTCAGGGTCGAACTGGGTTGGGTTGTCCCACAACTTGGGGTTGTTGTGGATATGGTGCAGGGCGACAACGCAGACCGAGTCCTTGGGGAGTTTGTAGCCACCCGGCAAGATCATGTCGACCTTTGAGGTTCGTGCAGGTTGGTAGCTAGGGTTGTGGCGTCGCTGAGTCTCCTTGACATACTTGTCGAGGAAGGTGAGCTTTTGCGTCAGCTCAGCCGTGATCTGTGTGTTCTCGTCGAATCCATTGTCGATCAGCTCCTGCAGGAGCCGCTCCTGGTTTCCAGGATAGGCGACGAGGCCATAAAGTAGCCATGAGAGCAGCGAACTGGTAGTTGTGAATCCAGCACCCGTGGCCACGACCAGCGGCTCCATGATCCTGTTAGCCGGGAGTTTGTTGCCCTTGGAGTCTGTTGCGCGAAGAACATAGTCGACCATGTTCTCTGCCTTGACTGCAGCCTCTTGGAGCTCCAAATCTTCAATACCCTTTGAGGCAGCCTATCAAGTCTCAGAGTTAGTGGGTCGGTCCAGACTCAAATGATGCAAAGATTGCAACATTAGACGAGGGACACAGAGACTTACATTGATCGACTCCTGGACCATCTCGACGATTCTCCCTCTGCATCACCATATATCAGCACCGTGTTTCCAAGGCGGCGGTTTGGATACTTACCTGGCATCGCGGAGCTGCTTGGGCGCGCCAAACGGCATGTGCGCATACCAACTTCCCATGGACGTGACCTTCTTGTTCAGACTAAGAGATTGTGCGATTCTAAAAACCATCTCGTGCAATGGGGCGTCTGGGGCCGTGAAGTGCTTCATATCAAGTCCCAAGACAAGTTTTCCAACACTACAAGGAGAAAATGTCAGTAAAGGTGCAAAAAAAAAAGATCAGGCGGGCTCGCGTGAATATGGGCAGAAACCTACGCTTGCGATCCCAACTTCAGCATGTAGGGATAAACGTTCCAAGCCTCGTCTCTCTCATCCAATTCATCAAACACCTTGAACGCATCTTCTATCGTCTTCTGCATGGTTGGTGCATAGTGGCGGACGGCCTTGGGTCCGAAAGCTGGAGGCAGAAACTATTGGATTGTCAGTCGCCGGTTCCAAGTCGTTGGATGAATTGAAATAGCGTACCTTGTGGGCAGTCCTCCACTCCTCTGTGTCAGTATCGCCGAGAAAGACACCAGATTCTGGGTTCTTGATGGGATGCAGCGGGTGACCGGGAATAATGTTCTAGATGTTATAATCATTAGCTTTTCTTCTTCTTTCCCCTTCCCGTTCCTTTTGGGGGCCAGCTCAATTAGTCTGCCAGGAATTGCATAATCTTGTGCTCACCTTGGTGAAAAAGTCACTCTCGCTAAAAAAGATAGATGCGAGGACAGGGTCGTTTGTGTGGTACACGACGCTACCCAGGTTTGTCGTCTTGATCAGCGGGCCGTACTGTTCGAACAGTCGCTGGTGGTTTCCGAGATGGTCCGGATAGACTTCAAAGTAGTTGCCAATATAGGGCAGACCCGCTGGGCCGGGAATCTCACGAACAGCCTTGCCGTCGATGGATATGGCAATAGGCTCCTCCACAGCACGCACATCGGCCAGTGTGGTCAAGGCAACATTGTCTTTTGACGCGAAGCCGACTCCTAAGTTATACGCACGCAAGGTCAGCAAAGTCCATCGAGGAGTGGTTCATGGCACGCAAGTCTCATCGTACCAGAAGACTGCACAATGGCAAAGTGAGCAGCAATTGTATGTTTCAAATCATCTTCGTCGGCCACTGAAGAGATGTCGATCTCCTTGGAGGACGTCAAGGGGTCCTCCCCGAGCAGATAGAATTGTTTGCTGGCAGCCATTATGCTTTACTTGAGCGGTGTACAAGAAAGGCAATGAAGTCGTATTGAGATAGATACCAGATACACCAAAAATTCCCTCGAGACCACAAAGACTCTTCCGCAGGCATTATAAGAGATATTTAAACTATTCACCTGATACGTACCTAGCAGCGGCAAACTTCCTGTTGTTCGTCAGTGGTACTACTACGAACTAGTTTCTAGGTAAGGGGGCTCCAGTCCTTCGTCCTGACCTCAGTGGAGCTGGTGCCGAGCCGAGGCAAGCAGAAATTTATTTACGACTAGGGGCGGAGGACCCGGTGTTGATAAGACGACACGACATGGTCAAGGGGAAAGACCGTCGGTGTTTATGAAGATGATATCCATCAACGGCTCCGACGCGCATTGCAGGAGAGGGACAAAAGTGAAGGAGTCCACAACTTATCCTACCACAATCAATAGGGGATGCAGGAATTGTAATTCTATCTGGTACGATCGCGCTCCGAACCCTTCCCACCACGTCAGTGGCTTTCGACGGGGGGGCGCAAGGGGCTTGTTTTGACGGGTCGTTTTACTCGTGGCTATAGTGGAGCAATACGATCGGCATCAGGCATTTGGCTTGTCCATGCTTGCAGATATTAGCGTATATAGTGCTGAGTTGGTAATCACAGCATCTCGGACAGCACGTTTTGGGGCATGGCCATCTGCCGGGAGACTGCCAACTCAGGTCTAGACGGGCCAGATTCGGTGGCAGGGGAGCCTTCGGCTCACGCACACCGTCAGGGGGCCCTGCAACTTTCTACCTTTTGCGGCGGTTTCGGTCGGGAGAGGCGCATGTTCGGTTGCAATGGCTTGAACGGACAAGGCGTAGGGCTTAAAGAAAAAGTTCTTTCCAGAATCTTTATCTTGGCGAATGCCGAATGCTGCACGTACTGCGTGTGAAATATGCTCTGCCACCATGCCCGGTCGTTACGGAGATACCGGCAAGACATGATATCGCAACATACAATGCTGTATGTACAATGATGAATGGCCTCGCACTTTTTAGTGTCTCTATTGGAACCACAATTCTTTTTCTGGGAACGCCTCGGTACTCGGAGCGCTTTTTAGCACTAGAACTGCGCTTGCTAAAATACTAGAAATGATTAGTACCGCCAGTGCTTGTTTGTTAATGCTGTCTAGGTTCAGGTAGTTATGCCGCGAAATCGCCCAGATGGAGCCTTTGAGTTGCCTGTGGCAATCTACGGACCCGCTGAATATCGTCGCGAGTTTGCACGAGCCTCGGCATCTCAACCCAGCATCGGCGGAAAAGAGGACTGTGGATATGCGTGAGCACTGAATGGTTGAGCGGTCCATGGTCTCTTTTACTCTGCCCCCTTGTCATCCCGATCAAACCAGACACGGCGTCTTGTTGCTGGATAGGAGCCTCCTCGTGCCTTTTAAGGCTGCCTTGTCTTTTTACTCGAGTTCCAGGAATTAACACTTGATAGTCCTACCTCTACTAAATTCTTGCACAACTATCAGCCAGTCTGTTACAATTCGCTTCTTGCATTTCCCACCAAGATGACTGCTGTAACTGATGTCGAGTATACCGCCAAGGAGGTCGCAGCTCATGCGGCCTCTGAGGATTGTTTCATGGTTATCCAGGGCAAGGGTGAGTCTTCTCGAATCTGTCTGTTTTATTTCTTCTCATAATGCAAGTATGCTGACCTAGATCTCTGAAGTCTATGATGTTACAAAGTACATTCACGACCATCCTGGCGGAAGTGATATTCTGGTAGACGCAGCGGGAACTGATGCTACTGAGGCGTTTGACAATGCCGGTCACTCAGAGGATGCTTTTGAGATCATGGCGGAATATCAAGTTGGTATTTTGAAGGGATCATCCAAAAAGGCTGCACCCAAAGCCGTCAAGCTCATTGCAACGCCAAAGAAGCCCGCCAAAGCACAATCTTCCAGCATCGTACCCACGGCGGTTGGAGCTACTGTGATTGCACTTGGCGCACTTGGTTACTACCTGTACCCTCAAATCAGTGGCGGACGTGCTTCGTCAGTTTCATTTTCGCTACCAAAGGCGAGCTGGCTCAAGGCTAGCGGTCCCCAAGCTCAGCGCTTTGGCTTCGTCGAGGGGTTCCTCGTGGCATCCGGAGCCGTCGCGGTCGCTGGTTCCGTACTTTTCAAGAGAGGCCTGGAACTCCTCGACATGCACGGGGACTTTACAAAATATCCATCTCACCTCAAGTTGCCCAAGCCGGTCAAGTCGGAGCCGCTGCTGGAGCGTGGTTGGTTGCACCCAACAACATACCAGACTCTGCCACTGGTAGCCAAGATTGAGCTTGCACCCAACACGTACAAGTTTGTGTTTGAACTTCCAACGCCCCAGACTGTTCTCGGTCTGCCAATTGGCCAGCATGTCTCTATTGGTGAGTTTGTGTATCTGATCCATTTCGTTCTCTGAGCTAGCTGACAGTATCAAGCGGCCACTATCGACGGCAAGACAGTGAGCAGATCATACACGCCAGTATCGAACAATGCAGACAAGGGGGTTCTTGAGCTTGTGGTATGTGACGACAACAAAATCCCTATTTTAGCATTCGCAGACAGAGAGTTGTTGAGACACATATGCTAATCGTTCTCACAACCACAGATCAAGTGTTACCCTGACGGACTTCTCACTGGACGTTACCTGGCCAACCTGAATCCCGGTGATGAGGTCCAGTTCCGAGGACCAAAGGGTGCCATGCGCTACCGACCTGGACTTTGCAAGAAAATCGGCATGCTCGCCGGTGGTACAGGCATTACACCCATGTACCAGCTCATCCGTGCCATCTGCGAGGACGACCGCGATCTCACAGAAGTCAGCCTCATTTATGCCAACAGGACGGAAGCCGACATTCTCCTAAGAGACGAGCTGGAGACCATGGCTCGAAAGTACCCACAGAACTTCAAGCTCTACTACCTCTTGGACCAACCACCGGCCGACTGGCAGTACGGCTCCGGTTATGTCACCAAGGACCTAATGGCCGAGAAGTTCCCTGCACCAAGTGCTGAATCCAAAGTCCTTCTTTGTGGACCTCCAGGCATGGTGAATGCAGCCAAGAAGTCGCTCCAAGACCTCGGCTTCGAGAAGCCGGCTGCGCTCTCGACTATGCGCGACCAAATATTCTCCTTCTAGACAAGATACCAGCATTCCATTTATAGAGGAACTCGATAGACGGCATATGGTTTAGACGGATTAGAAATGTTATTAGATGGAGCCTGGTGTCACATGTTGGGAAAATGTACTTTTTGGGGGGCTGTTACTGCGCATTCGCATATCTTTGTCGACATCATCGACATTTCCAACAACAACAACAACAACGTTATGATCATCATCACTGGCCGATCTAGGCCTTTTCTTCCTTTTTTTTTCCTCCTCTTTTTTACCCTTGCACTCTATACCCAATGTATATAGGTACATAGATCATTCCGGCATAATGAGCGATTGTTCATTAGTTGTGGTCAATCTGGACTAAATAGTACTTTGAAAAGGAATAATAGTATACTTTGATAGACTTGCCATCAAAAAGACTCTGATTGGTTCAGGGCTAACTATGGAGAGGCTGTTCCCTATCAGCCCGCTATTCTGGGATCCGAGCATTTTGTCCCCACAGCGGCGCCACCTAGAATGCACATCAAGATATCGAGTACTGAAAGTTGTAACGTTGTTTCATCCATGCAAAGCAGCACGGTCAGTCGGATTATGCAGCTACAACAACAACAACAACAACGACCACAGTATCCATCCGCATCTGGTGCACAATCACGCGAGTTAAAGAAGATGGCGCAGCTTCGCGATCGATTTTACTGGCTGAATCAAATCAACAAAGCCAGCACGGCGATCAATGTCGACGAGAAGCTCCTCAGCCAAGAACTGGGCAGCACTATCGCGCATGGAATCACAAAGATCCTCGACGATGGTAGCAAGCCTGATGGAGCACGGCCCGGCCGTGTAATCACTCTCGAGCCTTTACTTATCAAGGCTGCCGGAATTGAAGCCACACGTCTCCATGTTGGACGTTCATCCCAGGACATGCGTAAGAAGACGAATTATTCCCCCCTGATAGCGTGACATACACACCTTCTCACCCCTCCCAGACACAACTGCAACGATAGCAACAATTCGTGAGCACACGCTGAACCTAGCGGATCAATTGCATCGTACTATATCCCGAATGGTGAGCATGGCAGAGGAGCACGTGAATACACTGGTACCCAATTACACAAACGGCGTAGCTGCTCAGCCCAACTCGTATGGACACTACCTCTTGGGCCATGTCGCAGGCCTTCTCCGAGATGCAGAACGTCTGCAGCAGTTCTATGCGCGCCTTGACCGGTGTCCCATGGGTTCCACGGTCCTGAACGGGAGTCGCTGGCCCTTGGACAGGCAGCGTATGGCGTCATACCTCGGTTTCGCCGCGGTGGCCGACAATGCCTTTGACGCCGTCCAGATCTCTGGCACTGAGATGCCCGTGGAATTGGGTGCTGTCTGCACAAGCAGTAAGCAACATCCCCATCTTACTTCATGCCCACATGACAATGCAGCTGTATTGGACGAGAATACCCAAAACGGACAACTGGAGCTCAGTCGTTCACCCGAAAAGTCAATTGCTAATCTGTCGATGCAGTGATGCTCCATGCTGGTGCATTTATCCAGGACGTTATGAGTCAGTATGGAAACCCTAGGCCCTGGATTCTTTTGAAAGAGGGAGGCGATAATACCTATGTTTCCTCGGCGATGCCTCAGAAGAGAAACCCAGGTGAGGTTTCACGACCCAAGTAATAGTTCGCTCGGATCCAGTGGTGACTGACTTTACCCAGGCATACTCAATAGCACTCGTGCCGATGCATCGAGGATCATTACTCTGGGCTTCGGTAGAGCAGTACAAGCTCACAATATTACACCGGGCATGATTGACGCAAGAAGCACCAGTGATAGTGTAGAGGTTGTCAAGGGAGCAACAGCTGTTCTGAAAGACTTGGCACGAATCCTGGGAGCTTTGCAGATCAATGCAGAGCGCGCTCTGGAGGAGCTGAATAGTGACTGGACCGCTTCGCAGGAGGTTGCAGATGTTCTGATGATCCGCCATGATGTTCCATTCAGAGTTGGTCACCATTTTGTCTCCGAGATGGTCACTTATGCGAGGAAGAACAATATTAGACCTAGTGACTTCCCCTACGAGCAGGCGCAGAACATATGGATTACAGCCCATCAACATTTGCAGCTCGAATGCACCGCGGTGTTGCCTATGAGTGCTGAAGAGCTTCGCGAGACTCTGAATCCCGCCGCCGTCGTTCAAAATCGAGCCACGACTGGCGGACCCCAGCCCACCGAAATGAGCCGCATGCTCAAAGAGGCCCAAGATCGTGTCAGGGGTCTCAAGGCATGGAGGTCGGCTCAGTCATCGTACATAGAGTCCTCACTAAGTCGCCTGGAGGTAGACTTTCAGAAGTTGCTGGTAGCGGTTCAGAACTAGGAGATGCGAACATTCCACGAGCAATAGATTCCAGCACGCTGCACGAGAGTGCATGTAGTGGCTGAGGATTCTCAATCTCGGCATGCAGATTACGCTCGAGTATTGTGATCCATAGCAGGAAATTTTCTCTATTTAGCCTCTTAGCATGTTGTTTCTATTTGGCCACTATACAGTGCATTCAACCCTTGTCATCCATTACTTCATTTCTACTGGCCGAATGGGCCTGTGTCGCAGGATCACCGTTGCGTTGCTAGCCGGTATGGTATTATCTTTGACCCAGGTGTCAAAATCTTCAGACTTCGCTGCTGCCAGATCAGCGTACCAGTGACCAACAGAGTCATGGATATCAAAGCTCGAGGCACTGTCGCCTGGATTGGCCACGACTGTGTGGGAAAGGGCAAAGGCAAGACGGGCTGGTTGAGTGAGATCCAGGCTCTGTTGATTCCCATCAGGGTCTGCCCAAGAGCTACACCCTTTACACAAGGCAGTGAACTTGAGGTTGCCCCCGCTCACGGTGGTGCCTTTGAGAACTTGATAGGTTGTCTCGTTGAAGACGTCTGGCGAATGGTAACCACTATTTCACAAATCAGCTTCAAGGGAGCGATTTCGGCAATTGCCTTGGAGGAAGACAAACTATGCCATGCGAGACGAGTGGATGACCGAGTTTCCGTTTGGCCATGTGAGCGTCAAAGGATTATAAGCCATTGTGCCTCCCCACGCCCAACCGATCCAACCCAGAGAACTCGGGCCCTCGATTTGGACGAGCACGTCATAGTTGCCGTCTGTGGATAAAGGAAGTGCTACGCGCCAGGACGTGTTTGTGACAGTATCGGTGTAGGATTGGAACTTGATGCCCGTTTCTGCGTCGGTGTATGCTACAGTGTCTGCTTGCGCAAATACTTTGCTCTGTTAACGTTGGCCCTTGTCAATATTTGTGGAAGTGATTCAGACGCACCGTATTTGGCCAACGTGGCCAAAGGCAGTAGTACTGCTTGGCCCTTCATCTTGAACCTATGTGGCAACTGAGCTATGATGATTTTGACTCTACCAAGCAGGGACCAAGTCGTGTGGTGAAAGATGGATGACCAAATGCCTCCAGAGTCGCGCCATATATATAAGGCTGGCACAAATATATACCGCCTACCATCAGAATGTCACGTTCAATATGAGATCATCAAATATCATGAGCAATCTAAAAGATGCCGGATGCGACTCGAGCACGGAACCACATGTTGGTACGAGCGAAAGTGGTAGTCACCTTGCATAATGCCTTTTCCCATGGTGAAAGCATGGTGTCTTTGACGCGGCGAATGGGCTTCTTGCCATTTCCAAACCATTGGCAATGGACCGCTACCCGATTATACATTATACATACAAAGCAAATGTAGCATTTGCCTTTACCATGGACCGTATCGCCAAGTGAAGTCACTCCACAAGATTGCCTACAATTGTAGTAACGAATAAAAATACTGGCAAGTTAAGGTCCAATAGCATATCTTTGACCAGATGCGACAAGAACCTAACCGTGGCGAATTTGACCAGTCAAGAATGCCTTTGGTGCAATCCCGACCGTCGCCAGTATAGCCTAATTAGCAACAACCGAGTTGGCAGTGACCAGGAATATGATAGAGTTGGATATGCAGAAACTAGGGCACTCTGAAAGGCTACTTGGCAACATGCTATGACTTCAGGCTGAAATGTTGGTAGACGGAAACATCGTGACGATAATCCGAACCCAGGCATAATGTGTTTTCGTTCGTACTGTCAGGGTCCCGAGGGCTGCCATGATCAGCAGTAGCACGGGACAGATATGCTATTGTATCGTCGGCGGATGTACTTCATTCTAATGATCTGCGTTTCAAGTTGAGCAAGAATCACACACGCAGCAACCGACTCGGTAATTTCATTTACATCTATTCACTCATTTGAGACTGACAACAAGGAAAGACGGAAGTAGCAATGTAGATTTCAATAGCGATTAGTTTATTATACACTTGTTTTATAAACGCACCGCGACTCCTTTGCAGCCGAGGGTATAACCAAGTATCGGGGCGAGATATATCCCGGCAATTTTCTGCGAATGGGAGTACCTACCTAGCTCGTACATGGAGGTCTGTACGAATGGTATTGTAAACCTTTGTGGGCAGGCTTTGACAGCATCAGCCTTTGAGACCAGTTAGCTGCCCGATCATGTTCTAAAATAGAACTCAGGTAGTAGCGGCGATCTACATCAGATCGAGGTTTAGGTATGGGTACACGGTACAGTAATCTTTAGATCTCATCGGCCGATGGTAGGCTCCGAGGTCCCTGCGTGCCCCTAGCGCATTGTTTGTCGGTGGTATCAAGATCCGCTGGTGGCCGCGTAAAGCAAGATTGGATGCGAGGCTACTATCAAAGAAACACAGCAGTCTAGGAATACCGGGATGCGACATGCGTCGCCCATAATAGATACTCAGCCAATGGTAATATAGATTCATATAGCTCGTGTAATCTGCAGACAAGAGACATCCATCACGGGATTGCAAATCCCACGTACCTATGTGTAACAGAGACACCCAACAGCGGGGCATCGCTATTCACATTGCTATACACTACCTACGTACACGGCGGTTGTGGATTGTGTTGGAACTTGTACACATATGCGTATACTCGAGTTAAGAACATACTAGGTTAGGTATGTTGTGATAAATGATTCCTGTGCCTTGGTACTTAATAACAATATGACAAGCGTCTATCTAAGTCAATGATTGCGTGTTGAGAGGCACAACCCGATGCCGACACTGGAGTGATCAGCATGGAGTTTTAGAGCACTTGGATCTGCCTGGTGATTCATTGCCAAGTCTAAACTTCATAGTGATAGCGGTCAAACCATGGCGTGGGGCGCACCACCGATCGATTACACAGTAGAAGGCACCTACGTATATTGGTATCTAGCTGCTAGTAGGCAATTAGTGCCCCTGTTTTCCACCGGTGAAGCATCATGACATTCCGCCTACGATGTATGTCGTCTTGTAAAGGCTGGAACTTTGGATTCCTGCACAGCTACAAAGTAATTCGATGACATGTGAACAAGTAGGGGACGCCAAAAAAAAAAAAAAAAGGACTCAACCCCCATTTTGTCCATGCACTGTTCTCTTCTTTTCCCCCCAAAGGACATTTCGACTGAATATGTAGTGTTCGTCATCTGTTCGAGACGCCTGTAAAACCACATGGGGTATCCACCGTGTCTGAGAGGCTGTAACGTCGAGGTTTCCACCTCACCTGTTCGCGACGTCGCGACTAGGCCGCAAAATCCCTCGCAAAGGAGGAAAGATACCACAGGAAGAGAAGAACATAGTTCATTTGCGTTTTCCCACCCCCTTCTTTCTTCCAAATGTGGATCGCGTATAATGTACATGTATATCAAAAAGGCGCTTCTCTTGATCTGGATTGGCGCATAGCTGGTCGTCTGCGTATTCCATATATTCTGGCGCCCGCCCGCAAATGAGAGACATTCATCTTTCTCAGCAATCTTTTGCCTACGGAATAGTATACCTAGTTATAGTTGCCTGTTTCCTCCCTTGGGATTGACCCTTTGCACTGCGATCGGCAAAGACACCCCACGCGAAGCCGCCAGTCATCCTCCCAAAAACTGCCCCTCCAAAATCCCATTCTGGTGCCCCGCCATCCGCGACCGAAACACCAACGGCCGACTTCGCAGAACACCAACCAGCCTTCGGGCCAAGATCCCTTACCTGCCGGCAAAGGATGGGCTCCCTCAGCCCGGCCTCGAACCGCAGGCCTCTGCACGAGGTTATGCCACCCTTGGTCCTCGGTACGGCGACCTTTAACTCACAATATGTCTCGGATCCGCTCAACCCAGACGTGCTCCCCGCCCTGTCCATTGTCTCGCGAACTCTCGAGCTGGGTATCAATGCCTTTGACACGTCCCCCTACTACGGCCCCTCGGAGACCATCCTCGGCGATGCGCTCGCCCACCCTTCCAACGCGTCCAAGTACTCGCGCGAGTCCTACTTTCTCGTGACAAAAGCCGGCCGCGTTGCCGGCGACGAGTTTGATTACAGCGCCGCCTGGGTCCGCTACTCGGTATGCCGCAGTCTCGAGCGTCTGCACACCCCCTACCTCGATCTGGTTTACATGCACGACGTTGAGTTTGTATCGTCCGATGAGGTTCTAGAGGCTGTACAAGAGCTGCGTCGCTTGAGAGATGCAGGCATCATCCGATACGTCGGCATCAGCGGCTATCCCGTTGGCGTACTTTGCGATCTTGCCGAGATGATTCTCGAAAAGACGGGAGAGCCGCTCGATGCCGTCCTCAGCTACAGCCACTTCACCATCCAGAATACCACACTCGGAACATCTGCGGTGCAACGCTTCACCAAGGCTGGCGTGGATGTGGTACTCAACGCCAGCATGCTGGGCATGGGCCTCCTGACCACGCGCGGCGCCGACAATGGGCCCATGAAAGCTTGGCATCCGAGCCCGTCGGGGTTGCGGGATTCGATTAAAGATCTTGTCTCTGTTGCGACGGAAGCTGATGAGAAGCTCGAAGTAGTCGCTATCCGCTGGGCCTTGGACAACTGGGCCCGTGATGGTGCGTCACGGGGCGGCACCTCTCCCTGGCTACCGGCAGGCACGCGAGTGGGCGTGAGCGTCATGGGCGTCGCCAATGTGCCCGAGCTAGAGGAGACATGGCGGGTCTTCTGTAGTGTAATCGAGGGCTACAATCCAAAACCTTCGAGCGCCGAGATGGCCGAAGCACATGCCTGGAGTCTGGAGAGGCGGCAAAAAATTCAGAGCCTCGTCGAGAAGATGTGGGCTGTGCTTGGTGAATGGAAAGATTACAGCTGGAGCAGTCCCGGCCCGGGTTTCGTCAATACACGGCGGAAAGAGGATCGGGGAGTGTATCCCAAGAGCGATGGCATATACGACAAGTACATCCAAAAGCTTGAACTGTGATTGGCAGGGTCTAGTTTCTTGCGACACATCCTTGCCTTTATGATAGAGTCTCGTGTATTTTTTTTTCTCATGGTGATGATGCGTGCTCCTCGTCCCTCCAATGGGGCAATTATGGTAAGCCATGAGCATTCGAAATCTCGAAATGAGTCAATAGAAAATCCCTGAAACATGTCACTACTAGCAACGCTAAATGAAGTCGTACTTGTTGGTCTGTCTCTCCTATTCTACCCGTTCCATCTCCACCTTCTCAAGTCCACCTTCTCAAGTCTTTCAACCTGGGGTGGCGTCATACTAGCCATCTATATTCACTTGACAAGATCGCGCGAATCTTGTCAGTCAGACTGAAAAGAGGAAGGAGAAAAGGAAGAAAAAAAGGCAAGCACACATAGCATAATGAAGAACGCCCCAGTCCGATGCTTATAGATCGTCCCTTGCCACAATGCAATGAGTATCTTTCAACGCCGCGGATATGTGATCGTATATGTTGCTCCCCCATCTAGAGCTACCCTCATTATTGGGCGACCTCACTCGATCGCTCCAAACGATTGGAGTAGCCAAGTTGTTTCGAATCGTCATCTTCGTTATCATCAACGGGGGCTGGGGTTTCTGGCGTGATCATGACACTTGGAGGCGGTTGCACGCGCTCAGAAGTGCTAGACATTTCACTTCCCATAGCTGGCTGTGCCTGCTGGGTGTCGACCTTGAGCGATGTTGTGCCCAACGATTCCCGTGGTGCATTCAAGGATGAGCTTGAGCTTCCTGCAACCTCTTCAGCTGTCCCCGTAGGCGCAGTGGTTACTGCCGGGCCCACGTGCTCGACATGCTCATGATGTTCTTCAGAGGCTTTGTCCGAATCATTGTCGCCATGTCTCGGTCGAGAAATATGTTGGCTTTTTGCCGCGGCCTCCTCTCCATCTAGAGGCACGCCAACCATCTCGGCTAGACTTCTGAAATTGAACATGGATTCTGTGCCGGTACCTTCATCCTCACTTTTACCACCACTAAGGCTGACTTTGCTTGCTCCGGCTTCCTCGGGAACACCATCTTCTCTATTGCCGTAGCCTTCCTGCACGCTCTCCGCTCCGCTAGATGATATTGAACTCGCATTACTTATGTGGCGAAGGTGCGATGATCCTCGTGAAGGCTGTGATATGGGAATGGGCAACGTAGAGTCTTCGGTCCGCTCGACTGCCTTTCCCTTGCCATTTGATCCAGCTGCAGCATCCGCATTGGTTGTTGTTTCGGTAGGCTGACCGGATGACACACTGGCTGTAGTGGGAATGCCCTCGGCACGTTGGTTTTGGGCGCCAGCAGCGCTATTGCCACGTTTCCGGCCAAAGCCGAGGCTCAGAGATAGAGTACTGGCGCTGGCAGAGCTTCCCCCCTCCGAAGCACCGTAAATACTCGACTTGCGCTTGCTTGCTTTACGTTCTTCCTTTTCCTTCTTCTTGGCCTCCTTCTTAGCTTCTTTTTCCGCCTTCTTCCTACGTTCTTCCTCATCAGCCAACGATAGCCTGATCGCCTCCGCCACTATTGCTACGTCAGTATATCTGTACACACGGGCTTGAGGTTGGGAAAAAGTCTATGGCAGCTGATAGGTCACTTATCGTGGCTACCAGTGCAGAACCACGATCTTGCTGTACCAATGCCGTTCCTGGGGCTGTGAAAGATATTTTTGAATAACTCACTCATCATGCTCTCCAAGTGAGCGGCGTCTATCCGCTCCCTTGAGGGCCCTGTACGGGCAGATGAAGACCTGGTACCCGGTTCGGGTCCTTGACTTGGCTCAGGTCCCTGGCCACTTGTGCCGACATTGGAAGTAGAACCCGGACTGTCACCACCGCCCTGCCGACGGCTGAAGCGGCTAGATCGGCCGAACAGAGATCGGGACGATTCATTTTGGTTCATCACGAATGCAGCATGATGCAGAGCATCAGCTGCCGCAGCTCGTCGGCGCTGTTGTTGTCGAGCGGCATTGAGCTTTGTAGTCCAGTCTGGTCGTATTCGGTCCGTGGAGATCACATTGGGATCGTTGGCGGACAGACTCTGAGCGCGCCGGCGGTTGCTGGTTCCTGGCGTCGTAGCTGATGTAGGCGATAAGCTAGATCCAAGTGAAGAGGAAGACGACATTGCGGTACCCATTGAGCCAAGGCCTGGTGGCGTGAAAGCATAAGCCAAACCGCGACGGAATGCGGGAGGCTCATATGTGACTCCAAACTCGGTCTGTGTACAGTACGGACAACAAGCAGCCTCCATGACGAGTTCACCGGACTGCTCTTCAGTGTTCGACTGTTGGGGTTCGGAGCTGTTCTGCTGGTCCGGATGGTGGTCGGGAAGATGTGGGTCAGGTCGCTTGATCTGGACAAAGCACTCACTGCATATGAACTGATCGCAGCACCGCGTTTTGTTGAGATAGCGGGGATAGTACATGCAGCAAATTGGGCATTCAGTACCATCCTTATACAGAACAACTTCGAGAGGGGAGCCATTCACAAACGGATCGTTGGGCAGGTTGATTTCGCGAGGCGTAATATCCTGTTGCGATCCATTGCGGGAAGACAAGCTCAAGACACCAGCAATTGCCTTGTGAGGGCTTTTAAGAGACGACGACAACTTTGGTGGCGCGGGCGACGTTGGGGATGCAACTGCCGAGCCAGGATTCGAGCCGGTTTTGTCCGAGGCGGTCGAAAGTGTCCTACCCCCCATGGGAACTGTCAGGTTGTTCAAGTTCTGCAGAGATGTACTTGGCGACTCGACAGGCCGCGGTTGAGGGACTAGATCCTCGGGCACTTCATCAGCGGGTGGAATATCAAGACCACGAGCAGCCGCAATGATCTGATGCTCTGCCCAGTCGTCTCTGAAATCATCTAGCCCCCGCCAGAAAGGTGCTATCTTGCGCTCAATCTAGAGAGGTGATCATACGTTAGCATTGCGAATTGGAGAAGCCGTCCACACAGGTTTGCCATAACAGGATTGACCCATGATGGAGCTCTCCTCGAATCTGGTCCACTTACTTGCAGTTGCCTCACGATGGGCTTGCTGAAATCTTCCGAAGCAGTGTAAACGCCCATCGTAACAAGGAACCCACCATCGACATGCTCTTCCTTCATGCTACGCTCGCGTTCCTTGACACGTGCAACTCGCTCCCGTTCAAGCCTCCTGGCTTCTCTCTCCTGTTTAGTTTCCCTCCGCTCGAAAGGAGCATCGGGTTGTTCTCTCCGCGCGTTAGAGGAACCGCCGGTCAAGACCTCAAGGGCACTCAGCTCCCGCCGATTCGACCGCCGGGCGGATCTTTCGGAGGTCGATGGCCCAGCACCAAATGGAGAAGCGGCAGCGTCGTAGCGACCGCCGCGCCCACCTTCTCTCGCTTCTTTCGTATGAGCATTGCCCATCTTTCTTTTTGTTTTCCCGCACCGGCTGCCCGCGACCTGCTTGCCTGCTTGCCTGCGAGGACTTGACCCAGCGCCACACCCAGGTGATTTACCTACTGCTGATTTCGCAGTAGTCCACCTCTTCTGGCTACGAAGGAGCGGGATTGGACCGCAATATTGCCAAATAGAAACCAGCGAGTCGAGATCGCGACCGCGGAATCGTGGGCATTCGAGATGAGGCGGCGTAGAGAGGAGGTTATGTAGCGCAGTGATGGGGCACTGGAGCTCTCGGTAGCTCGTGGGCTAGGGACGTGGGATCGTAGAGGGCGGAGGGACGGCGAGCTCGGCAGTAACAAAACGCCTTGTTCTCCTCCTGGCGCATCAATCAACGACAAACGGACTGCGTACCACAATACCGTGACGATTTTCCCGATGGGATGATGGTGATAATGTAGGATAGGTTGGACATGCGGTCCACGTATGTAGTGTATGCATGCAGCTGCTTGCTCAGTATCGGAATTGAAGGCAAGTGTATGTGATTGATGATTTGACGGATTGGAGGGACAGGCCGGGGGCGGGAACGTGCTAGAGGTAAGATAGGTAGGTAGGCAGGTGGTGTGAGGTAGGTCAGGTAGCTACCTAGTACCTTGGGTCGCTACAGGTCGGCTCAGGCAGGCAAATAGAGACCCAGTAGGTACCTGACATTAAGCATGGGTCGATGGCCCCGAGCCGGTTGCGACTAGTTTAATACTAGGTATGCGCTTCATGGTTACCCATCAATCATCAATGTTGTTGTTGTTGTGGTGCCCATGCGGCATCTTATCAAAGACTATCGATACGCTGTCTACCGCGAGCACATGAGTAGTATAGACGTCACCACAAAAGACAACCGAAGCCAGCCCGCCAGACCCGTCCAGACAGACGTTCATTCATTCATTCATTCGACAGAGCTGGAGCTCCAAGGATGGATGTTATGGCATGTATGGCAGATGGGTGCCCTTTGCCACTGGAGCTCTACAAACTGAGCGATAATTGTTAGCCGAGCCAAGATATGAACCGGATCCCGCCAAGGTTTAACGAGGCGACCCGTTTCTAGCCAGGTAATGCTTGACGAATATCCGCAATGATGTAGATAGTATGGGCACAAACTTGAAAGCAATGTAGTACTTTTGCACCAAAAAAGCTTTTGAGGTCCCTCATTTTGTCTTGTCTTTCAAGTTTGGTATACTATATGTGCTTAATTATTCATACGTTAGTTAGGCACCAGCCAGGTGCCCACAACGTGCCTTTTTGAAGCCCTCGTCATGTCCTCTTGAAATAATTAAGCGATTGCGTTCCACATAATATGAATACACATGCTATAAGATAGGCCAATATACCGTCACTGTTTTGCATTGTGAATCTATCCAGGTTCGTAGTATATGGCGAAACTCTAGATAATCAGGTATTAAGCGTATTTCTGCACTTTCACTTTGATTTCTTACCTCGACTCTCGAACGTGAAGGACAACAAATGTTATGTAGTACTGAATGCCATTGTACTCAGCATCTGTACGGGATGGCATTGTGCCAGTCAACCCAGCAGTCCAGGAGCACCCAACCTGTCGATACTGCGTGGCTATACGCGTCCCTAACTCGATACCTGAACCAGTCAGTCCCGAGTATAGTTTGCAAATAAGTGATACGTTAAGGGCGGTAAAGAGAGAGGGGGGGAGAGAGGGAAGTAATGAGCTAACAGTGAGCGAAGTTCTTGAGGCCCCCTTCGATGGTACCTTTGATTGTAGTAACTATCTACGGGTGGGGAATATTATTGCTCTGCTCGCATATCGAGTGTTGCGCCTGGTCTTTTGGGCGCACTCCTTCGGCTCGCGTTTCATTCAGTTCCTATCAGAAATTTGCGGGCCATCCAGGCAGAACCGTACTCTTCATATTCCTCTTTGGTCACGCACAGCGAGTTGAAAGAATCGGACCTCGCAAAATTGGCGGCTCCTTGCCAAGTACTCGTAATCGGGTCTGCAGGGCGGGCCACCCTGACAACGCACTCGTCAGGCACAAGCTGATCAATTTCCTGTTGCAAGCGCCGTATGAAGCCTTCAAAAAGAGCATTGCCTCCAACCACGATGATGTTGGCAAGCAGTCCAGGCCAAAGACCCACTGGAAGAACCTGCAGTGACTCCACAACCAAGTTGGCGATGCCAGACTGGCGCAAGCCAATATCCGAGGGATGGAAAAGCAGTTCTGGGACCGTGAATCGCTCGTTCCGCAGTGTCAAGACATCTTCACTAATCTCTCCTGCGCGCGCAGCTGCCAGCTTTCTTGCTCGGGAGGCTTGCGACACATCGTACTCGCGGACGATGCCTTTTGATCTGGTATGGAAATCCGGCAATACATAGTCCTTTGCTATGCCACCACCGTCTATGTAATCTTGCCTCTTCTCCCCTCTGGTGCCTTTCCATGTCTTCTCGAGATCTCGATTGAAATCCAAAGACACATAACAAGCCTGCTCCTTCATCTCGTTTACAATGTACGTATCGTTGCGCATGTCGTAATGCCTGAGGGACAAAAGTCGAGCCAGGTAGTTCGTCATGAGTTTCCCGCCAACATCCAGGCGCCTTATCGCTGGGTGAACAGGGCGACCACGAATCAGAGGCGTCACTGTCGTATGTGAATGGCCCGAATCGATCAGCATCATGATCTCCACGGGCAGCTGAACAACCGTGTCGGAGGGGCGGGGGGTCCGTAATATAGCCTGTATATCATGGTATGCATTGAAGGATGGCCCGTTTCCACGATAGTAGCTCGCAAATCCGAACTCTTCAAAGACCATTTGATCTGTATGTGTCTGGAGGACGGGCAGAGAGCTGGACGGCTCAGCGAGAAGTAGCCGGGTCTCGGAGGGGTCGCAGCGCTGGGGGGCATCATCCTCCATGAACTCGTTCGCCCAAATGGTACTTTGCGCTTCCCAGTTTACCACAAAACCTTTCTCAACTGGCCTGCGAAAGGCAATCTCTCCAAAATCTTTGCACTTTTCGAGCTCGGAACCGACGTAAACTTTGCGATCGGCATCGCGGGCGATGCAATTTGGTATCACCCTGGGTTTGTCGATCGCCTCCTCGGTCACGTATCCTGCCTTGATCGTGTAGGCACCATTGTCGAGAACGAGGGTCTTGGAGAGCTGCGATGGACGCGAGGTCTTGGGCTTGCGCGGAGCCATGATGAAGTTGGCTGCGAGGCCCGCTGTCGTTGGATCAAAATCCGTTTCAGAGAAATCGTATGCCTTACTGGTCACATAAAGGCAGATCGCGTAAGCACATGTATGCCCTCAAATCGGCGTGGCTTTCTGCCTCAGCCTGTATGATCCGCGATTCGGCATGTCTCGCCAACTTCTGTTAGGGAAAAAAAAAAAAATTGAATTGCTGACCTCCTACCTAGGTCTCCATTGCTTGAAAGCAATTGTTGCATTACCTAGTAGCTTTAGGAAAGCGAGCTTTGCACTTTATTAAAGCGCTGGGGAATTTTTAGCGGAGACTTCGGGGGACCGTTAATTTAATTCTCACTACTAGGTAAGTACCTACAAACCTAAGTACCTAAATCCACAGATTACTGCGTAAGTGCTACATGTAGGTAGCTAGGTAGTAGTAGGTACCTGATTAGTACCTAGTCACGGTGTGTGGAATACCGGTTTTTTTCACAAAGTTCGCGGACTCACTTTCACTTAGGGGGACTAGTGGGCCCCTCAATTAGCTAAGCATACAAGGGGTCTAATATCAAAACAATGGTGCACAACGCGTTGATCGCGATCTTTTTACGCATAATAGCAGCTTTTAATTAAAGTTAATCCAGCTTAATTAGCGATGGATTTTAGTGTTCTATAGCGCTTGCCGCTAGGCCTAATTAATGCGAATGCCTTTAATAAAAGGCCCCCTAACTCGGATAAGCGCCAGCCGGCTATAGCTATAAAGCCTATACGGCATTAATATACCACACACTATATTATATTACGCATATTATTATAGCCACGCTTACACCCTTAATTTGCTATATTAAATTTCTAAATATACGAAAATACGCCAAATTATATTTTAAATCCTATTATAATTAATTTAATTAGTTAATTAAAACTCCCGATTTTACCGATCCCAACCTAACCGAGTATTTTACCTTCCGAATCCGGCCAATATATCCCCTCCGATAATAAATTCGATGCTATATTTAGTAATAAAAAAAAAGGCAAGAAAACTTTAAATCTAAAATAATTAATTATATATAAATTAATTTAAGCCGCTTTATTAGCTAATAAAAATAAATATAAAAAAGGCAAATATAATAAATATATTATTATAAATAAAAAAAAGGTTATTATATAAATATATTAGCACCGTATATAATTTAACCCTAATAAACCGCTTCGTCGATTATTAAGGCATCCACTAAATAAAAAAAAAACGGAATATATTATAAATCACCTATATTATAAAAAGCTTCTAAATTCTTTAATATTATAAATATTACTTTATCCGGCTAATAAAGGAATAAAAAGAAAATATTATACGGCAAGGATATAGAGTATAAGCCACGATTCCCTAAATTAAAACGTAAATTAATATAAGCGTTCCTTTAGCGCCGGGTAAAAAATAAAGTTATATTTATAGGCTGGTTTAGATGCGCTATTAAGCGATTATATAAAACCCTATATATTAACGAAAATGCATTATATAAGCTAACGGCTATATAATACCTTTTATTAATATTTTTTAATAGCTGGTTTATTCGTTTCCGAATCCGGTGGAATTTATCGTTATAGCGAATTATATTAAAAAAAAGTATATTATTAAAAAACTATAAGCTATAAGCTAAAAAATTTATTAAATTTATACGCAAAATAGCCTAATTATAAAGCGTTAAATAGCTTATATATTATTTACTAAAAATTATATTTAATATAAATAAAGTCCTTATATTATTCGAATTCCTTAATAGCTATATTTATAATATAATCGGGGCTAAGGATATAGCCGGCAAAAGCACTAAAAATAAATAAAATAAGCGTTAAATTATATTTATATTATATATTTTCGATAACGGTATATAGCGCTTAAAGCCTAAGCTAATTTTTTACGGCACCGCTAAAAGCTTAATTAATAAAAATAAAAGGCATTTATAAAATAAAGCCGTTACCGTTAAATTAAATAAAATAGCTTATAATAACAAAAAATTAATTTACGTATAATTGGATAAAGAACTAATCCTATTAAAAAACTCCATAAGGAGGGATTTTATATTCGTATAAAATATAGCGAGGTTTTATAAAACTAATACTTTTAAAAAAAAACTTAAGCAAAATAATATTTTGCCGGCTATAATTCCTCCTAATTGCATTTATATACTTTAACCTTTAAATATATATATTAATTTACCGCTAAAGGTAAAGCTACGAAAATTTACCGATAATTATATAGCTAAAAAAAAAAGGATTTAATATTTATATAAAATATATTAAAGCGCCGGATTATAATAACTTATATAATTGCTTAAGTAATTTAATATTTCCAAAATTATAAATTATATATCGTTAAAAAGTTATTTAAAAATATTAATATTAGTATTTTACCTAATAAAGCTAAAAATAATAATATTAAAATTAAAGGCATCGACTCTAAAAACCTCAAGCTCGATAATTAGGCTATTACTATTAACCCTAGCATTAAATTCGAAAACTATAAGCGGAAAATGCTAGCATAAATAAACGAAATATTATAAATTATATATATAAATAAAAATTATATTAATTAATATCGCGGATTAAAAAATAAAAAGCTACGTAAATTTATTAAATATTTAGGCATTAATATAAAGGGATTAGGCAAAATAAAAAAAAAATAATAATATTACTACAAAAGCACAATATAAAACGGAAAAGGCTAATAAAAAAAAAGGAAATTAATATAATTTAACGCACGGGCTATATCCCATATAAAAGTATAATTTTTAAAAACTTATCGGATTTAAGCTTTTTAAAGGTAATTAAATCTGCTTAATATTATTTATAAACTAATTATGCTAATTTATAAATATATCGGCGTTTTATACCTAAATTAACATTTAATTTGCTATACTTTTTATTAGTCCGGATAAGCATATACCGTAATTTATAGGCAAATAGGCGGTATAGCAAATCCTTTGCGATCTTCCTATCCTCCTTTTTAACCTATCCGTAATATATAATTATCGGGGGCTCGTTTAGGTCCTCGTTATCGTACGTAATAAATAAAATGCCAATCTTTTAGGGAAAGGCGGGATCGGTGGTTAAGCGGATTAAAAGGTAATAAGGCTCGTCGAAGGCAAACGGCTCGTCCGGATTCGCATTATAAATAACGTCTACACATTAATTATTAGTAAAAATCAATAAAAATCTATCGTATAATAACCTTATTTATAAATAATTCGAACGTAAACTTTATTTATAGTTTTTTTTTATAGCATATAATTTAAATATGTTTTAGCTAAAAAAGCTTATAGCAGCTGGAGTAACGTTGGATAAGTGGGTCAAATTGAGGGGCCCACTAGTCCCCCTAAGTGAAAGTGAGTCCGCGAACTTTGTGAAAAAAACCGGTACATATGTAGCTGCGACGAGAATCATGCGCCGCACATAACAATCTACAAGTTATGTAGTACAACGTTTCCAAAATACCAGCCCTCGCTGGCGGCCCTTTATTTGGGCTGAATACCGAGGTGCGTTCATATAGGCATTATAAGTATAACATCTCACTGCACTTGATTTACATGAAACTCCTTGCTACCTTATATTTGTTGTAAAGAAGATGGCGTTCAAGCTCCAATGTATTATCTGTGCCATATACCTACCCAGGTATGTTTACATTGTCAACATCATCAAAAGGGCATATGATACGAAGCAAAGATATAGTAGAGTGTTATTCATCGTATCCGACCTGACAAAAGCTACATACCTTAGGAACCCACTTTGAATTATTATTGTAAAAGGAAAAGCATCGTGCGTACACACTTGCCCTACTTGGCTGATCGGTCTCTATGCGCCATGCAGTGAAAGAAGGCGACCCTAGATTGTAGGTCTTGAAAACTGAAATGAGTGGAGAGTGATTCTCTTCTCCAGCCTGCCCGCTTTTTTTTTTCCTCTTTTATGTAATGAAGAAGAGGAGATTGCAGGACTTTATACTGCTATCCTTTCGAAATAGAAGAAAGCTGCAAATGCTACCCCTACAACCCATGAGCGATAACTTGCGAGTGCGTTTGGTGGTAATAATTGGGAGACGTTTGAAGAATCTGGATCAGTACAGTTCTCTGATCCGTCGACCCCGTGCAGAGCACCCTGTTTTGGTTAACGGCAAAGTGAGAAACTCTAGAGTGATGACACTTACAATCACATGAGGTCTGAGTAGAGCCTTCATGGTGTACGATGCAGTAGCCACCACCACAGACTCGGCATCGCAACTGTGTTTCAGCAATGCACTCGAGGCAGTTTGTCTGGCATTCCCAGCAATCGCGCTTTATCTTGGGAGTCTATATGTGTATATGCACATCAGCAAGCAGTTACCTCGAATGCGTGTAATGCGCCGGGGTTCATGGTCAAAAATTCCGCTGCATAGGATTCCAGGGAGTCATGAGATGCTGAATCATGAATGCAGACTCAGGTAATCAGGTCTCATCCTGTCTGATCCGGAAGAGAGAAGGCATGGCCGTAGATGTTTAGGACGGATTGAGGTGTAGAAGGGAAGGCCAAGTTTGCTCTTTCAAAACCTGGCATTCTATACAGGTATGATCCCGTACCTTGATTTTCAGAGCTTCCATCTGCTGAAGTACTTCGTAATCAGCTGCTTCGTTCGAATCCTGCACAATATGGACATGCTGCGCTGCTTGTAGCTCGGCGCTGGTGGGAGCTTGGTAGCAAGCCTCGCACCACCACTGCAGACAGCTGAAGCAAAAGCGATCTCGTACACAGTCCCAACAACGTGGGACAAACTTGGCAGCATTCGACCCGTCTTTGCTTGTTGACTCAGGCCGACAGGCCGTCTTCACGCTGGAGGAATGCAGTGGCACAGGCGCCAGCAGCGGAAGCTGCTCGAAAGGAGAATCGCTATACGATGTGAAACCCTCGGGGGCGCAACCACAGGTAGCGCAACCACCCAGTGCAAAAGTCGCAATATTCCATGGGTGGTTCGCTCCCGGAACACTCGCAACTGGCACCTTTCCGAATGCCACTGAGTTCTGATGTCGAGGGCCAGTACAAAGGCAAGCGTCGAATTGAATGGCGCCGCGGCAGTCCAGCATGGTAGCAGCCCACCCATCAACAGCGATGGGCTTGGTGCTGACTTTACCTCTTCGGTGGTACCAATCACTCCCACTAAGATTCATGCTCTCTTTCAAAGCATGACTAGACTTGTGGTTCCAATTGATACTAATGTTTGGGCTCGCAACAGGAGGCGGCGATGCTTTCGACACTGCAGGCGAAATGGATGGCAAGTCTTTCGTCCCGAAGACGTAAAGACCTTTTAGACGAGGAGTGCCCTCAGGCCGACCGGGGCGACACGCGTATCGGAGCGTCTGCATCAGTCTACATCACGCAACTAATGTTAGTATGTGGATAAGAGGCGATTGCGCTCCTTCCATAGGAGCTGCATTCTCACTAACCTTCGTTCATTTAGATTCCTCGTCCCGCGTACCGAAAGGATGCGGACTTGGTACTTGGGATCAACAAGAATCTCGTGGACAAGGTCCGCTGTCACCGACAGACCATCAAGCACAAGTGTATGCACATTTTGCAGCACATTAGTTCGTTGCAGATTGTAGAGAATACCCCTCAGCGGACCCGAATAGAATTCATCCTCAGTAACATTCTCGTCCAGCTGGACATTGCGCCAAACCTCTCCGCCACGGTCTATACCAGCAATGTCGAAGGTGGCAGACTTGCAGCTGCTCAGATCGACGTATCGGAAGACACCAGGCGTGTCATAAAGAAGATTGCGAAGCGTTCTTGAGGAGGCAGAAAGGTTGAGCAGAGCAGATATAGGGAGGAAGGGTACGATTTCGTGAAGTATGAGACTGTTGGAGAGCAAGTCAAAGAGATTCAAATCGGGTAAGTCGGACGAAGCGCGCGTGGTGTGTAGAGTGGCCACCGGTGCCATTACACTTCAGTTGCCGCTAAGTGGATTGTATTTACACTGCTGACTGCACGATATTTCAGCGGACGGTCTGGGAGTCCAAATGTCAACCAGCAGACGTCGGTGTCGCGGATAGCTCGATAAAATGGGCCAGCGGTGATGGTAGGTGGGTACCTATGCAAGTTGTGGATAGGTAATGAGGATGACGATATCAATCAAACCAATTCATACGAATCAGTGAACGGGCAGAAAGATCTAAAGGGACGGCCAGGAGCACAGCTCCTACTAATATGTAGTCAAGAGAGAGTGAAAAGTTGAGCTTTGCAGAATCGGAGTACGACAGTAGGCAGGGCAGAACCTTGAACTGCTTGATAACGGGCGCAAGTCGGTCAAAAATGATTAGATCAATGGCAGCAACATCGTGCTGATTATAACAAAGCAGAAAGAAAAAAAAAATCTCCGGATACCGGACGTATGATAGCAACTCAGTCCATACCTACAAATGGTAGGTACTGTGTAGGTAGGTGCTGCACACAACTAAACTTGGGTACTAATAGTAATGGCTGGCACCAATAACCTTGGAATACGACATCAAACTCGCCAGTGGGAGCAGGGACCCCCCACCCCAAACCAGTGAGGATTGACTTGGCAGGTTCTAGAGCCAAGACATTAGCTGCACAAAGGGTATCACCCGTCTGACGTTGCATAGGTTCAGACGGGGTTGAGCGCGGGACGATCTCTTGGAACTTGCTTCTCTCAGCGTCTCCGAACAATAAAGATCGCTGCAATATTAGAGGGCTCGGACCTGGATAGCTCACCAGAGGCTGCCGAGAACACTTGGCACATGTAGTGGCCACTCATTCAAGTGCTGGCTCGTTAGCATCTCATTCAACAAAAACGACCATGCACTCTCTGGGCATTCTCAGATGTGTTTTCGTAGGTCTCAAAACGACAGGCCGCAACGGCTTGGCTTGCCAGGGGGGCCGGTGGAAAAAATGCTGATCGTAATGGACGGTATTGCACAGTATGCCTTTCTATTTCACTTGACGGCAGGTATATCCGCCCAGGTGCAAAGCGAAACATATTCGCCCATATATTGGTTCTCTCCAGAGCTCATTGACAATATCAAACACAAGCTTGCAATCTGGTAAAGTTTACAGGTATATAGCTTAGGCGGCATTAGATAATACTTATGTACTCATGCAGACTGCAGCACATCTTGATGTGGTGTACAGAGTAGTAGTGCAGTGATCATAATCGTCAGTACTTACTTTGCAGAGTGTGCTCTTTCGTGGAATACCTAGTTAATGTACGGGAAGTGTATCTATGCACGTACCTGGCAAGTAGCTACGAAGTATAGGTTAGGAATATAAATAACCTACCCCATACATTATAGTCAGAACGTACTGTCCACTGCGTACATATAAGATAAGTCTGGGGACATTTGTCTGGATATCTGATCATGCTTGTGAGACTACTATCATGAACTTAGGCAATAAGGTAGGCGACCTGTTGCCATTGGTAGTAGCCATTGAATCCAGGGTGTATCCTACGTACCTAGGTAGGCAAATAAGCAGGCAGGTAATGTTTCCAATTTCCGTTTATCTAGTTGCGCCTTCTGTTATGGTTTATAGCAACTTGAAATGCTTCAATGGAAACAAACCCCTACCTAGTATATAATGTAGGTGATATCAGTCGCTTGCTGAGCATGCGCTTGAAGGCTAAGCGTTCAGGTGCTCAGATGTGCGGATCAGCGCTTAAATTTCTGTCTCTAACCGTGAGTAATGTCTTAATAAAATCCAAGGACAACTTAAAGTCTTAGTAAAAACGCGTAATTTCGTGCTTCTTGCCGTTAAGTATCTTTAATGAAGTCGCTTGCTACACTAACTACTCTATACAATCTCACTTGGCAAGAAATGTACATACTACTAGGTAGGGTAGATTGCTATGTAGGTAATACTTCATGTTCAAAGGTGCATAACTCGACCACAGTCAGCCACTGCGGCGGAAATTTCCAACGGCCTTCACTACACATTACAAGTCGTCTCATTAACTCCCATGTGGGCGTCTGGGAATTGCGTCCGTTGATCACGAAACCGCAATATATGGTAGGAGGAGAGCAATGTTGCTAATATAATAATAGCTAATTGAATTCCCATAGCACAGACTCTCCAGTCGGCGTGGCCGCGATCCACTGGAGTGGTGCATGCTGTCTTGCAAGTCAAGGACCCCGCCATTCAATTTGTCTCTTCCAGCGGAGTACCTGCGTACTGGACATAGGTACAATTGGTGCATACGTATGTAGGTACCTAGTAGTTAGTAATTGTCACTATCAACCGCGCGCAGGCAACATGACCAAGACGTCATCATGGCCGTGGAAGGCTGAAGAATACTTCTCTTCCAACTTACACATACTAGTATGGCTTCTCCCATCCGTAACGCTGCTGACAGACACTTCTTTACTTCTCGCCCCCCCTCATTTTGACGACCATGTCGATGACAAACCGACAGACGGAGCATTAGGGTCTTCATTCACTCGCCATGTCAGAGCGACCCGGTTATAATTCTTTCTCTCCTTCAAACGCAGTCCATCTGTTGTGTGGACCAATTCCACCCCGATAAACGAGCCCCAAAGTGTGTCTCCATATCGATCGACGCAGATAGATTACTGCATTCGTTCCAAAACTCTCGCTGTCTTTGGGACGACAAAACAAGACTACTGGCTACTTGAATCACGTCAAGACAAAGTTCCAGTTTCACTGACCGAGAACTCCTCCAGTTCACGACAATGGCAGAACAGGAAGAGCTGTCCCTAGATTGGAGCGCAACCTTCGTCGTCGCCAGCCCGTCCACATATAAGTCGAGAGACCTCAGAGGCGACAAGATTATACTACCACAGTCAGCCCTAGAGCAGCTGCTTGCGGCTTCAACAACCTCGACAAGATTTTCGCCATCGACATCCACGGCCTACGACCGGTCGAATCCATACGCGTCCCCCTTCGGTCGCTCCCAACATGCATTCCAGCCCGACTCACACCAACAGCTACCCAACCCGCTCATGTTCCGCTTGGTCAACAAAGTCAACGGCAATGCCGTTTACGCTGGTATCCGCGAATTCTCGGCCGAAGAAGGCGAGGTCATCCTCAGCCCGTACCTGACGGAAGCTCTCGGCATTGATCACAATACTATGCCGGGTACGACCAATGACAAAATACCTGAGAGCGTATCGAGCACGGAAGGCGCGCTGTCAGCTTCCATAACTATCCACGCAAGACGCTTGCCGAAAGGGACATATGTCCGTTTGAGACCCCTAGAGGCTGGATATAACCCAGACGATTGGAAATCCCTCTTGGAGCGGCAACTGCGGGAAAGCTTCACAACTCTGACCAATGGCGCATTTCTAGAAGTTCGGGGCGTCAAAGGCGAGATTTTCCGATTTCTCGTCGACAAATTTCGACCAGAAGTAGACGGCATTTGTGTGGTTGACACAGACTTGGAGGTAGACATCGAGGCGCTCAACGAGGAGCAGGCCCGAGAGACAATGCGACAGATTCTAGCCAAGTCGCAAAAGGCCCATGGTGCTGTCGGGCAAACTTCTATTGGACATGAGATCAATATCTGGAAGGCCGTTGAGGGCCAGGTCTTGCCTGGCGACTATGTTGACTATGAGCTACCCTCCTGGAGCCGATCACGGCCGGTTGAGATTGAATTAACTTGTTTGAGCTCAAATCTTGCGGACGCGGTCGATATTTTTATCAGTCCTAAATCACGGCGACAACGTGCTGTTCCAAGGGAGACGGAGCATGTTTTCGCAGCATTTGAAGCTACACCTAACGGGACCAAGCGTGTGACGATTCAACCTACCAATGTCGAGTTGGAGGAGGCGGAAGCCGTTCTCGTCTCCGTTCATGGCTATATCCCGCCAACTGGTCTGCCTACAGAACCTTTGGCAGTTCCGTTCAGACTTCGAGTCAGATCCGTCACTGGAAGCTCGCCCACCCCAGCCGAGACGGCAAAACCCGAGCAGGAGACTCTAGATGATGAACAGTGCCAGAATTGTCGCCAATGGATACCAAAGCAGACTATTGTCCTGCATGAAAACTTCTGCCGACGCAACAATGTAGCCTGCCCCGAGTGTGGCGAGGTGTTCCAGAAGGCTTCAGCCGAATGGTCAGACCACTGGCACTGTCCTCATGATCAGGCGCATGGTTCAAATGCGGCAAGCAGGGTCCGACATGATGATATCTACCACACACAGCGACAATGTCCATCATGCCCGTTTTCGTCAAATTCGATACCCGATCTCGCGCGCCATCGGACGACACTGTGTCCTGGGAAGACTATACTCTGCCAGTTCTGCCATCTTGAAGTTCCGCAGGAGGGTGATCCATTTAACCCATCTCCCGAAACTCTCCTCTCCGGACTATCGGAGCACGAAATAGAGGATGGTGCCCGAACTACTGATTGCCACCTCTGCGGCAAGATTATTCGCTTGCGAGATATGTCGGCGCATTTGAAAAATCACGAACTAGACAAGGCACACCGCATAAAACCACAAATATGTCGAAATGCCAACTGCGGACGCACTGTCCATGGAGTGGGCCGGAACGGCTCTGTTGGTGCTGGCACGCAAATGGGTCAGGGGCCTGGGAACGACCTTGAGCTCTGTTCCATGTGCTTCTCGCCATTGTATGTCCAGTTCCACGATCCCGAGGGCAAGGCGCTTCGTCGACGCATCGAGCGGCGGTACCTCACGCAAATGATGCAAGGATGCGGGAAGAAATGGTGCACCAATGAATGGTGCAAGACAGGCCGATCCAATACGGGTCTCGAGATCAAGGGCTCAAGTGCTCAAGCTGTGTTGCCCTTGATCAAGCCGCTGATGGAGTCGGTGCGGAACAACCAAGAGCCCATGTACTTTTGCGTTGATGAGACGAATCAGCGCAGAAGGAAGCTGGCTGAGATGATTGCAGCAGAGAAGGCATGGGATCTTGAATGGTGCATTGCAGCATGCGAGGCCGAAGGCCCCATTCTGGATAAAGTCCGTGAATGGTTGCTCAACTGGGCTCCTATGACGGCATGAATCTCACTCTGCAATTAGCACTTAGCAATGGTGGCGTTGATGGCTTTAGACAATCAGGATCGTTTTTTCCACCTTCATTCACCTGTTCAATGTGGCTGGGTTTTGTAGATCTGGCCCAAGCCTTCGCAGGATACAGAATACCGGCAACTATACATTATTAAGATACCCAAACTAAATCATAGACTGCTACATATGTGGCAAACATAGCATACGCAGCATCATATATAGATAAGAGAGACTCGACTTGGTGATCATGTGCTCTAACAATTGTCTTGCTTCAAAATGTCCATTCATTGTCAGGATATACCATCATTTGCAACAGTCCATAATACTACTCTAGTCCCCTAGGTAGATGGATAGAAAGCGCTCGTGAACAATGTTTGCAATTTTGCAATAACTCAAGCCATGAACTAGTTGTTGATTGAGACGCTTACCCCGCAATTGTCAGCTGTCAAGGAACCATGGAGTACTAAGTAGGCATATAATCCAGCGAATACATACATATGAAGTAGTAATGTCCCCATGCTCTTTCATAGTTTGCGCCGCCCGGATGTTCAAACGCTAGCAGGCCATCCTTTAGTGCGTCTGTGGAGATGGTATACCTGCCTCGATAGACTATTCCTATCGACGGGCGTTGTTGCTGGGGCCACTGACCTAATGTCGGCTGGCATCTACACGTCAATTCCACCAACCAGATGCCTGTGATGCTTTGCAATCCTCCACGGCTGCTCGGTGCGCGGAGCCGTAGTCCAACGCAAGCTCTCATGCTCGTGCTTAACCGACATGGCTCAGTCTTGACGACTAATAACAGCGTCTTGGGGCCTCTTCAAAAGGTGCGCGGCCTCCGCATGGTCAATCGAAACATCGCGCTGTTCCTCCATCTTGACTGAGTCAATCGCTTGTCTAATTGTCGATATGGGCACTGTCACACATCTACTGCTGTGCCTGGCCAGCCTTTTCTATGTTTCCGTTCATTGCCTTTCGTTGGGAGGGAAACAGTATAAAGTATTGCATTCAGACAGACGGGATGCATTACAAGACTTGGTACTGCTTGAGCAAGTCATGGGGAAAGAGATTGACGCTAATTCTTTAACAGGTAACATGGGACGAGCACTCACTCTTTGTCCGTGGAGAGCGTGTCATGTTTTATTCCGGAGAGTTCCATCCCTTTCGACTCCCCGTACCTGGGCTATGGCTGGATGTCTTCCAAAAAATCAAAGCTCTTGGCTACACCGGTGTATCCTTTTATGTTGACTGGGCGCTTCTTGAGGGAAAACCCGGCCAGTTCTCTGCCGAAGGTGTCTTTGCTTTGGAGCCTTTTTTCGAGGCAGCAGCCGAGGCTGGAATCTACCTATTGGCTCGTCCGGGGCCATATATTAATGCAGAAGTATCCGGCGGGGGGTTCCCCGGCTGGCTCCAGCGAAATCCTGCCACGTTGAGAACAAATGAGACTGGGTATGTCGATGCCACAAAGAATTATGTCTCACACATTGGCCAGATTATCGCAAATGCCCAGATTACAAACGGTGGTCCAGTTGTCTTGTTTCAGCCAGAGAATGAGTATACTTTTGGAGCAAACTGGGTCACTTGGCCAGATGTTGAATACATTGAAACGGTGAACGATCTGTTCCGTGCCGCAGGAATAGTCGTTCCCTTCGTGAACAATGAAGCAGCAATCATTGGGCTTTTTACCCCAGAGAAACCTGGCGGTACGTGCAAAATTACCAATATCTATCTTGTCGCGCAATCAAACTAAAAAAAAAAATTTGACTACAGGACCTGATATCTATGGCCACGACAGCTACCCAATCGGTTGGGATTGTGCTCACCCAGCCAATTGGACTGCCGGCAACTTGCCAACCGATTGGCGGGAACTTCATTTGCAACAGAGCCCGACGACCCCTTATGCCATTCCAGAGTTTCAAGGTGGTGCTATTGACAGTTGGTACAGAGATCCCGCTAGTCACAATATATTGTCATCTACTGATCCCCTACACACAGGGCGGGCACCGGCTTGGAAGGCTGTGCTTCTCTCACAAATCATGAATACGAGCGCCTCTTCTTTAAGAATGACTTCAGTTTTGGTGTTGCCATTCTCAATATCTACATGGTCTGTCAGCCCTCTCCAGTTGGTACAAGATGTATTGACATCCACGAATGTCTGCTAACGGCCAATGAAGACATATGGAGGGACAAACTGGGGCAATCTGGGCCAATCTGGTGGCTACACATCGTATGATTACGGTTCAGCCATCAAGGAAGACCGCACCATTGCACGAGAAAAGTACGCCGAGGCCAAACTGATTGCTCACTTTATCAACTCTTCCCCGGCATATCTCAGCGCAACCCCCGGCAATCTCACAAACAATTCATATGTCAGCACTTCCGAATTGACGACCACACCGATCTTCGGCTCCGACACGACATTCTACGTTACTAGGCACTCTGACTATACCTCACTCGAATCGACCCCCTACACTTTCTCAGTCGCAACTAGTCAGGGTAACGTGACAATTCCGCAGCTTGGTGGTTCTTTGACCTTGAATGGGCGAGATTCCAAGATCCATACTACCGATTATAATATTGACGGAGTCAACCTTATTTATTCTTCGGCAGATATTTATGCTCATTCCTGGAGTGGCAACAAACGTATCTTGATCTTATATGGGCTAGAAGGAGAGACTCATGAGTTAGCTTTCCTCTCAAGCCTGGGGGAACCGACGGTAGAGGGCGATCATAGCACGGTCAAGATTGCCAGCCAGAGAGCAACGATGATCGTCCAATGGCAAGTTACACGGGAAAGAAAGGTTCTACACTATGGCAGCGACTTGGATGTTTACCTGCTATGGCGCAACGATGCCTTCAAGTATTGGGTTCTGCAGCTTGAGGCACCAGCACCCATTGGCAATTACTCTTCGCAGACCAAGGAAACAGTCATAGCTAAGGCTGGATACCTCCTTCGAACAGCCACCGTCTCGGGGACAGCACTTAAGCTCACGGGCGACAACAATGCTACGTCCGAGCTAGAAATCGTCGCTGGTTTCCCTGACAGCGATGAAGTCTACTTCAATGGTCAACGTCTTGACTGCACAAGGTCATCAAATGGCCGATTATCCGCACCACTGCCATTTGATGCGCCAAGAATTGACCTGCCAGACTTCGAAGCGCAGGAGTGGAAATTTATCGACTCACTCCCAGAAATACAGCCAACTTATGATGATAATTCATGGCCTCTTGCCGACCACGAGACAACAAACAATACCGCCCGAGATGATAATGGGACAAAATTCACTCTCAGGACGCCTACCAGCCTTATAGCGAGCGACTATGGCTTTCATACAGGCTCTCTTATATACCGTGGCTCCTTTATTGCCAACGGCAACGAGTCGTCATTGTATCTTTCGATAACAGGAGGGTCTGGATTTGGGCATTCTGTCTGGATTAATTCCAGTTATGTCGGTTCGTACACAGGGTCAGGCTCGGCGAAATCGTTTAACCAAACGCTGGTGCTGAGCAACGCGAGCGGAATGCACTTGGTTAGAGGCGAAAGATATGTCTTGACTGTTTTGATTGACCATATGGGCCAGGAGACAAGCTGGACTCCAGGTTACGATACAATGAAAACTCCCCGCGGAATTATCGACTACCAACTATCAGGACATGCACAATCAGACATCACTTGGAGGTTGACAGGCAACTTTGGCAACGAAGACTACGCGGATCATGTTCGTGGTCCTTTGAACGAAGGTGGCATGTGGGCGGAAAGACAAGGGTTCCATTTACCTGCGCCCCCAGCAGACGAGTGGGAAGCAGCTTCGCCGTTTGGCTACATTGGGGCACCTGGAGTTGGCTTTTACACCACCAAGTTCAACCTCGACATTCCCGACGGCTGGGACATACCTCTGAGCTTCGACTTCAGCAACAGTACTAGGGATGATGGTATGCCTCTTGATATTAGAATTCAATTATACATCAATGGATGGCAGTTTGGCAAGTACATCAACAGGCTTGGACCTCAGCAGAGCTTTCCTGTCCCACAAGGCATACTAGACTACAGTGGGGAGAACTATCTTGCCCTCACAGTTTGGTCCCAAGATACGGTCGGGGGCCGTCTGGGTGGCTTGAAATTGACCGCGAATGCAATCATACAGTCGGGAATGAAGCGGCCGACAATGTCTTGGAGCGACGCATGGGAGCAGCGGAAACTGGCGTATTGAGGTGTTTAGCCTTGAAAATATACAAAGAGATATATAACATAAACACATTCGACAGAAAGTGTTCTTTAACGCTTTATGATCTGGCGTCTCCATTGGTGCAGTCCACCGAGGCGTAGTTCCAGACACGAACACTGATGTGGCACAACAAAGAAATCCCACGGTGGTTCTCGCACAAGTGATTGGTTGATGTCATTGCGCAGCGCATGTAATCCAGGCAGCTTTGGTCATGCGGCATAATTTTTTTCACGGTCGTGTGACCATGTCACAAGGTTGTCCCTGTGGTGAATGGACATCTACTCAAAAGGAAAAGAAAAGAGAAGAACGCAAAGGGCCGTCATGACGGTTTGGATTGTGAGGCTACACTTCTTATTGTTTACCGGTCCAATAAACTACTTTGCTGCTCAGGGCTTGACTCTTTCCAGTTCTGATGTATAAGCGACGGTATTTGACTTGGGTACATGGTATCTCATATCATAGGCAGAATGCGACCTTGATGAAATGTTCCGATTAGGGAAATGACTGTCGAAAGCGGGGGGTCCGTATTTGCCGCCCTTTCGCTTGTCTATTTACGGGAATCCCAGGGAATTCTTCGACCTTTAACTGCAAGGGAACGGCCTTGTTTTTCTCAATACCTTCATCCACGGTTCAAAGTTCAATAAGCGCTGAAGTCGTTCATCATGCTCTGGTTCTCTAGTATTGCAGCGGTGACAGCCGCTACTTTTGCCATTGCTACAGCCATGCCGCAAGCCCAGAAGGCGGCATCCTCATACCCTGAGGTGCCCTCTCTTGTGGTCTACCAATGTCCATCCATGGCTACAATTTCGTATTCTCTATCGGTTCCAGACAGGGAACCTTTTCCGAGAACAGAGGTCGGCCTTTGCTACGATGATGTGGCCGGTTTTTTGCACATTAATTTCACGGCCTTCGATGAGCAATACTTCTACTATGACCCTGATATGGGCACCAATGATGGCCTCTACGAGTACGAAGTCATGGAAGCGTTCATCTACCGCGGCACCAATGATCCGCAAACATACCTTGAGTTTGAGGTTTCACCAGCCAATGTCACCTGGCAAGCTTTCGTTTACAATCCGTCCAAGACGCGCGAGACTGGCGCTGTTTTCGATCACTACTTTATCAATGACCCAATCTACGACGGCTTCAGTGCACAGACGGTCCTCGATCGGGCAGGCCAGACATGGAATTCCTATGTGCAGATTCCGCTGGGTCTGTTCAATATCGACTCGGGTGAGGCCAGCGGCACGGACTGGAGAATGAACTTTTTTCGCATTGTCGAGTCAGAGGATACTTTTCCAAATCAGACATATGGGGCGTGGAGTCCAGTTCCTGAGCCAAACTTCCACATGACCCCGTATCTTGGAGAAGTGCACTTTGATTGACGGAGGCGGCCGCTTCATGACAGCGGTAGGAATCCTGGCTTCATTAGGGTCTCCCCATAATGTAGCCAACCCTGGCAACTTGATTGTGCAGAGCTACGAGAACTTTGATAGCAAATGCCTACTACTACGATTATTATTATTAAGAGGTGCCATGTGGCCACTCTGTGTCGACGCTTTACGCCATCCAATGAATTGATATCACACCTCACAATCAGCCCTTCTTCATGTGTGACTGGGAATCGGTCAGGTAATCATAACATCGGGATGCAGTCGTGGTTTTGAAGATAAAATAAGTTTTCTGACATAAACCGAGAAGAACTGAATGGATATAACTGTGTTAGGGCATCACTAGAATTTGCCGTACCTCACAAGAAAGGATGCAATTTCCACTTATTCAGTCGCCAATAGTATATAATACACACATATAACTCGTTCTTGAACGGCTATCACACAGTAGCTCGTGCGTCAACATCGGACTGGTGATATCGGGCAGGCGATTTTTTGATCAAATACTCACTACCTCGAGATTGCAAAGATTTAATCAACAACTTACTTTTCAAAGGCTAATATGTTGCCATTGATCTGGTTAAAGTTGGAAATGCGCAAAAGAGGCCCATGATCAGCAACAAGCGGTACAGTGAGTTGTCACTTCTTTGATCATGTATGACCGCTGAACGATGTATATCGTGCTATAGAAGTTTGTTTGTCCATCAAAGCATACTCACTGGTAAGGTGATCTCAAGTTCCAGCTTGGCCAAATTCCCCCATCAACCCGCTAACAATGTTCTTTCAAAACATGAGTCATGTACAAGTGTTATACTCTGACTGAACATTAACCGGAAGTCCCTGCATAAGTACTTGATCGTACCAAGGCAATTGCAATATTCTTGGATAACATTAGCCCAAGAACGGCCGCTGATGCAGAACAAACACTTGAATCGCCTGTAGGCATTAACCAAGGCAAACGCGTGATCGGATGCATCACGAGTGTTGTACCGCCAATCCATAGTGCATGTGCAATATCAAAAAAGTGATATATACCAATGAGCGAGCAAGGCGGACGATATCTGACGAATGGATATATAAGCACAAGATTGCTTTTTGCAATATCTGGAAAATCCCAAGCGTGGGAAGACGTTTGACTGGTCCGTAGGCATAAGTCACACATATCAAGCTATGCTGGAGTAGCGGGCAGATGTCTCAATCAACCAAGACCATGATAACATGACTTAGGAACTGCAATATCAAGCAATAACAGGTTGATCTGTAAATCATTCCTTTTCGTACAGCCTGTACGTAGATAATGCAATGCCTTTTGACTTTTCATTTTTCTTTGTAGATCTTCTGAATGTGCTAATGCGTGTAAAGCAACCAATGCAACCCTTGCGTGTTTTTTGCCCTTGGGTATCATCAATGTCCGTCCTCGGATGTGGGAAAAAAAAAAAGAAAAAAAAAAAAAAAAACATTAACGCCTATGCTATAAGATTCAAATAATGCCATCGAGTCGTGCCGCAGCGCCGCGCGCGTATCAGATTTGGTGTACCAGCGGCATCGGTCCAGACCACTATGCAACGGTACTCTCTTCCGGGGCCCCCTTGTCTTTTCGTTCATCCTGCAACATGCGGATCAGTTTGTTGATAGTTCCGCCATCACGCAGCTTCTCAACCTCTCTGACGGCCTCGTCCTCTCCCATACCATCGGCAAGGTATTCCTTAATCTTGTCCCATATGACTTTACGTCGTGAGTACCACGTTCTCCCGCGTGGCTCGGGTCGCCATCTCGAGCCCCAGGTAGCGTCTAGTTCTTCAACCGCCGGCTGTCCATCTATGCCTTCACGATATTCTTTCCAGACTTCCTCAACTGTGCCTACTGTTCGGTAATCGTATGCAGGGGGACCAGGGGTTTGAGGGGTTTGTAAATTCGTTTGCTTCGGGAGGAGACGAGCATCGGTGTGTGAGCTCTGTGGCGATTGAGGCGGCCTCGCAGCACGAGGGCCAGGATGTGAGCTTGGTAGTCTGGAAACAGAGGGCGATTGTTGTGAAATCATTGGAGCGGGCGGCGCAATAGCTCTAGAGGTTCTGGGCTCAGAGTAGCCTTGTGATGATGCCTGGAATTGCTATACACGATATAGATTAGTCTCTAGTTCATTCCGGCTAGCATGGAGTGGACAGTCATAAGAGACCCCAGAGCCTAGGTAAGGGTGAGGGGGACTGGCGCAAGTCTTTGCTAGTTCAGTCTATTGAGGAGCAAAGCGAAGCAAGTCTCACACGTACCGAAGCTGCTGCTTGAAGCTGTAAGGCTTGTCCATTAAAAAGACTCGCCAGACTGGCCTTGACATCACTCAGCTGCTGTGCGATGCTCTCGTATTGTGCGGATATGGTAGCGGCATATTGCTGATGATGCGCCTGGACTTGGAGAATGGTCGCAATGAGTTGTTCCGGTGTCCGGCCGGTCAGTTGGTCCTCGGTCACCAGCAGTGGCGGTTGCGAAGGCGGGTGGGAATTCGGAAGCGGCCCAAGTGATGACATGGCGGCGACGGGAACGCCCATGCCGGGGCTCGGGGCTATACCGCCGACACTGAAGGCTGGCATGGACGGAGGACCAGCTACGGCGGCAGTCGCTTTGGCCGTGGCATGTCGCTTGGATGGCGTGGCTTGGAGGCCGGCAGTTCGCTGCAAGTCGGATGCAGCCGAGCGCTTTGATCCTGCAGCGACCGTATTGGGGGTTGGTATGCCGGCTGATGGCGAGGACAGCATCGAAGGTCTATCGGGAAGACAGGAACCGAATGGGGCAAAATATCTTGTCTCTTTGGACAGAGCAAGAGTGTGCAACAACCGGCATCAGCAGTGGCAGTGGCAGCCGGCGTCGCGTGTCGGGAAATTCCCAATCTAGATCGACCAGTGGATGGATGTTTGGATTGGGCTGACGGAATGACAGGTCAAGAGACCGAAACGTTAAAAAAGAGGAAGAAACCAAAACCCAAAATAATGCGTCGGAATAGACCAATCCAAAATATAGTGATAAAAAAGAAGAAGGGAAAGTCTTGGGGTTGTGAGAATTATGGACACAGAGAAGCGGCACCCGGACTAGCCGGGTACGGGTGTGAGATGAAGAAGAAGAAATGGAAGAAGGAGAAGAATAAGAAGAAGAGTGGTGCAAAAGTGGTAGCAGCGAAGGGGAGGTCGCGTAGCAAGAAGTGAAGAAGAAGAAGAAGAAAAGAAGAAGTAGAAGAAAATAAAGCCAAGTAACAGAGCGATAAGCGTAATGTAGCTCGTAAGCAAAAAGGGAAAATAAATCAAGATTGCTGACGAGTCACAGGTTTCTCTGGTCTGTTTGGACTCTGGGGGCGGGAATCTGGTAAGTCTGGTCTCACCCACCACTCCACGAAACCACAACGGGCGACACACTAAAAAATTACAACGGTCACGGCGTCCACCACCGCTAACCACTACCGACCGACGCCACCCTTCCAGGTTGTTCCTACACACTGCACAGTAAACCATCTTCCCCCCCTCCCCCTCCCCCTCCCGCTGGGTGTCAACGTGAGACATGCAACACGATCACGTGATTGCCATGCATGGCGTGGGCCTATATTCACCGGACGTTGGACGGATTAAAAGCCGGGTCACGCATGGAATAAGACGAAATAAATGCATCCAAACGAAGTACGTAGTGATTCCTCAGTTGCCAAAGACTGGAATGTTGGAGAGCAAGCAGACATCTTCTTCCCTTACCGCTAGTTCTATTCTGTCTTCCTAAACGTTCATCCGTCCGTACCATTTCATAAGTTGATTTATTCTCAGCCAGCATAAATACTTATTATTGGCTTACATGTAAATCTACGATTACTTTTCTTTGCTCCTGTGGCAATTTGCATCTTTTTTTTTTTGTCGTAACGGTCTTTTTTTTTTGGTTTTTGTTTTCTAAAAAAAAAAAAAATCTATATTCGGCCCTTGCATGTCAATAAAGCTTGACCGTGTGGATGCATATACTATCGCAACGGCAGCTTAAAACTCGACAAGCTTTTCTAGGCCAGTGGGAAGATTTAAAAAAAAAAAAAAAAGAAGTTCTGGCGAACGTGTTGCAAATCATGATGCTTGGTTAATTGATGACCTTCCTTGGTCACGTGGTCCCCACTGACGGAGAATACCTACATTACTATTTCTGTGTACAGAGTACAAAAAGTACGCACCCGCCAATAGGGCGCAATCCTTTCAGGCCTATATTTATTGCATGACTGGGGTACAACCCGTTGTATTTCATATATGTTCACGCTGTCTCGTTCCTTTTTCCTTCTTGATTCATGAGATACTCAAGCATATTACCTGGTAATATACTCAATAATAGTATTTTATCATTTTTGCAACAGGCTGGTGGCCTGTCCTTGTATTGAGAGCTCGAGTGAAGGCTGAAGAAATGTATTCATCACCCCTGCACTAAGGAGCAACGGAACCTGATAATCGAACCACCTACCGTGACCAACTTCTCTCGCATGACAGTTGAACGTATTTCCGACCAGCGACGGAGTTCAACTCATCTGGTCTTCCAGGAACGCATTTATATAAAGTTGCCATGTTATAAGTACTATGCCAATGTCTCTGCCAAAACGCCAATACTAGAGTTAGTAGCGAAACTGCACTATTCGAGTATTTCTCTCTCAATTCAGAATCCGGAGGATATTTCAAAGAGCAACACTAAGAGTTTCAATCTATAAACAAACACACTAAGAAGATCGAATTATTCTTGTAATCAGTCACAAAAGCACCCCAGACACCCTACAAGCCGCCGACTTACAGACGTCAGCCCATCATGCAACCATCACAAAGGCTCATGCTACGGCCAACATCGAGGTTGCTTAGCAGCCCATCCAACTCGCACACGCATGGTATTATCAGCAAACTGCGCCAAATGAAGAAGCACGCGCCACAAGAGGTGTATCCTCTTTTCTTTGCTTGTGGTTTCATGCTCACGGTCATGATCTCCACGGGCGTACATAAGCTCATCACCGACCGGAATCTTAGGAGGGCTCGACAAAACAGAAGGGAGTGACAGCATTAAGAACAAGTTGAATATTCATCGTCAACTATACTTGCGTCTACGGCGAGAGGAATACAGCTCCAATGTATGATTCACATTGGCGACTTGAGTTTAGCTGTCAGGGCGGGACGAGATTTGCACAAATGTTGATTTAGCTATGCTTCGGACAATTACTCTAATCAATTTTCGATTGACATATCCCGCTTGATTAGTGCTCGACCTCCCTTTGGATCATGCCAAATACCGTGAAGCAACAAGGTGTTATAACAAGGCATAGAGCAGACGGTCTTTTTCAATTTATTGTGCAGTTCTTATCGCGAACTGCATACCAAAATTCAGATGTGCCCATTGCGCAATGATTTTACAAACGTCATATTTATTTGCTAAGCCATGTACGTGGCACCTTTGCGGCGAAAATGACTAGTAAATCAACGGTTACGGTACACGAGGGAAACAAAATGAATGATCGAACAAGGTTAAGGGCATCGCTTTTAGCAATCATTGTTTTTATCAATTCTTACCTTTTTGATATGTTGCGGCTTGCGTGGTACCTAGCTTGGCACCCTGACTTTAATTAATGACTCGTCATTTAGTCTGATGTAGAACTAAGTTTTCAAGAGTATGCGTCCTGTTAATATTTTCCATTTGTATAGGGACTGAGAATTCTGATTTGATATCCTTGGTTTGGAAAGAAATTAGTATTGCGGTTGGCTCGTTGAAGCCTAGGCATACTATCATAATTGCCTGCTTGGGTTTGGGCGGTGGTGGTTCTGGATTTCTCGGATTATCACAAACCAATCACTCAACGAATATATCGCATATCATCTGGCATCTGCACCTCAAAGTACAGATATGGGCCGCGTGACCCTATGAATGCGAATAAGTGGTTCTATAAATGAATCATCATGCCTGCAGTACTCGTCTCATATGCCACGCAAGTTATACATCAAATTGTAGAATTGCCGGAATAACTAAGGGTTTGCCCAGGCCAAAATGGGCTCTTGTTAGTATTTTACAGACTCCATCAATTCGGGAGGCAGAACCCGCTTTGACTACTAGGTAAACTTAATGGGGCAATTTGTGTATTCCTGCCACTCAACCTAAGCACATTTCACCACATCATTGGCAATGGGACCACGACATCATGTCCAAACGCATCTACCACTGAGATTGAAAAATCAACAAATGACCATTATGCACAAGAGGGGAGAAATTTAGCATGGTGCAACGCGGCAAGGATCGACCTGCTTGGTACCGTGACGGGAGGAGCACTGACGGAGCAGACATACAGCTCAGTGGCAGCCAAGCCATGTGTAAGTCAGGTTTTCACTACAATCTACAGTCTGCGTAGGCTACATTAGGCTTATTAAGACACAAACAGTGCCTAGGTGACGCATGCAACGTGTCGCTTTTGTTTTTCCAATTGATGTTCGTGCGCATCACGAGCATGTGACCAATTAGCTACATGCTAGGTAGGAATGCAACTACAAGGTGATTGAGAGGAGATGGGCAATGCATGTGAAGATGCCGTGGGAGCAACTTGCGCACAGCAGCTGAAGGTATCCTGTGAAACACTAGCCTTCACACCTGACGAGAGCCACCCGCATAGCGACAATTCCTCCAGCAATCAGTAGATCGCTATCGGCATTCCCAACACACATGATTTTTATCTCCCTGGAATACATAATAAAGCTGGACTTTGGCCAATGATCCTTTTGAACACGGGCCAGCTCCCTTTCCAGGGTCTCCATTTCTTTTCCCGCTTCTTCTTCTCTTCTTCTTCTGTCTTCCCTTTTAACTTGGGGCCATCCTTTCAGCGATTCCTTACCGTCTTTGGGCCTTATTCCCGGCTATTCTCGAGTGGAACAGCAAGTCAAGATTCAGCGCTGCCAAGAGCAACTCCAAGCCCAAGAAGGCGACATCGGACCAGGTTAGGCTTGGCTTCCTCTTGCTTTGGTTTGTTGCGTGCGTGACACTCAAACCAGTGACGAGATTTGATAATCGGTCTCCTCGCTGCTGCAAAAGGATTGCAACTAATCCAGACTAAGGGTATGTGTGCATTAAGGTCGGGCTGATTCGAGGGTCACGAGAAAGTCTTGTGCGTCGCCATCGATGTATGAATAACAACAAAAACTAACACCTCTCTTGTTGATCCATCTCTTCTTTCCCGCCTTTTCAGCCCAACACAATTTATTGCATGATCACATTTTTGCTGGTGCAAAGGAACTACACAAGACACCCCCCCATTACCCCTTTCTCGCCATTCATCTCCTTGACAACCAATATATGACCGCCCCGCGAGAAAGTTGATCGCAAATAAAAGACAGCCCTGAAATCACTCCCATCGGGTTCGTCGTGCCGTGGAGTCGATCGCCGAGCGGTTATCGTGCGATTCATTAGCGCCCTCATTCCTCAACTCCCTTGGTCCTTGGCGCATGGATGATCCAGTGACTGACTGAGTTGACCTACTACGGAATACTGAAGCGCTAGCTAGCCCAGCGCGTGCGGTGCATGTGGGGTTTCCATCTTGGTAGGCGGGGTCACGACAATATCGAGTCAAATGCTGGGATCAATAATAGAATCTTCCTACAAATTAGGTTGGTAAAGCAAGCGAGGGGGAAGGAAAAAAAGACAGACCGCCTTTCGCTTCAACACCACGACGACCAAAAAAAAAAAAAACACTCACCCCCTCTCATCCTTATCCTCCTATACAATTTGCGAGCTTTTGATCTTTCCAGAAAAGAAAATCTCAGCTTAGGAAGATAAGCATAAGAAGAAGCAGCGTCACCCTTTTCACAGCTAAATTCTGGGTCGAACACGGCGAACGACTTGTACCATTATATTCAAGAGTTGTCATCATTCTTGTCACCTGGTCTGGAGGCTGGGAAACCAACTAAAAAGTTATATCTATTGGCTGGCCCAAGCGACCCAAACGGAACCACCTTGCTAAGTTTAGGGGATTGATTCCCGCTCCGTTCCCGCCCGCCACGGTAAGTTTCTTTAGGGTATTATACCCACATCTCTTGAAATCCACATGGTGGTTGAAGCACGTTGCGTCTGAAGCTCATCAAATAATGCAGTACCTACCTAGTAGTGTAGTAGCGTAATAGCGAATCACTCCCTCCCACCCACCCCATCCTGCATACTGGTCCCGTCAATTACACGCATCGGCCCTGCAGCTTGATGGCAACCTCTGTTCATGGTTACCAATAACAACTGTCGAATCTGGTCCCTTGAGTCTTGTAGTATCCCATTTACAGCCAAGTTGCCCTGGGCCCGTTCCTCTTGGTATATCCACATGCGGGCTCGGCGATTCGACATTTGGAAATTAGTACGAACTGACTGCCCCCGTTCGTCAACAAAACCTTGACCTCCCTACCCTACCTACGTTTGTACATAGGGTCTAAATATCTGGTCATCCTGACCGCAACTTCTACCGCACCCTCACTGACGTCGACCTGGTTTTCGATCGTCTAGATCGTCGTTGGGAGCACACAACTCTCTCCCTCTCCCTCTCATATACACACGCACACTCTGATGGTCGCCTTTGGCATTCAACTTTTCTATACATAAACAGCTGTTCGATCTCTGGCAGACACAAGAGCGTAAATTTATTGGAGCCGAAGTCGACTTCTTCCTTTGTCGGAAGCCCAGCGGCAGGCGAACCGCAGCTTATTTCTATGCTTTCAACACTCACTATCTACTCAATTTCTTTTTTTCTTATGCATCTCTACCGGAAAGAGATCTGAAAGGCTTTACATCATGCTGCCGTCGCCGTCACTGGGGACGGAACTTTGTCGTTCTCAATCGGCCACCAGCATTGCTGCGTCTGTCACTACCTATCATAGTCTCCATGATGTGGAACTGTTTGAATCTTTACCTCGCCATGATTCGAATCACAAGACATTCAAGCCCACCCCAATGCGGCGGCAAGATTCTGGCTATGCGTCAATACCTTCGGGTTCTCAGTCTGGCGATTCCCAAAGCTCTGGCAGACGAATTTCAACAGCGTCGAGCAGCTCGTCTAGCCCGCGACCCCGTACTCGGCCGTCAATTCGCCGGGCTACCAAATCTACACCCAACCCTCGAGCCAGTATTACGCTCGGCCGTTCGCCGCATCGCCCAAAGTCGCAACAACAACAATCATGCGCCTACTTTCAATTTCCAAGCATGGAGGGGCACTTAGACGTTAATCAAGACATGCACGACGTGGAGGAATGCCATTATCCTCCACCGCCCCAAACGACGCATTACTGGACAAGCGACAATACTCGACGGCTTGAGTATGCTGCTATCGACGCGGCAAGGAATGGAATAAGGGGGTGGATTTTGAAATATGTCATACCCGACTGCTTCGTACCAAAACGTAACAAACGACTTGGGTTTGACGACGAAGGAGGAAGTGTTCGACGATATAGAATCGAGCTCGAGGAGTCTGGTGATGCGACAAAATTTAAGAAGAAGATGGGCTGGCTGACTGGCCGCTGTTGAAGCAATGGACAATCATGGGCGACAACGAGGCTACGAGCGGCGAGTACAGCCCTCGCTTGTCTCAATGCATTTCCCTTTGCATTGGGTCCGAATACCCTCCTAAACCTCGCATTTCTCGGCGTTACAAATACCTACCCTTTTTATTTTCTTTGAGACACTATTTCTTCTTTTCTCGCAGTCTTTAGTTGATTTACAGCATTGCGACCGGCGTTTCTCCAACATTTACACATTATTTACAAATCATCACTGGGGACTGGACACTACATCACGAGCGAAACAGCATAGCATATAATCATTACATCTTCAAATTGGCAATACCACTAGAGTGCTGGATATCATTGCCGTTGTTGAGCAAACATAGTTGAGCAAGGATACTAGTCAGTCGGCTTTTGAGTCTGTCCTGAGTATCCAAGGGAAGAAATAGACAAATTTCCGTGTGGCATATAAATAATTGGCTCAGTGAAGCAGAGTCATTGGTAATCTCCTTTTTGCGATCTGTTCTATCGATTTTGCTCATGCCTTGGTGGCTCGACGTTATAAATCTGAGGTCACATTTAACATCAAGGAAACGACGAGACCCGTTGCCCGACCTCGTCCTAATAGGAAAAAAAGCAGACTTCATCATTGAGCCCTACTAGAGGTTATTCCACACCATGACCTGCGCCGATCCTCCTTATGCCAGGCGGCATACTCAATATGTCCAGTGCTTTGATATCCATAAAGCTTAGCTAATATAGTGCCGTGTATCAACAATGTTACGGTATAAGTTTAGAGTCCACCTTAGACCTCTGTCTCTGGTAGTAAGCTGGGTCAAAATCAGATCCATCTCGAAAGAGATACAAGGATAACGTTGTCTTTTCGAATCAAGACTTCGAGACGCACTAAGAAATGTGATTTTGTATTGCCAAGATAGAAAAATCTCTGGGACTGCCGTAATGTCAGTTTGTATTGTTGTCCCTAGCTTATTTATTGTAGCTGAGATTTATTTTCTATCGCAAGGATGAGGCAAAATAACTGTTAGGTTTGAATTGTGCAACAATTCGGAATGGAAAATTCTTGGCTTTAAGCTTCAACCTTCTTCACATGAAACGCTTTACCCTTGTAAGATCATAAGCTAGAGTACTCCCGTTGAGGGTAGTAAATATACGCAACTCAGACAAGCATATGGTATCTTGAATCTGGCACAGATGACTGATGCGATTCCCAAGCACCTGCTTATGGTAACAGTCAGTTACCTCCTATCCATTCCCTTACGCCCATACATATGAACCATAATATGCGTACAGGATGACAGGCGGGCCGTAGAGCCTAGTGACGAAGACCCAGGCGTAGTGGACTAGAGCTTCCTAGAAGTGACTATTCCTACGTTAATCGAATGCACCGCTGTTAGTATGCACTGGTCTACTCTTATGCTTGAGGCCATTAAGATGTATATGACCATTTCCTCACTGCGTAAAATGTCATGATTAGCGAGGATTGGCGGCCAAATGCAAATCATATCTGCCAGTACACAGGCTAGGTCATACTCATTGACCGTCGTCAAGGTCGTTGCAATGATCAATAGTAGAACTTTTTGACCAGATTGTGCTCGATGCATCTTAAAAGTGCTCTGCTTTTTTTTTTGGGGGGGGGGTCTCGAGTATGAGAATGTTGTGAGATTGCTGGAGCCTGTCAAGACAGCCATGGCTCTTGATCATCCAAAGCCTTTGTCACTCTAGTATGACTATATAGCTCGTCTACATTGTCGTAAACCATGGCATAGCTAGCAAGTTTCATAAGCGAGGGATCTGGAAGCCAAGAACACAAGCGCAGTTGCAACATGGATATGCTTGGCTTCGTTTGATACAGAAGTCGTCCTGTTGGAGATATAGCCCATTGGAAACTTCTTTCTTTTCACCCTGACTATCTCCACGAAGAAGAGTAGTCTCGTCCGAACAATACCCAGGATACTGTCAGCTTGTCAAACCTAGGCCTTATGCAAGGTAGTCATTTCGATAGCTTTGCTCCTACTGGCGGATCTTGTGAGAAAAGTATGCATTAAACTTGGCCCAACCCGAAAGTGATGATCTCCGAGAATTTTCGGTAGCGGAATTGTTGCTTTGATTCGTGATGAACATGTCGATCCAATGCTACTTCATTTCAGTGCAGGTCCTGTTGCTCTCGCGGCCAGTGCACATTGAATAATTCAGCTTTGCATTACCCTTCTCGATCTATAATTTGCGTGGACGGGGCAAAGCAAGATAAACGGGCACGGAAGACGTGTTTCCGCATGGGCAGGAGAAAGATGAATCGGCGTCATAGTTTGAGCTTTGGCGATACGGTGTGACACAAGGCATGAGGGAGAATGTGTTCCATCTAGGCTCAAGTCGATATTTTTGAGGGGAAGGCAGGGTGAAGGGATGGGAAGAAGGAAAAGAGAAAAAAAAAAAAAAAAAAAGAGAAAACCGGTCCGTGTAGCGTCAAATAGGAGTGCATCGCCAAAAAAAAAATTCATCAGACGAGAAAAGATCAGTTCAAGTTCACCTTGAATAGAAGTTCTGTGGTCTCCACAAATAATGCTGCCAATCCCTATGTAGGTACCTACCTAGTTGTGTACATGCAAGCAGTAACTAACCGTGTGTACTTACGTGTAATGCGACCAAGATCTTGGTCGTAATACAGATGAGCGCGGGTTTCATCCAAAGGAAGGAGAAGAAAATCAAAAAAGAACAAATTTCTACAAAACACTTTTCTGTGATCGACGTCGAGGTGACGAAGCCTTAGGAAACGTGCCAGCAAGTAAACGACTCGAACCAACCTATGGACGCGCATATTTCCCACCATTCACATCCGTGCCACACCAGAGCTGCAGCAGCGGTGGAGTTTTAGCAGCAAAACAGCCGTTCCTGGGCGAGGCTCGTCGATGTTTGTGGCTCCAATGACGATTGACTCACCCCTGGGTCCTGGTTGGGATCCAGCGCCCGTTGGTGGTACCAAACATTCCTCCACATCTTACTCCTGGGACACACTGAAGGTGAAACAAGGAGTCATCCACCATGTCCAATCAACGGAAAACGTCCTCTCATCGCCAGTCGCTAGAGATGGCAATGGAACGTCCCCGGCCGCCAAGGAAAATTTAGGGGAATTGCGTCGTGGGCCCTTGTCATCCCATCTTTCGGGGACGAGCTGGACGCGGCCCAGGAAAACAGATTACCAGGCCCTCGCGGGGAGGCTTTAGCGACTGTGCGATGTGACCATGTTTCCTCGGATCAGCGCCTGCGGCTCTGCTGCTGACGACGACTTCTCAATCTGAGAAACGGCGAGCATAGGCGCCAAGTGGGTTCGGTCCGGGATTAGACCTAACAACGACTTTGAAGTGCCGTTGTCATTCTGCAAGGGTCGTGCTAGTTCGACATACGGAATACCCTACGCAGCAACTTAGACCCAAAGGCTTCCATCATCCTCTGCCAGTCTAGCAAGTCTGGACTCTGAACGAGCTAGACCCTCGAGGCTCGAAACGATGCGAAAATAGTAGCGTTCATCAATACCTGATTATCCTCATGGCCTCCGGCACCCTGAATAGTGCCCGGAGGCAAGGGCCCCTATTCGAGCCAGGAGTCATTGGTGGAGAAAGCAATCTACCATACTCAGCACATCATCAACTCTGAACATGACAAGCTTTCAGATAACGCTGATGCTAGTTAGGTACCGGTAGTAGGAGTAGCAGCAGTATCATTCCGTATACTCACCTGGTAAGCTGAATGAAGATGGGGCTGCACGCGTCTTCTTCAGCGCCTCCAGCAAGCTTGACTCGGCATATATATCATGCTCCCGTTTCCTCCTGCCATTGACTCTTCTCTTGTTCACTCAGCTTCAACTCAAAGCCTTTTTCTACACTCCCTTCTTTTTCCTTCTCCCAAGTCAATTTCGACTTCATTCAGCTTGCTGAAAACTTTCATTTACATTATCACGCAGGTCGACTGATATCATCCTTCTTCAACAATCACAATAAACAACCTTTTTTCTCTTTAGCCAAAATGAAGGTCAACGCTCTTGCTATCACCGCACTCTTCGGAGCTGCTTTTGCTCAGGGTGATGCACCCACCACCTTTGCAACCTCTCTCCGCCCCAGCGGTGGCGCTCCCCCGAGTGGTCTCCCCAGCGGCTTCCCCAGCGGTCCCCGTCCCAGCGGATCCGGTGGTTTCGGCGGTGGTCCCCGCCCAACCGGTGCCCCCTCCGGCAATGCCCACGTTGCCGCTGCCGCTGCTTGTATGTCTTCATTGAGTTTTGAACAGCAAGGTCTCCCGGAAAAATAATACTGACTTGTGCCAATAGCCAGCGCTTTCCCCGGCTTCCCCAGCGGTGGTCCTCACCCGTCCGGTCTGGTAAGTAACTCAAGCCTCCTGCCTTCAAAAGTGATAGCCGTCAGTGTCGGCCACTCAAGACCCATTACGACTTTACGGGATACACGAATTCGCTAGTTCGAACAATGGGTTCTAACTTGGAATTTGTAGCCCAGCGGATTCCCCGGATTCCCTGGCCCCAGTGGCTCCGCCGGCCCCATTCCCACTGTGGCCCCTTCCGGACCTGATGGGCTCTTCCGCCGCCAAGGACCCAGCGGAAGTGCTGGTCCCAAGCCGTCTGGCCCGGCCCCATCAGGAGCTGCCCCTTCGGGTGGCCCTGGCGGCCCCGGCGGCCCTGGCGGTTTCCCCTCTGGATCTGGCGGCGCTGGTCCCCAGCCCACTGGTGAGCCCTCCGGTGATGCTTTCCGTGCTCGCGCTCGCGACTTCTTCGGTGAGTTCAAAGCGAATATAACGACCCCAAATCACAGCTCATCGCTAACTCCGACCAGGTTTCTAAGTGTCATGACCTTCTAAGAAACATATTATACTTGGCGCAAGAGCACACCGGGTCACTTCATTTCATATGACAAGAGACAAGTTGACAATTGAAAAAAAGTTGACGATGTTGAGTGTTGGAACGAGACTTCTTGTACATTCTCTTATTTATATATATACACACTGTCTGGCTTTAACTTTTGATTCTTCGCCATGTCCTCTGACAAGGTCTACATGACTGTCTCTATAACCGCAAACACAACTTTGGGTCGCACAGTAGGAAATAGACCGATCCGTATCGACCTGGTTGACTTCAACATCGATAAACGAATCCTAATTGAACCGAGTTACTAATCATCATGTAATGAATACCAAAATCGAGTATCCGATTTAGATATTCCTCGAATCTAATGGACGGAAACCCACGAACAAAGCTCGATTCAAAGTACTTTTCGGATTATTTGTTTCTCTCCCTCTTTCATTATAAAAATTAAACTATTGATTCAGATTCGAGCAACATGCCTTGCTGATTGCCCACACCTCCTGACATAGGATGGCTCAAGTTGGTATCGCCATCTTCGGGAGCTCCGACACGCGACCGACTATCTAGCTTGGATAACAGAATGTTGATTACCTCAACAACTACTCCTAGCAAGACGAATAATGCGAGGATCTGCCCGAATGTCCAGTCGCTCTCCTCTTCGCTGAGTTTGTTGACGCGGACCATCTGCTCTAATGTCACGACTGATAACACAGCTTGTTAGCCGTTAATTCCCTCGGGGAAAATCTCAGACGTGGATCGTTTGGAGTTTCTGCATTGATTGTACACTTACTCATATAGACGTTGATGCCCGTGTGGACTAACAGCTCCATGATTTGTCCACTGAAGATACTTCCTTTGTATTTGGCATCGCTGACTCGAACCCGGGCCCACACGTTCTTGAGCACAACAACATCTTGATTCCCACCATACAGTCGTTTTGCAGACGATCTTGCACCACCGCAGATACACGACGCGAAGAAGACACCGAACACCATACTCAAAACCCAACCAACAGCCATGGCTGCCATGAGAGCGAGCAAGACATATCGGAAGACGTCATTGGTGGCATTTATACTAACACCAAAAACGACGTATTTCTAAATAGTGTTATTTCAAGAGAGTTCAGATGTTCTGAGACGAAAGAATTGGGGACTTACTGTCTCGGCATTGCATTCGGGCTGCGAGCCAAACGTAGGCGCCGTAATCCAAATGTATGTTGTAAGGGCCACGAATGCACCGGCGATTAATATCCGCGAGAAGGCCAATACAAGCCACCTATTGAGTCCACCACCATGGTACTTTCGTTGCGCTACCAACCCAAATCCCAATAGAGACAGCAAATGTAGGATGCACAGCGCATGGAACAAGGTCAATTGACGCTCGATTGTCTCTACAATTGCCGTACACAAGAGTGCGAGGCCCTGGAGTTGCAAAGCCGAGTTCAAGGATTGGCAGAATTCCGCGTAATTCTCGGCGCTGGTGACATGCTGAATGAGGGTTTTGAGGATACCCGCAGCAAGACAAAGAGTATAAATCGACACGCGAATCTGACATACCAGTAAGCTGTCAGGTGTCTTGAAACCCGTGGGTTCTTTCGGTCCTCAGAGATAAAAGACTCACACCCGTGCCAGTAACATCTGGGTTGGGTTCTATGAACTCACAAACGAGAGCTTCTGACGAGTTTGTCGCGGCCATATTTTGACCTAATCAGATCCAAGGAAATTCAACCACGTTATCTGAGATATTGTAAAACGTAAAAAAAAATGATGGCACCCCATAAAGGTATGCGTATGGGCAAATTTTATAATGTGCAGAGTTGATATTTCTCGCCGGTCTAAGCAGTTTCAGCCATCACCGATGCGAGTCTGCCTAGGCTATTCCATTCTTGACCAAAAGATGTTTTTGACGCGGGGGTGAAGTTCGTCAAATCATCTAATGATCCTTGTTTGCCGGCAGAGGCGAGCCAATCAGCTCCCCTCCTACCCGAAGCAGCTGAAGACACCCTCGTCGTTCAAACCCCACCGCATGCCAGAGCTGAGACTCAGCTACTAAGTGCGGAACTGTTGCGAGACATCAGGAATGAAGTGGTCTAAATAACCTTTGCCCAAAGAGGACACCGAAGACTGAGGCTTGGGAGACACTGAACAATTGTGTTCAGACCATCCATAAAAGGAACAGTATCTCGCTATATGCGTCACGCGCATAAAGACGACCGATTCACATACTAAAGTAGCTACATCGACAAGATCTAGACGAACCAACAAGAATCAACAGAGTCGACGGAGATGGAATCGAGGCTACGAAGAAGCACGGACAGCTCGTCCATCGAAGAGATTGAACGAGGTGATATCAGAGTCTTGCCGCAGGGCAGCGTTGAGATCGTACCGCCACCAGTGCTGGTCAACACAGCGCCATGGAGATTTGGTAAGCCAGGCACCTCTCATTCTTTAACTCGAGCAAGGCTGATTCTAGTTAGTGTTGGGGTTCGGCAGTCTTGCTCTGGTGGATATAGGAATGCATGCTGCCGCAGGGGCCGCTGCCGCTCGCGTCGGTGCAGATCTTAACAAAGCGACAACGACAACACTAGTAATACAAATGGGTGCTTTGGCTGGTGCAACCAAAGCAGCCATGACGGCATTTCGTGAGATAGTCGGCTTGAGTTCTGTAAACGTTGTTTTTCGAATCTTGCTCATGCTGCTCACATCATCATTTGGAGTCTGCGCATTGCTAGTAACTGAAGTTGGGAACATTGTGCTTGGCGAAAGTAAGTATATCCCAATGAGTCGGCGGGAGAAGAAGAGGAATGGACTCAAGGCTAACGACTTGTGCCGATGAAGCACCCAAGCAGCTTATTGTTGCAGCTGTGGTAGCGGCAGTGCCACTTATCTTCGAAATGGTTCGCAATATTCAACCAGTCCAGGATCAGGAAGGCAAGACCGAGTATTACCGATGGGTTTATGCGATATTCTTGATTGCAGCGGATGCTCTTGGCGGGTATGTCTTTGCACGCATGGCTGCAAATCAGGACATGCCGATCAGTAATTTCCATGCCGCGTGCTCAGCAGGTGCAGTTTTTGGGACGCTAACTTGGATTTCACGCGCCATGACTGGCATTGTAGCCATGATTCAGGTTACCCGTGATGATGGGAGGCACTCGAATGTCTTTGGTGTATATGAGCTCGTACAACCAGATCCCATCGTCGTGACAGAGGAGGAATATTTGGCAATGCAAAGAGGCATCATGACCGTGTTGATGAGTTTCTTTGGATCCTGGCCCAAGATGATGCGGAGGTATTTGTCTTGCTTAACTTGTTGCTGTGGCTGCTGTTTCGCCTGCTGTGGGATGAAGGGAGAGCTTGAAGAGATGCGCCAGGAGATGGAGGAGATGGAACGAGAGAATCGCGAGGATATGCAGGATGTCGGATTTCAACTTGCAGAGCAGATGATGCCTGCTATAAGATCCAATTAATTTAGGAGAAATAAACGAAAAGCAATATTGACATTGACACAGAGCAAGTAACCTCAATAGTTCTAGAACCTTGGACAACTCCTAATCGGCACATGTGTACTGGACCAAGGCGCTTCTTGATTGATTGATTGCTTGTTTATGCGATCTATTGTTGTAAATCGTCTATTGCGCAAAATATGCCGCACGTGTCTTGGAATGGGCTTTGCTTGACCGTATTTCCAGTTCTTCCTCTTTCCTTTGATCTTCTCGTTCCAATTGAGTCATGTCAAGTGTTTTCTAGTTCGCGCTGCCTGTTCTGTTCGTTTGCTTCCTGGCGAGTTCGTCGTGCTCCTCAATGTCTATAGCCTCCCATGGATAGCAGATCCAGACATCGTCAACGGTACGAGCTGCGTGGTATCGATCTTTGGCCATCATGTCGTTGGGAAGAGTACCCTTCTTCTTCTTGTCCTTGTTGTGGAGAACGAATATGCTGAACTTGGTCTCTCCCTGTACGCCCAGCTTTTGCCGTGCTGCCTCAACGTCCTTTTCCAACTCCTTGACGGCATACTCAAGAGTGGTGCGTGTGTCATCGACCTCGTCCACAATCAGGATGCGCTTACCCACCAGGTGCTCCATACCTCCCAGACCGCTCAGGTCTAGCCATTGCGTGCGAGTGACCTTGTGGCCTATTTGCTCGACGGCGCCGGGGGTGGTGGCACCGCTCTTGGGGTCCGTCTCGGGCAGCTGCTCGTACAATGAGAGACCAATAGCCTGAATGGGGATGTTTGGTGAGCCGGGCTGCTTCAGGAAGGACCGGAGGATTCGCGCTGGCACATAGCCTCCACCGCCGATAGCAATCATGAGTTGAGGCTCGAAAGATTCGAGGATCTTGACGGCGCTCTCTTGACAGAGCTTATGCACCTGCAGTCATTATCATTAGCGACAGAGCAGTGGAAAGAATCCGGATGTAAGCCAAGCATCCTTGTGTACTAGCAGCGAGGCCGGGATTTTCTGCACAAGGACGAGCAAGGTGAGGTAGCATAGATCGGAATGCTCAAGAGCGCAATGCGATGCGACAAAGCGGGCGGATGCGGGGCAGACTCACGTCATTGTAGGTGATGTAGATCTTCTCAACCATGATTGCGACTGGGTGGTGAGTATACAATTTATGAAAAAAAGTAAAACAGGACGATTAAGCACGCGAATTATTGCTCCGAGCAATGGAAATGCGATGTCTGCTTTTCCCGATTTCCACGTGAGGCTTTTGGCCTAGAAGGAGGAAAGAAGGAGAATGGAAATGCCCACGAAAGAAAAAGTCTACTGCAAGGGAAAAAAAAAATTATGCCTCTAATCCCCAGACCCTCAGAAATTTTTGGAGGGGTAAGGGCGCCGGCAACGCGCGCGTGTGTACCTTAAAGTAGGTACTTGGGCTTTAGGCAGGTAGGTACCTGCTGCACGTACTCTTGCAATCATGAAGTGCACCACTGTGTAATCCCGCTACTACCTTCTGTAGATGCCGCATCCTGGGCAGGTCGATGGGCGCTGCAATCCACCTCAACAAGCGCTCATAGGGGACCTAGTAATGCACGCGGAGGAATTTTCTCATTACTACTGTCTTCCAATCTTGGGTAACCCCGCGATATTATACAACCAACTCTGGCTATAAAAATATGGGTATATAAGGATATACTAAGATATAAGGATCAGCATCTGTGCAAATATAAATTTATTAATAAAATAGTAAGGAAATATATAAATATTAAGATATAAGGATAATCTTTAGCATCCGGGTACGAATAAGGGTTATTTTATAAGTATATTTTTATCGTAATTATTAGCCGTTACCGCCATTTTAATAGATTTTAATAGCTATATATTATATCCATCGGTAATAAGGGCAAATATATACTAAAATATTTGCATAATAATAATTTATTTAATTTTTATCGCATCGCGATAATTTTACTTTTATTTAATTCTGCTTAATTAAACGATAAAAATGATATTAAAAAAAGCGCGAAAGCGTAATGCGATTACCGAGAAATAAAGGCAATTTATCCGAATAAAAGCCTATAAAATATTATAGATTTAAGCCTAGCTAATATTTTATTTTACTTACGAATTTAGCCGAACCATCTCTTAATCCGCTATATTAATAGCACTTTCCTTTAAATACGATTATTTTAATAAATTTAAATTTAAAAGCAAATACGATAAATTAAAAAAGGCTAAAAAGGCTGCTTAGCTAAACCTAAAAAAAACACTATTCGATTAGCAATAACACTTAAAATAAATATATATTATAATAATTAAAAATATATTATAATTAGCGGCGGCTAAGCTATAAATTAAATTGCCTTAATATAATAATAGCTAATAGCCTAAGTTTTTAAAGGGCTGGCTAACTAGCTTTAAAACCCGATATTATATTAAAACTTATATATAATTAAGGGAATTAATTTTTGCTAATATAAAAAAAGCAGCTACACGGCTTAAAAAACTGCGCTAGATTATTTCCTAATATAAAAGCAATAATATATTTAATTGCGATAAAATTGGATTATACTAAATGTGATATAGTTAGAGGAGTATATGAAGTAGGTTTAAGAGAGTTACAATATTGAAGTAAGCTAAAAGCGTTAAAAGGTATGGGTATAATTATAAAGTGTATTATATCTATTTAAATTCTAATTAAAAAAAGAGCATATAGTCCTATTTATATATTTATTTATTAAAAAGATTTATTAATTTCCCTAAAGCGTACGGACCTTATCCGTAAACTCTTTATTCTTAATAAAGATATTTATATGCTCCTTATATTTAATATTTTAAAGACCTTTAAAGTCTAACTAATTATTATATACCCCCTAAGCTTTTAAGGCGTTTTTTAAAAGCTTAATAAAAATATATTAGTTAAATAGCCTTTTAAAATCCTTATTTTTAAATTAGATTAAATACAAAAATAAAGATCCCAAGCTTTTTTAAATATTTATCTTGTATCCTCCCTAGGGTTTATTTTATTTTTGCCGTTTTTATTTTAAAGGTTAAATTTAGTTGTTAAATTACCGGTTAATAATAAGTTTTTTTAGCGATAGTTACCTTTGCCTGCTGCATATAAACCCGGATTAAAAAAGCTTTTTTTATATTTTTACCCTTTATTTAAGTATTTTTTTTATAGAAATTCCCTTATTTATAGATTTTTTCCTAGAAATAACCTTTTTATGCGCTATTTATTTAAAAATTTTTATTTTTCCCTTTTTTTTTTATTAATATCTATTTTTAATATTTAGTAATTAGGTTTAAATAAATTTTAGATTTTTTTTTTATTTAATTGCATCTGCCTTTAATTTTTTACGCTCCTTAAATTTTTTTAGTGTAGGCTTGCTTAGCTAGAGTTTTTTTTTTTTTTTATTACGTTTGCATTTTTTTTAAATTAGTGCTTTAAGCTTTTCCTTTTTTTTCGTAATAATTAAAAAATTTAGTAATAGCTATATTTGATAAGGTATAATAATTAGTTTTATTAATTTTTCTATTATTAGGCCCTTAATAATTGTTTTAGGTACGCTTTTGCTAATTTATATTTATTTAGCGTTTTTGCCCGAGTTAAAAAATAATGGTTTATTTAATCGGATTGATTGTCCTATTTATAAATAGCCTATTTCCCACTGTTTTTTAAGCTTTTATTCCTTTTTTTTTTTTTTTTTTTACTTTTAGGTTAGATTTCCTTAAGCTTTTTTAATTTATTTTTATTTATTACTTTTTTAAAAAATAATTATACGCTCCCATTTTTTTATTATATTATCTATTATTATGCCTCGCTCTCCTTCTAAATTTCTTAAAAAGACTCGCGTTTAAAGCTATACGCGCCGCCCGTTTTCGTTTAATAGCTTTAAGGCTTAGCAAAACCGAATAATAGCTAAGCTTTTTCGTCGTAATAAAAAAAAAAAAAAGCGCGCTCGTAAAGCTAAGCGTTAGCGTGCTTTTTAGTAGTAACGGTAAATTTCGATTTTTTAGCGCTTATTTTTATGCTTTTTTTAATTCCTAATATTTATCCGTTTTAATTTTTATAATATTATGCTTAATAATCCCGATTTTCTTCGTTTTTCGGTTAAATCGCGTTTTTTTATTTAAGGTGGTTTAAGCGCCGGTAAAGCTTTTAGGTCTGGTTTTTTTGCTCCTCCTAATCGAGGAGTTTTTAAAACTCCGGTTCCGATTTAGCTTTTAGTTATTTTTAATAATTACGTTCGCACCTCTTCCGGTAATTACGCCCCTTTTATTTATATTTTTTGCAATTAATCGCTTAAAATAATTAATTTTACCGAGAATCGTAAGCAATTTATTGCTTTTTCTGCCTATTTTAGTAATAAAAAAGGCATTTTTATACCTATTCCCTTTGCTCGTGGCTTTTGTTACCCGTTGGCAAAAGTTAAGGAAAATAATCCTAAACCCTTCGCTCGTCGCTTTAGACGTGCTGTTTGTATTTAACGTAAAAAGTTAAAGTATTTAGCTAGCATTTTTAAACGCGTTATAAAGGTTTCGGGAATACGCAATAATATTTTTTACGTTCGTTATATTAAGGCTATTATTATTAATCGTATATATAAAAATATACCGGCTAATAGCAAATGCTTTTAAATTTTAGGAAATCGCTGTTATCGTTATAATAAGGGTCGCGATAATTATAAGCTTATATAAATTCCTTTTAATTTATATTTCGCTTTTTATATTTTTTAAAGCATAAAAACTAATATTATAGCAGTTATTTTAGTATTATTCCTTTTATATAGCGCTATATAAATTATTTTTACGATAAGGCTCGCGTAAAGCGCAAATACCGTATTATTTTTAAAATCGCTATTAAAATTTATTAGCAGCAAATTTTTAATAAAACGGTTTTAAGCTCTAATACTATTTTTATTTGTATAGATTTTTTTTCCGATAATAAAAATAACTAAATAAAAGGTTTTTATATATAGTGCTTAAGTATAAAAATAAATAAAAAATTTTTTATAATAATATATTAATAAGCATAAATTTAGCGTTTATATGCTTTTTACGGGTTAAGCTTTGCGGTTTTTCGGTTATTTTTTTATTTACCTAATAAAGCATTATAATATAGGCGTTTTTTACCGGTAGTTTTTATTAATTAATTTTTTTATTATTTTTAATATATTATTTATAATACTAATATAATTTTACGGAAATTTAAATAAAATACGAAGCGCTTAAATTTTTATTTTAAAAACGCTTTAATAAGGCTATTTGCTAGCATTTAGTTTATTCGAAAATAAATAATCCTAAAAAATCCCTTTATATGCTTTTATTTAAGCTATATATTATTAATATCGATATATTTTAGTTTAATACTAATTTTTAGGTTATCGTTTATTATAAGCCGTATCGTTTGCTAATTATTATAAAAAATATTTTAATTTTATCTAAAATCGAGCTTTAAATCCCGATAAAGCCGTTCGTATATTAAAGTTTTTTTAGCGGTTTCCGATAAAGCGTTTAGCTTTGCTTTTATCGTATTAATAAATATAATATTTTATTTAAAGGCCTTTTATATTATTAAACCGCTAAAAAGCATAATAATATATTTTTATAAGCTTTTTTTTAATTTTTAATCGTCGGCGAATAAGGCATTTTTTGCTATTAGGATTTAGGTTTTTATATATTTTTTATACCTAATACCAAGGAATTTAGTATTTTAAAAATATTTAATAACTTATAGCCTAGCTTTAAAATGCGTTAGCCTTAGGTTAATAAAAAAATAAAAAAGCTAAGCTATAGCAAATGCAATATTTAATCTAATTATAATAATAATATATAATATTAAACCGATTATTTTTTGGAATTTTTTAATTTCGCTTTTAGTAGCGATATTTGGGTATTTTTCTAAAAAGGCTAAGCTTATAGGTACGGCTAATATGCTTAATTAGTTATTTACCCCGAATTTAGCTGCGATTTTTTTTATATAGGCATTATATAGCAACGTAACGGTTTTTATACTCCGGTTTTTAAATACTTAAATATTAAGGAATTATAAGACGTTTTTTTTTAATTTAAGCTTATATCTCCTTTTAATATTTTTTATAAGCGTTTAGGCTATTTTTTTATAATTTTTATAATAAAAAA